TAACCTTGACACCATAAATCGTTTCTGGACTACATTTCCCATGATGCTCAGCTAGGTTTTAGAGTCTAAGAGCTAGCGCTGCATCATGGGAAATGTAGTCCAGAAACAAATTATTGTGTCAAGGTTAGAGAATCACTGACATTAACACTTGTCAAACTAGTACTTATTACTTCTTATTCTTAATACTTTCTGAAATATAAAATATATAAAAAGATTACGCCTGGTCAAACGCTGGAAAAAGAAATCCAAGATTTCAAAGATCAGGTGATGGGTAGTTTAACCCTTTGAGTGCCGGGGACATGACCAGTACAAGCAATGTACGTTTTCTGACGTTGAAAGGGTTAAAGCATCAATTTTTATTTCATCTGTTAAATAGCAGCCATAAGAGATTTCATGAGAGAAAGCAGAACAATAGAACCATTTTATTTTTTTTATTTTTTTAAGCCAATGATTACTATGGGTGTTTTTTAAATATGCTAGAAATCATTTAGTATGCAGATTAAATGGGAGAACCAATATTTTCGATAAAGAATAGGGTTCAACTATAAGTTACCGCATTTTCTCAGATTTAAAGAACCTTAGGATGTGTGGTATGTGGTTCTGATTTTTGCCATTTATTAATAAGATATACCAATATGGAAGCATCTATTTAAAGCATGTTTTACTGAGGAAGTGAACCTTAGTTCATGAAACGCAAGGAAGGCAACTACTTTGGACAAAGACTGAGATCAAGACTACAAGATGGAATGTACCCTGACCCTTGGATGACAGACAGTATCTTCACAGCAAAAAACCATTGCCAGCTTTCCCACTTTCATGTTAGCATCTCGTCAGGTGTGGAATAACAGAACATCACATCATCCACGATATGCATTCTTGATCATAAAATCTTATGCACTGTGTCATACAATTTCCTCTTAGGTCAGGGCTTTACAAACTTGCTTGGAATCTAGGAGACAGCAAAAAAAGTTAGGAGCCAGGTTTTTCAACTACAGCTTAATGTAGTTGTTCTCATGTCGATAACCTGTCCCTTCACACTTTTGAATGTAGAGAGAAAAGGCAGTATTTACATTTTTGTATAGTAACGCTTCTTGTGAAAGTCACTCAGACGGCCTCTAGAGTGCATCCTGGGTCAGTGCCGCACAGTACGCAGCACCTACATTTAGCGTTTTCAGGCTCTGCAGTCATGGAGGTAGGGCCAGCTGCGGCGAGGCCAGCACTTTCGTTAGGTTGAAGCTCAAAAATGTTTGGGCTTCAACATAGTTAAAGTGTCTGAACACTCATCAGCCTTTTGACATGATTGCTACATCAACTTCACAAATTGCATAATTTGCTCCAGGAAGCACCTCTGGTAGCCATCTGAGGAGTGGCCACTGGAGGTATCCCTAGGCTGTAAGGTAACCACTGCCTTAAAGGGAGTGTTTACATTAAAAAGCCTGCAGGGACAGGTTATACTCATTAAAACAAATACAACAAGCTGTAGTTCTGTTGACTATGGTTGGTTGTATAGGGAGAGGTATTAGCAGTAGAAAGAGGGAAGTGCTCATGTCATTGTACAGAACACTGGTGAGACCTCACTTGGAGTATTGTATGCAGTACTGGAGACCGTATCTTCAGAAGGATATTGATACTTTAGAGAGAGTTCAGAGAAGGGCTACTAAACTGGTTCATGGATTGCGGGATAAAACTTACCAGGAAAGGTTAAATGATCTTAACATGTATAGCTTGGAGGAAACATGAGACGGGGGATATGATAGAAACATTTAAATATATAAAGGGAATCAACACAGTAAAGGAGAAAAACTACCACAAAAAGAGGACATAGTCTTAAATTAGAGGGGCAAAGGTTTATCAGGAAGTATTATTTTACTGAGAGGGTAGTGGACGCATGGAATAGCCTTCCAGCTGAAGTGGTAGAAGGTAACACAGTGGGGTTTAAGCATGCGTGAGAGGCATAAGGCTAGCTATAAGACAAAGTCATGGACTAAGTATTTAGAAAATTGGGCAGACTAGATGGGCCGATTGGTTCTTATCTACCGTCACATTCTATGTTTCTATAATGTCCCTTTAAGGTTGACATGTGCTTGTATAAATGAAGGTTGCTGTGTGTATGTATGCTTGTAGCCTCATTAGGCTAATTAATGGCTTTTTGCGTGGATCTATAAATGTATAACAGGCATGAGACTGTGTGAGTGAATGTATGTGGCATTCACACAAACTCACAAAAATCAGGGAGTGGCTCTGAGAGTGAGGTTTGGCACAGTGCAACAAAACATTAAATACATCACTGAGTGTGTATATTCATATGTATGTGTTGCCATGTGAATGTGTACAGGAATAAAGCATATTACATACCCATTAAAACATATACTAATTTCAAAGACATGAATATGGTATGATGGGTTTAATACCTGTATGAGAGCAGTTGCAACTTGCTTGTTCTGCACTTCACATTGCAAACTTGTTTTTGTCACTTTAATGTAATATTTAGAATGAAAACTTAATTTTTTACAATGATCCTTAATCTGACTGTGGTCGTTCCTGGTTATCTGGGTGCACAAAAGCTCCTGTTTTTGATTCAGATTTAAATGTTAAAACCTTGTTGAATAATTTATTCACGACTTACAAATGCCAGATACAATTATTTCACTTTATGTCCAATGAACGCTGTAAGATCCACCCCCTTTTTTCTGTAAAACAAGCACCAATGTATTTTACCAAAGCTCAAAGATTCTGTCCTATAAAAATAATAAAACACAAGGCTAGTATTGCGTAAATTGGACGCTTACCTTTACCTGTGTTTTTGGATTAATTCCAAGTACACGTATCAACAAGGAAAGTGCACGTTATGAAATTACACATTCTAGATTTGCAAATATCCATATAGTTAAAGCGGCACTGTCATGCCGAACTTACCTTTCCTCAATCTCTTCCTCTTCTCCCCCTCTCTCAGGATCTGTTCTTCTTTTCTTCCTGTCTTCTTTAGTTTTCTTTAAAATCATAAGACAAAGAAGGGACTCTTTGCCTTATGGAGGATTCCTCCGCTTGACCAGCTCTGACCAGCGGAGGAGCAAAGTGTGCTTCATTTCCGCTGGTCAGAGCAATTTTCCCATGATCCTTACCTTCCCTCTGTGTTCCCACAATGCTTCCTGTCACTTTACACAAAACTGCCGAATTGCGTTCTAACTGAATGACAACAGTATGTTCGTTTCTTTTAGAACGCAATTCGGCATTTTATTCGGATCGGAATTTCATTCTAATGAATGAAACTCCGATCCTATTCATGCTGTGGCTGCATCTTGCAGCCGCTTAGTAGATAACTCCCTAATTCCCACGGTATCAGGGAGTTATCTACTAAAAGGCTGAAAGACCTAAATTCGTCTTTCAGCCACATTTACTAATACTGAGTAAAGATTACGCTAAATTACAAACCAGCGTTTGTATTGGATAAGCTTGCTCTCTGGTAATAGAAGGGTTGATATGCAAAATAGTGTGGTCAGCAAATATACATTTTACTTGTTGCCAAATTTACATGTTGCTTGTTGCCACCCAAGGTCAACAGATGCTACTGTTAACCCTCCCTGCAAGATAAGCGCTAACAAAGGGTATGTGTATTGTATTGTGAGAAACTGTAGAACGTGGAGGGTAACTAAACATTCCTTTGTTTGTAACTGCTAACTTGTATCTGTGCAAAATTTCAAGCTCTCTTGGAATCCGTTTGAACAGCTTCTCTCTCTATTGCAATAAAGACGTGTTCCTATACTTCCACTACTTCGGCCTCTGGCTGGTTAATTGGAAAAGGCTTTTTCAGAGGGCATTTGCTACTTGGGCAACACTAGTATTTTTAATGCAATGGTAAAACCACATTTATTTAGGTATCGGATTACTTAAAAATGGAAACTACAGTGCCAGGAAAACAAAAAGTCACTAGAGGTGCAATTTACCCTGAAAAGTAATTATTGCCTTTTTTTTTTTTAAAAACTGCACTAATTATATTTGTAGCGTTACGGGACCTGAGACAGGGCACCCAGACCAATTTAATGAGCTGAAGTGGTCTGGCATGATGGGTTGTGGCAGTTTGTTGGCCAAGGAGCCCAACTGACATAAACCACTAGCACACTGTATGGAGCGAAAATTAAAAAACCCACATATCCTATTTATCTGAAAGAGTCTACTATAGACTAGGACAGGGATAGGCAACCTTCGGCACTCCAGATGCTGTGGAATACATCAACTCATAATGCTGGCAAAGAATCATGGGAGGTGTAGTCCAAAACATCTAGAGTGCCAAAGGTTGCCTATGCCTGGACTAGGATATGATAGTGCAGTATATTTATTTTGCTACATGATATTATATGTGTATATTATGGTAAAAATAGTTCATCAAAATATTTGTAAAAAAAAAAAATGTAATATTTTTGACGTTTTCAAGTGAGCTTCCATTTATCAAAGGTAAAACACTTCTGAAATGATTTTGATTTGATAAAGGGAGGATCTCCAAAAAATCTCCCTTGTCATTTCAAAATGGTGTTACTCTAATAAAAGTAAATAAATTACAAGATACTTTAATACAATTATTTTGTAATCCAAATAAAAATATAATGGGATTATTGACAGGAGAAAAAAAAGTGATTAGAAAAACAAACAGTGATTACTTGTTGTACTGTTCTGTGCACACAATATATGGGGGAAAAAACTATTTAAAAAACAAAACAAAAAAAAACTAGAAACAAAATGGAGATTTAAAAAAAAAAATAGTTGCCACAGTTCATCGTGTAAATAAGTCTGGCAATGGTTTTATTATCCCCAGCTATACCAGTGCCCATGTGATGTTCTATAAAAGCAAGATGGCTGCTCCCTGAAGTATTATTTCATTTGGGGTTAAGTAGAGAAAAAAAATATAATTAATTAGTTTGTAGGTGTTTAGAAAAATATAATTTTTGGTCTCAGAGATTTTGCCCTTTAGCTGAAGGCAGCAATAAGAATTGTTGGAGTAAGACATATTCATGAGGTTCGCCTTGACTTTGGCAGATGAGCTTACACTTTAATGGCTATTGCCGTAATGCTATAAACGTCTGGTTTTCCAAATGTGCATTGGGATATGGTATTTACGCAGGTTATTTAAAAAAAAAAAAAATAGTTCTATGTATTTGGCCTGGTGAATACTATAACCACTGCTGCTGCACAAGAGTAGTGGGAGTTTGAGCACAGGGCTTATTTCTGCATGGACAAAAAACAATTAATACACCAGCATAATTATGTTATTTAGCAAAGCTGTATGCACAATTGTGTTACCAGGAAAAAGCTTCAAAACATTAGTGTTAACATCTTAAATACCTGAGGTACATTCAGCACCCAGGGTTCTAAACAAAACTTTGAATTTTAGACTAAATTAGCCAATATGGAAAACATGAAAATCAGTTTGGATTCTACTATACTCTTTAGTTACACTTCTTCTTTTGTCACAGACAACATTTTTTCATATTTCACTTGGAGATATTTTTTTCAGTTTGGCCTTAAAATTTCAATTTAATTTGGATTCATAAAAAATTCTCACTTTATTGAATATCAATGAAAACCATAATAAATTGACTCAACAATAAAACTGACGTATTTAAATTTATTTCTCAAGGTGCTGATTTTGGTTATTATAAGACAGTATTATTTTAGAGGTAGCCTTAGAGGTTTTATGTGTAATGATCATTATAATACATTGCTTACACTTTACAATAAAAAAAACAAATATGCATATTAATAAAAAAAAAATTCAAAACGGTGAATGTATACAGTGATTGGATGATTAGTGTAATGACAAAAAAAAATCTGCTTTTTCAAAAAAACTAAAACTTGGCAAAGAGCATAGTGTGCCTGGGGAGTTTGTAACTACACCCTGACTGCTCCATTCATTCTGAATTAATTAACCGACTAAACCTGCTACCCACTGCTGTTTAGTTTATTCCGGATACTTGGGCTGAATGGAACTATTGCAAAAGCCAAAGCTGGATTAGTACCTATATTAAGGCTCCTGGGAATTAAAAAAAAATGACACTTCAATTGTACACATCATGTCACAAGTAGAAAAACATAAGAGTCACAACATCTGAACCTAGGACACACATTCATTTGAACTGCATACGTGAGTCTCCAGAGTTAATTGGCGTTATGGCACTTTTTAAGGCAAATTCAAATTTTACAATCCTCTTTCTTCATAGAACAAGTTTCTATGTTAAATATAAAAACACAAACATTTGCAAATAATAAAATTTTAAAAAGCGCAATTTTACATTTGATTCCTTCATGATATGTTACTTTTCAGTAGTATTATTCATCTGACTATTGAATGTCCAAAATGTGCAAGTTAGCATGGTGGCGGAACCTTTCTCTGCCATTATGGGGTCAATCACAACAAATCAGAGTCGCATGGCAGGGAGCTCAATTGGCTCCCTGGTCTCCCGTAGCTTCTAGGACGCTCCCCTTCCATGACATCCACGGAGTTGGTGTAGGACCTGGGGTTAGTGACCACAGAATTAGCACGCCGGCCGCCATCCCCATACCGATAGTTATCATTGCCTATACTGTAGCCCAAGTTGGTGGCACCGTGGTCCCTAGCTGGGCTATCAGCACGCACACTGTAGACCGTTGACCCTGGGTAAGTTGTTTTAATGGGATTCTGAGCGTACTTATTCTTCTTGCTGTAATGTATGGCAGCAGGTGACTTGCCTCGTTTCTCCATGCACTTCTTGCAGGAGTGAACAAGGCTCAAAGAAAGCGAAAAGCCACCTATTATCTCCATACAGCTTCCAAGATACCCAAGCACCAGGGCATAGTCAACTTGGATGGTAGAAGTGCTGGCCAGATTATCTATTCCTCCCATGGTGTACATATCATTGTTGTACCAAGAGACAGCAATGAGACTTAGTATCCCGGAGATGAAGATCACCAATCCACCGAGCCCAGCCATCAGATAGATGGGTGTGTCTCGCCAACAGCGGACACCGACAGATGCTAAAGCAATACCTAAGACAGTAACAACCAGAGATGCAATCATTAAACCCCGGGCAATCTGTACTTCTTGTAGGCTGAAGTAAGCTGTGTTGCTTTGTCCACAAATAAAGTTGGAAGAGGAGCTTGCAGTGCCCAAACTCTGCTTGCAGATATCCCAGAGACCCTGGTGGTATGATGTATCGGAGGGGTTATTATTAAGGCCACTAATCTGCCTCCAGTTAGGGGCTACTGTTGAAGTGAGGTTCAGTACCAGTCCACAGGGAGCAAACACCATCCCAATGATCATCACTGTAGGGGTCCTCATGGTAAGGCTGAGAGACTTCCCCTAAGCCCAAAGTAGTCTACAGTTGGCTTCTCAAGAGAGATCAGGTCAAAACATCCAATGTAAAGAATAGATGGATCTCAATCCCTTATCAATGGGTCCTGGAAGCACTTTGGATGGAATGGAATCTCCAGTTAACAGAAGGCACCCATCAACCCCCCCTGCAGTTGGCACCAATGTAGAAGCAATTGAGTTCCACCAGCTCTTGCAATGACCTCTGGAAGTTCCTAGAAACAGGGTTGTGCTGTGTCTTCAGGTAAATGGTCAGATCTCTTCACAATTAACACAACTGAAGAAGTTCCTTAAAAGTGAAATCTCCATATGCATGCAAACAGCCTTTCATTTGCTGAGCACAGATCACACACACACACCCCCTGGAGGAGGCAAGTCCAAGTCCTCTTTGCATGAACTTTCTTGTGCACTCTCCTTATAGACACCTTGAATCAAGCCTGGCTCTTGTAATTTTATAAACCAGCTTTTTACCAAGTTCTCGACTGCACAAAGTGACAGTCTCCCTTTAAATGAAACGAAACCACTCGAACTGGCTTGACAGAAACTGTTCTGTGTTTCAAGCAGAAGGAAGGGGCGGGGAGCTCACTACAATTCTTCAAATGTTTTCTGATGGGAGTGCTCCTTTGTCATGTGACTTGATTACCTGTGAGATAAGGAAATAGCCAGAGTAAAAAACAATGATATTGGGCTTGATGACACCTTACAGTCCATTCACATGTTTATATAAGGCAGCACAGGCACTTCATTTACGAGGAAAAGTATGGCAACTTAATACTGCAGAGCAGCACTAAAAATCAATAGCACCATGTTAAATGCTAGTTTAATTATTTAAAGTGACACTGATTAATTCTGTCAGAATCCTGTAATCTGTGTGTTTGGTTTAGAATTTTTCAAATGGATGTTTGTTTTGGAATTTTTCAGTTGCATACTGATTGTTGTATTCTTTAGTCTTGTTGTTATGGTATTGTATAGAGAGAGCAAGAGGGTGCATGGAGGGTTAACAAAGTTATCAGCTATTTGAGTTCCATGCATGCTGGGCAAGGATGGCCAAGAATGATAAGGCTGGTGAATCAATCATAATGGGAGTTGTGTTTCTAAACTGCTGGGAATCTGCATTCTGGCCACCCCCTGTGTAAAAAGTATTTTTCTTAGCATTTGTATTCGCAGAGATTTTTAACTTCAAAAGAAATAAGGATAATGTTTTAAAACGCTTTTAAAGAAGGTTGTTAATTAAAAATAAAATCTAGAGCAGTTGCTGTGGAAACCAATTAAGTGTTCCTGCTGTGTGTTCCATGTTTAGAACGTTGCCCCTGATTTTTAAATAAAACACAAACAGGGCTATTTGCTAAGCTCTGGATTGTAGTGAATTTAATTCTAAATGGCAAAATTTTGACAAAAATTGCAAAACTGTGACACTAGCGAATAAATATTTTTTTCCAGATCCCCTGATATTTTACCATTCAGATTTTAAAGTGAGACAATTCAGAGTTTAATCCCATTGTACAGCGCTACAGAATTTGCTGGCACTATATAAATAATATAATAATTAATAATGACTAGTAGCTTGCAATGCCTCAATTTTGGTACATTTCAATGATTCCTGTGTAGTAACCCATCTACTCAAAAAAATTACTGTATATGCTTGTTATCAGGAATCCATAGGCGTTAACAGTTCTGGATAAATATTTTGGAACTTTTAGAACACTCCATGCACCATAACCACTACAGTACCCTCCAAGGTAAATTTAAATCCATTAGCCTCACTTATCATTGCCAACACATAGAATCCTACTTCTGGTGTCTTGTGTTAATCTGTGTTTCCTGCTTTACACTAGGTATGTCCCAACACCCGTGGACGGCCCAACCTGTTGACAACTACACATTAAACTCAATATAATGGTGCAAAGAGCATTGTGACATCACGGAATGTGTGACACGAGAGGTACGCATTGTTTTGGACAATCACTACACCACACCTCAAACCGAGGTGTATCAGTTGCTGTTTCTCCCAGACAGATTAACGGATAAAGTCATCATGTAGGTTGCATAATAAAAACAAGCAAATACTTTGTATTGTTTCCTCAACAAGACAAACTAACCAGGAATGTTTTAAGAAGCTTTGTCCCGCTGCTTATTTCAATGACTCTGTCTATTAGTGCAATATGACTGAAGGTAATGATTTGAGTTTAATTGAATAGGCCAACAAATGTGATAATTTGTTCATTATTATTCTGGGTAGGATCCAGGATCACTCAGCGTTAATAAGGTTTACATATATTTATAGTTATTGTATTGGGTTCAGCAGGGTGTGTGATGCAGCACGTCTATTGTGTGATTTCCTTAGATTGCGATTATTTAATTACTGCTTTTTGTAAGGATTAGAATTGCCCCATTCCCCTTACTATTGTCAAGTGCACGAAAAGCTCTCCCCAGCACTTTGTACTAGGTAGGGGATATGCACGTAGGTAATAATAGTTTGTGGAACTGACATAGCGTAGAGATAGGTCTGATGACACCAATGGCAAAAATATTCTATGTCTAAACTCCACACAGAACTATCATTTATGGTATTAAACAGATTAAACATATTGGGATAGATGCACAGAAGATAAAGTAAGTCAGCCTCTCGGTTTGTATGTTGTGTAATGCTGCCGTTTGGTAACTATAAATCTGAGCGGCCCCACTTGTGTGCTGAATGCGTGAGGGCGTCCAGCGTTTTACTGAATTAGTGGGGCACTTCAGTGTTAGGAATACAAATCTGTATTTTTAACATATAGTGTCCCATTACCCCTGCTGCAATAAAAGGGTTAAAATCTTTTGACCGCTTACCTGTTTCTCTAGAGGTTTGTCTCCGCCACCTCCGACATCAGCTTTACACTTTCCTGTGGGGATTTGCAAGATAGTGGACGTCCTCAATCACAGCGTGAGGACATCCAGTGTCGTTTCACAGATTAAACTCCGTGAAGCTGCAGGAAGCAACACTAGTGGCTATTTAAGAGACTGTCTTGGCCATGCAGTTTCTCTACATTGCAGAGTTAAGGGGACCGGGACACTGCACCCAGACCACTTCTATGATATGAAATAGTCTGGGTGCATATAGTGTATCTTTGACAGGCATTTGATTCATTCAGTACAGCTGAATGGGATTTCAGCAGAAGTCGTCTAATTATGATCTCTCGTTAGCATGTTAATCTTTTTAATCTATGAGGAAGAGATCTGATATGTGAATGTTTTTGTTCCTTTGAGACAAAACACCAAGGGCAGGGATAGGCAACCTTCGGCACTCCAGATGTTGTGGACTACATCCCCCATAATGCTCTTACACAGATAATGCTGGCAAAGCATCATGGGAGGTGTAGTCCAAAATACAAAGGCCGAAGGTTGCCTATGCCTGACCTAGGGCAATGAAAAGAGTGCAAGTCTGTCCTAACTCCCCCTCCCCTCTCCCTAATTTGCCCCCCCTCCTCCTATAGAGATTAGGGGTGGGGGACTGAATAACAAATGACACAGCCCAACGTGCTTGGTCTTTACTTTTGTTCATGTGGGCACAGGCAGGGAGGGATTTTTTAAATGTTATTAGAGCCATTGTTATGGGACAGGATTGCCAAAAATTCCTGCTGTGAAAACTTTATATAAAGAAATTTGTATACAAAACAATTGTGAAAGGAGATCACCCCCTGTCGTCGTACCTAATTGGTTCTTTGTTTTTAAGTCCTATGTTAATCCAATTCATTTTAAGGCCCACTTCAAGCACTTGCAGGACATATTACCTGTATAAAGAATAGCTTTTTTTTAATTACCTTATTTACTACACAACTTTTTCAGCTTTGTCAAAAAATAGTTTTGGTATTTTGCATTTGTTCTTTTAAGTAAATAAAAAAAAAAAAACTTTATTTATAACGTCCCGTATTCTGCACGTCTCTGTCCCTCCTGTGATGTAATAATTTGCGTAGCTGTTTAATCATAATTGGGCTTATGGGCTCTCTCCAATAGTTTTCTATTGAGCAGCTGCAATTATGATTATTTATAAAATAAACATAACTTGTATAATATCCAGTGGAAACCACACCATGACTTTATTGTCGTTATACAAATAGTTTTTTCATTCGTGATGGTGGTTGCGGTGAATTTGCCCCATTAACTCCTACTGTTCAAAATACTTCTGCAATTCCATCCCTGAGTAAACATTCACTTATTGGTAACAATAGAACAAGTTTAAAAACAAACAAAAAAGTAACTTATTGCATCTTGTGAACATATAATTTGAATCAACACGTCTCTGTTTGATTCACTGAAGCAGAAACTGATCTGTTTTTATTCACTTGATGTACTATCCTCCGAATCCGGCACATAGAATTCTATATGAAATGTTAGTCATATTGGAACTGCTTTGAATTGGCTCATTTTTACCAAAACAGACCCAGGGGCGGATTCAGAGTCTGGTCTCTGGAGGGGCACTGCCAGATTATTTTGTGGAGACGGATAATATTTAATGTGTTGCTTATAGAACTATTTTATTTAACGTATCATACAGTCATAAACTTATTTAAAAGAACCGATTTTAGTATTACCTTCCTCCAGACACACTGAAGCAACGCGTTTTGGTGAAAAGGGCTATGCAAAACGCACTGCTTTCGAAGTACCATGCGTTTTCTCGTTCGGGTCTATTTCGATATTGTGTTTGTTTGGAGGTAATTATTAGTGGGGTTTTTTTATTTTATTTTTTTTTACATATATTGTGTATATTTTTTTTATATTTTATTTATTATTAGATGTTTTGTAATAACATTGTATATGGCACTGAATTTGTATATCGATATGATATGAAGCAGTATATTTCTGAAGTCCTTATTCGACCTACTAATACGTTTTTATATATATTTTTTCTAGATTTTGGTTTTTGTATATATGTATATATCTGATTTATTTATACATTATATTATATAGCGCTGTCCATTTTTTGCTTACTTATTGGTGTAGTGATTTATTTATTTTTTGCTCCCTCGGGTGCCCACAAGAAATCATGGCATGGTGAATCCCTATTTCTGCTTTTTGTAGCCCGGCTTTTCTTTATATACTTTCTTTGCCCAGATGTCCCTGATTTCCCCCCTCCCAGCTTTTCAACCGCTGCAGTAGGGATGTGCATGGGAAAAATATTTGGTTTGGCATTCCGAAATTCGGGAATTTAGGGGTAGTGTTATGGTGGGGGTAGGGTTAAGGTTACTCTACCCCTAAACCTAACCCTACCTCAAACACTAACCCTACCCTATCCCAACCCCTAACCCCAACCCTCTCCTGTTTTGCCACGTTTCAGAAATCTGAAGCACTTCGGCATTTCGGTTCGGCATTCCGAAATTCGGGCCTTCGGACATTTGGAAGCATCCGAATTTCCAAAATTCGTCTGAATTTGCATTCGGAACAAAACTAATTGCACGTGTCTACCCTGCAGTTGTTTTATTATCCTTGCATCTGTCAACATTTTTCTTTTTAAACCTTGCCACCTTTTTGCGCTCTACTGGAAGCCCTCTCGTTGCCCTTCTATCACTGTAGCAGGTCCGCCTTGGAGCTGCACTATTAGCAGTGTATTACCTATCTATGAAACACGGAGGGGCGTAATCTCTTTTGGAAGCTAGAGGACTCTTCTTCCAAGTGAGAGGTTTCATGTTGCTGTCACCAATAGGTGACAACTGTAAAAATGAAGCCTATGGAACAGCACAGCCAGGGCAATGGGCCTTGACCGGGCCAGGAGGTAGGCATAGCAATTAGTTTGAATTAACTGGCATTTAGGTAGTTGGGGGCGGGGCTTACTTGGGATATAAATTCCAGCTATTTTATGTAGAGGCCCTTCTAATAAATTTTAACTTGCCTATTGTCCCTCCCATTTGTTTAATTGTTTGGGGGTTCATTCCTATTTCTTCACAGCGGTTTAATCAGTTGGAAATGGGGCCGGTGAGCTGGGCATGTTATGTTTTATCTGGTATTTATATTGTTATAATTGTAGGGTAATTGCCAGGAGTAATTTATGTATGGGGGGGGGGTGTCTGTTTTAAATATATTACATATTCTTTTGGCAATGGCCCTATTTTGTTATATTTTCCTCCTCCCGCCGGGCTCTTTCTCCAGCGCCAGGGACTCTCCTCCCTCTTCCGACATCATTGGCTGAATGTGCATGCGCGAAAAGAGCCGCGTGCGCATTCAGTCAGTCCATAGGAAAGCACAGTGAGAAGTGCAGAAGCGCCTCTAGTGGCTGTCAATGACACAGCCACTAGAGGCTGGATTAACCCTAAAGTAAACATAGCAGTTTCTATGAAACTGCTATGTTTACAGCTGCAGGGTTAACCCTAGATGGACCTGGCACCCAGACCACTTCACTAAGCTGAACTGGTCTGGGTGCCTATAGTGGTCCTTTAAAATAACAGCCTTATACGAAAAAGTCAATTATTCTGTATTATATGAAGTGTCTGCTGTAGGAATTGAAATCACTAGTTTGGGTGAACTTTTAGATTGCTTATAGTGCCCTAAACCTTACTTTACAACCCCTGTGTAAGCATTAAAATAAGTGACCACTTTGGAAGAAAAGTTTATTTTAAAGGTAACTCTCAGATCACAATAAAAGCTGTAATCAACTGATAACATTGTATGCCTAGGTAACAACATCATGGAGTGTGGTAGCTTCATTTTAGTTCCAAAATGCAAAGATTAGCATGAGATTTTCAGCATAAATTACAAAATGGTTTAAATTAAAAAAAAAATTTTTTTTAATTTCTTCATTTTTATTGGAAAACATGAGTTATAGAAAACTTTAGTTTTTGGGGGAATTAGAAATTGATGTTAAATGTCAAAGTTTAATATGTATAAACTATTGATACAATTATGACTCCCATGCTTAAGAATGCTATTAAGAAGCAATACAGCTAATCTTTACGCTCACATATTCCTGATAAGATACATACTATTTACACGCTGCACAGTTTCTGATAACTTCGTGACACTTGATACAAACTATACTTTATGAATGTATATGTAAAATTGTAGTATAAACCGTGGGTGGTTTCTGGTCACTGACCCCTTTTAAAAAAAAATAAAAAAAATCTGTGTTTAAAGCAGTTTCCAATTCTACAGGTATCTGCAGAAATCCAATATGAAGTCTGGAACACAATGCCTGTCTGTGCTCATTTGCATATTAAGCTGGGAACTCTGGGATAAATGTTGAAATTTGATTTTGAATTTCTATTCCCAAGAAGGACCCCTCAACTTGAGGACATTGATGCATAACAGTAACTTTTTGTATATGAAGTAAGGGGAGTTGTATCAAGTTTAGCCTCACCACAATCTTTTTGGTACATATAATATATATTTTACATAGAGAGAGCTAAATGTGCCATGTGTACTTACCATTGCTTCATAAAATACGATTCTGAAATTTTCTAAATCCTTTAAAATCACTTAACAGAACATTTTAATATTGTATACGTGCCCCTGATATTTAACAAAAATGTGTTTGAAAATTCTATAAATGCTGCCATTTTCTGCTATTAAACATTGTTCGCGCAAGAACTGAAACAGAAATAATATTTTTCTACTTATTAGCATTGTGTGCCCTGGTTGTGCCTGGGATGAATTGTAGAATATTATCACTAGATAAAACTTTAATGTATCTTTAAAAGAAAATGGAGCTACACAAGTTATGGGTGTTTCAATAATTTATACAAAGCTGTAATTGTATACCTACAATGAAAACAGTGTTATTTACTAATGTGTGAATTGTAAAGAATTTAAAGTAAATTGCAAATATAAAGGAAAACAAATCAGAAAAATAACGAATTTACATTTTTTTTATCCCAAAGTGACTGTTTTGGTTTAAAACAAAAACTCAACTTTGTATTCCTGACTAATCACATATAGAGATGTCGCGAACCGTCTGCGAACCGTTCGCGGCGAACTCCGGTCAGCTGACACATCCCGGCCAATCTCCGGCAGACCCTCCCTCCCAGACCCTCCTACTTCCTGGACAGCATCCATGTTGAAGGCACATAGCCCCATCATTTTTAAGACTTTTCTGCTACACAATTTGAAACCAGTCATCAATCTAAAGGCTCACAATTTATTCTAAGAAACAGGAGGGGGGTATGTACTCATAATATAGTCAAACATTTTCTTATGAATAAAATATCTTCTACTTTTGCATTTAACAGGTTTGTTAGTTTAGCCATAATTTAACCGGCATATCGTAGAATAAAATAATCAGTCAGTTTGTAAGGTGTACCGAAGAATAGTCTATTTTATTTATTATGGCTAACTTTGGTCAAATTTTTTAAAAATTCATTATTATATACATTTTTACATGTGTATCAAGATTATTACAACAAAATAAAATGCATAATGTATAAAAGTACACAAACAAAAAACAAACCAAACAAAAATAAAACCATGATTCCATTAAATCTCATAAAACAGTTTGTGCTTTCACTTTACACTTAAGTCTGATACTAATGTGAGAAATGAAGTGCTAGGAAGACCACGCTCAGATTTATAGTAAATGGGTTAAAGCTGATCTGTCACAGTTTGGATTGATGTGGTTTTTTTTGTTCTGGCATAGAAGAAACTTTATTCAGAAAAGCCTCTTGCTAGCCTAACTAAATATAAAGATCTCTGCTATATCAGGCGAAATGGTATAAATGGCCTTATACAATATTGCATAATTTAAAAAAAATAGCTTATAAGGAAACAGACTACCCATGAAAAGAAACCCGAACAGCCTGAATATCTACAGTCGCATGAGTGAAGCATCAAGCTTGCAGTTTTGGGAAGAGGATGAATCATATTACATACAGTATGTTCTGGGAGAAGTTTATTTTTAAAATATCTATGTATACAGATACAAGCTGCACTCACAACACCATGCAATACAGCTGGCCAGGTGCTAAATCTACGGATAGCTTGTAAATAGAAGATACTTAAATTCAAGCAGTAAGGTGAAAATTAAAACCTTGCTCTAATTAAGTCAACATTTCGGTCCTTACTATAAATATACTATATATCACCAGATCCGGACTGGCCTGGCCTACTGGGCCAAGTGATAATCTGGGAGATCTCGCCAAAAATACTTGTTAATGGGCCACCTGTATTTTCCTACTCTTCCACACTGTCGCCATGCCAGACTATAGAGGCCCGTGTAGTTTTCTGAACGGGCTTTAGGTCATACTATGCTGGAAATAAACAAATCAGAGGGCAATGCGGGAATTAAAACAGGCCTATCTAGTACTCCACAGCACAGACACAAGAGGCAGCGGGATGGGGAAGGGGTAAGAGCTGTACCAAAAAAAAAGGTAAATTTGTATTTCCTAATCCGATCCTGACTATAGCATACATACATATATATCATTAACACACATACATAAATTTCACTCTTAATATTTAGTGATTTTATTATTTAGTTTACAACACATTTATCACATTATTGAACTGACAAAATGAGAAACTCACAGCTGTGAAGCTATATTTCTGAGAGTCCTTTCTTTTTCCTTTTACATTCACATAGGATACTATGTTGAAAAAATATTATAAACTTTATTTTCCTTAAAGCAATTTCTGTTGCCATAAGCCATTATTGTTGGCTTTTTAAAAAGATTTATTATAATCCTAAAGGGTTCATCTAGACTGGAAGTGATCACCTTTTTTCGTGCATACAAAGATAATGCATTAAAAAAAAAAAAAGTATGTAAAAAATATAAATAAAATCTGATCCCTTAAAAGTTCCTGTTGCTAATCCACAGGCCAGTCGCAGCAGTAAACGGCACCGGCCAGGCCAAGGAGACATTCCACCAATCAATTAATTAAGGTTGTCAGATTTGCCACGTTTTCCTGGACAGTATATCATTTATTTATTCTTGAAAAATGCTTCTGTGGAAACACGTATAATTTAGATTGTGCAGGAAGGAACTTTTTTGAATCCCCTCTTTCAGTACACGAATTCCAGTGCTTTCTTGATCCATTTTAAAATTCCTAAAATTGCATCAAACCTCTCTTTTAGAGGAAGGGGTTTCATTTACCATGTACCAAAGTCCAGCATAGATTCATGGAATATGTAATTTTTTTCCCATTTGTAGTTCTATTCATCTCATAACAGGAGAGGAACTACTCTATAAGTTGATAGCAGCTGTTATAAATACAGTCAGGTTCACAGTGTTGTGGACAGTGCGGTGTACAGCAATTGCCGGAGCCACCAGTTGCACATTTGCACTATCACAAATTGGGATTTCTCCAGAGCCAGAGAGAGTCAGTCTGCCAGATCGTGTGTGGTGTGTGCTAAATAACAGGGAAACTCTATGCACCTTTGCAATGTCGCATAGTTGTTATGGTGCAAAAACAAACCTTTAAAACACATTTTATGTATGAAAGGGGGAGCTCGGTTTGACATCCTATGCTTTTTAATGAAACTTTGCTGCAACCTTTAGGATTTTCAGAAAAAATATATTTAACCATTTTTAAGAACAGAATTATTAAGGAAATCAGACTCCATTATTGATATAACATTTTATCACGTCTCTTCTTCGTCTTCACTTAATACCATGTCCAGTTCTGTTCTTTTAATTTCTTCTTTTGTCTTGGTATATTCTTCTTTCATCTTTTCCAGTTCAGCAAATTCCATTTTTAGTTTTTCTTTATGGGCGGCACGCCGATTCCTTAAGATCTTTAACCGGAATGGGTTCATTTCATTGAAGGCGATGTTCATTAGTCTCCTGCAGAGCAAAAGAATGAGAGATAACTATAGATGGAATAAAAACTACTATAGGAGACATACACAGGGTTACGTAATAAAGTGAAAATTCTAAGTGAATTTCAGATTTAAAGCCAGAGTAGCCAAAACTGATAGCATAGCGAACTGGAGAATTTTTCCAGTTTGGCTATTTTAACCTTAAATTAAAATAGCCAATTCCGTGAATAACCCTTACATGTGGTGTTGTTTTTTTTTTTTTTTTTTATAAAATGTGAATATTAAAAAAATTCAACTAGTTTGGTCTAAAATGTAAAACTTCCTTTAAATTCACACCTTAGTGAATACATTTGCCACTCTGTAGTTTGTATATATTGCATTGGTAGTATAAAATCCAGATTCTAGGTGCTTTTTAAAAAAAAAAAAAAAGATTTTATTGCACAATTGATGTCAATATTGGGAGGGTTTGTATGTAAAACGCACGTTCACACCTGGCAGTTCTGCATTTCATAATACCATAAGTTATGCAGGACATAGAAGGAGGGACATTTCTGGATGTAGACATGACAATAATTATGGTATGGTAATCTTGATCGTATAGATGTTTGTTTTTATTGCATAGGCGGCGCAAGGGTGTGGCTTTGGAGGCCGAAGCCCCAGATCTTGGTAGAGTGAGGTAGCAAGAGGATTATAGTGTTTTTATTTTTATTTTACTCAAAGCAGCCGCCTTATACAAAAAGAAATATCACTAGTACAGGTTATCCAGGCTACCTAACGGGATGCGGTACTGGGGTACAGAAATTTTCTGCAAACCCCTCTATTGGTTAGGTAGCGTGAGATCACAGTGAATGCCTGGTTGGTAGCACATGCTACCACTATATATTCTGGAAGGCATAACCAGCACACTGCACATGGGAGAGGGGATAAAATAAAGAGGAGAGGATATGGCATGGTGCCCCACCTCTCTGTAGGTGTAGGGCTTATAAATGTTGCTGCTCTGCTGTTTAAGGAACCATTGTCCTTGTCGTATTGTACTACATAATAATTTTCTCTGAAACTGCTATGTTTTCAGCTGCAGAGTTAAAACTAGCGGTAACTGGCACCTAGATCACTTCATTGAGCTGAAGTGGTCTGGGTGCCTATAGTGGTCCTTTAAGGTAAGATTGTACTATATGTAGGTGTGGCATGGTAGTTTTAACACTGTAAGGTAAGGAATACATGTTTGTGTTCCTGACCCCAGGGCCGGACTGGGAAAAAAATTCAGCCCAGGCATTTTTCAATCACAGCGGCTGCCTGAGAAGGGGGCGGGGCCAGAGAGTGTGTTTTGTCATCACTAATGACAAAGTGAGCATGTTGGTTCAATGCCCAGAGCCACGCTGGAGAGCTCTAGTATGAGAAAAAGGCCCTGTATTTGTTCTGTGCAGCGCAAGCAAATTTATTAACATGCTTGCGCTGTGTTTGCTTTTAACTTGTCTCTGGTGTCTCCATAAGTGTAATACCAGAGGACAAAAGGCCAGGAAAGCGTATCGTACATGTGTTTGGAGCCTGCTTGTGGGATTATGTGTGTGTAGCGTGAGCTGATTGTGGTGTGGTACTGTGTAACTAGGTTGATTTTATTTGTGTTTGTGGTGTAATAGGTGTGGCTAGGGGCTGTAGAGAGTGTGTGTATAGGGGGCCTAGTGTGTATAGGGGGATGTAGTGAGTGTGTGCATATGGGCTGTAGCGTGTGTGTGTGTTTAGAAAATGTAGTATGTGTTTGCTTACAAGGAATGTAGTGTGTGCATAGGGGATCCAGAGTTTGTATGTCAGGAATGTAGTTTGTGAGTAGGGGATCTAGTGTGTAAAGGACCTAGAGTGTGTATAGAGGATTCAGAGTGTATATAGGAATCTAAATGTGTGTATGTGTATGTAGAGTAGATGATCCAGAGTTGGGTAAGGAATCTAGCGTGTATCTGGAGCGTTGTGTGCAGTGGTTCAGTGTGAGGGGTTCTGTAGTCTGTGTATATATATATATTTGGACGTATTGTATGTGTGAGGGGCGCAGTGTGTTGGATGTGCTGTGTGTGTGAGGGTATTCTTATCTGCCGTCACATTCTTTGTTTTTAATTTTCTTTGTCTGTTAACTCACTGAGGGTTATTTTATATATTATATATGTGTGTGTGTAATGGTTCTGTGTGTGTCCGAGGGTGCTGTGTGAGGGTGATGTGTTTGGGGAGGGGTAAATTTAAATATATTAAAGATGTAGTTAATTTAAAACAAACAAACAAACAAACAAACAAAAAAAACTTTATATCCCCACTCCCTTCTTACCTTATGCCTGGGAGGGACCATACTGCCATCCCTGGTGGTCCAAGTGATGAGAGTGAACTTTAGCCTGTGTGGCTAGAGTTCACTCTCACGAGACCGGAGCATTGCCATGGTAACCGCGGCAACACTCAGGCCTCGCAAGAGGAACCCGGCGGAGCTGCAGGTAAGAGCTCCACCGGGTCCTCTTCTACCTCCCCCACAGGCGGCTGCGTTTCACAGCCTGGGGGCCGGTGAGGGAGATCTTTTATCTCTCCACCGGCCCATGAAGGCACACAGCAGGGACCCTCTATCCGCCTGACTACCGCCCAAGACGGTCTCCATCCCTCCCCGTTCCAATTGGCCTGCCACGGGGGCCTGCGCCCACGCGGGGTGACGTGAGTCGGACAGGGGTGAGTAGAAATCTGGGTATACATCGCTTAACACACGCACCTGAGAAACCATGGCCCATCGACCGGCTCCCATATCTGTCCTCACCCTTAATTGCAGGGGATTGAACATCCCGGAACGGAGGTCCCACCTCTTGCGAGAACTTAAGAAAATACATATATTGGTGGCGATGCTACAGGAGACGCACTTTCGCCCCGGTGCGGCACCCAAGCTCCAGAATAAATCGTACCCAACAAACCACTTCTGCAACCACCCTACGGCAAGGAAGGCTGGGGTTGCAATACTGACATACGCCGGACTGGAGCTCCAGGAACTGGACAGCATTAGGGACACTCAGGGCAGGTACCTCTTTTTAAAGGGGGCAATAGCGGGTAAGATATACACCTTCGCCAACATTTATGTCCCCAACAAACGACAAGCCATGTTCTTGAAAAGCACCCTGGCAAAACTAAAGGACTTCTCCGAGGGCATCCTAATCCTAGGAGGCGACTTTAATGTCCCGCTGGACCCTCTTTTGGACTCCTCTACGGGACACAGTAGCGTCACTCAACTACATATACGAGCTATCCGAAGAGCCCTGGGCGATATGGATCTAGCGGATTGCTGGAGAACACTGAACCCATCAGTGAAAGACTTTACATACTACTCCGCGCTTCACGATAGATACTCCCGCATCGACTACCTCTTTATTAGACAAGCTGGGCTATCGAGCCTGATCTCGGCCAAGATAGAACCGGCCACGTGGTCGGATCACGGCCCAGTTGTAGTGGAGCTCGAGTCCCCACTTTTTCGACCTTCCGTGTGGACGTGGAGACTTAACGAGACCCTCCTCCTGGACCCTGGCACACGGGAACAAATCTCCCAGGCATTGACTCAATACTTTCAGGATAACGCGACCCCAGACATCTCTCCGATATCGCTCTGGGAGGCCCATAAAAGCGTCCTGCGGGGCACGCTCATACGCATAGCCTCACATAAGAAGAAGGCGGCGATAAGCGAGATGGCTAACCTCTATAGGCGAATCACAGATTTGGAAGCTCAGCATAAAAGGTCACACCTCATGGAGATATACCGGGACCTTATGCAATCCAGACGACAACTAAAGGAGCTCCTTGTGAAACGCCACCACCGCTCCCTGCAACGCTCTAAGGCATTCTTTTACACCCATGCCAATAAGGGGGGACGATTCCTTGCCCGCCTACTAAAGGGCCAGACACCCCGCACCCAGGTTCGCAAATTACACCTCACATCGGGCGGGACCTCTGGCCTCCCGACGGACATTGCGGGGGAATTCAAGTCATTCTACAGATCCTTATACAACTTAGATGCGATGGAAACACAGTCGCAGTCAGCAGCGATCAAGGCACGCACACAAGAATACCTCCGCGAGGCGATAGGACCAACAATCCAGCCGGATGTGGCGACCGAACTAGAAAACCCGATCACATAAGAGGAACTAGCGGCGGCTTTGAAGGCGGCCAAGAGGGGGAAAGCACCAGGCCCGGATGGATTTTCCACGGGTTACTATAAAACGTTCCCATCGATAACCCTGCCGTGGCTCACGAAGGCCCTCAACGCTGTCGCGGACGGAAGCCACTTCGGAGCCGAATCCCTGGCGGCTACCATAACTGTCCTCCCCAAACCCGGAAAGGACCCCATGCTCTGTGGCAGCTACCGCCCGATTTCATTATTAAACGTGGATACAAAACTTTTTACAAAGGTGCTTGCTACCAGACTCCAATCCATTCTCCCCTCGCTTATACACAAGGATCAAACGGGATTCATACCCGGACGAGAAGCAAGGGACAGTACCCTACGACTCTTTGCGCTGCAACACTAAGCGAGGAATACACGACAACCCCTTCTCTTGATTTCCACGGATGCCGAGAAGGCATTCGACCGGGTGAAATGGCCTTACATGTTCGCTACCCTCAACCAGATGGGGGCGGGACGTAGATTCCTTACGATGATCCGGGCCCTATATGACAAACCGCGGGCCGCGGTACGCGTCAATGGAGCACTCACCGGAGATTTTGAAATTTCCAATGGCACAAGGCAAGGATGCCCCCTATCCCCGCTACTCTTTGCCATATCGCTGGAACCCTTGCTTCAGAAGATACGCCAACACCCGGACATCGGGGGCTTTACGTGGCAGGGCACGACCCATAAGGTCGCCGCATACGCGGACGATCTCCTTTTTTACATAACCAGCCCTCGGATCGCGATGCCCTGCCTGTTGTCGGAGTTCGAGAAATTCGGCTCGATCTCCGGCTTTAGACTCAACCTGTCGAAGTGTGAAGTGTTAAACGTATCCATGCCCGATGATGAATTCCTGGCCCTGGAGTCACTGTTCCCGTTCCGGTGGTGCTTTCAAAAAATGAAATACCTCGGGATTTGGATAACCCCGAACCCTAAAGACCTATATCGGCATAACTTCGCCCCTCTCCTGAAGAAGATAATGACAGACTTGGAAAGATGGGCATACCCACACATCTCATGGCACGGACGGATAGCAGTTCTCAAGATGAACATCCTACCGAGACTGCTATATCTGTTCCAAACAATACCTCTTGCCCTGCCGGCAACTTTCTTCTCCGCTTTGAAATCCGCGGTCATACGATACGTATGGCGGGGAGAGAGGGCACGACTGAGATACGACCTACTCTGTCTACCCAGATCTCGCGGTGGCCTAGCGCTACCTGATTTTAAGAAGTACCACCAAGCCACGGTCCTGCAGCGAATTATTGAGTGGCACGCGGAGCCTCAACAAAAACAATGGGTGGCGATGGCACGAGAGGGCCCTGCAACCCCTGTACAGCCAACCATATGGGGAGGGATAACCAGAAAAACACAAAGTCGCTAAAGAGGGACCGATGGAACAAACGCTATATAGCTGGAACTCCATGAGGGAGGCACCTCATATCTCGCCAACGCCCAGTCCGATGCTTTCAATTACCAATAATAAAGCAATAGGGGGTGGATTCCATCCAACAACGTGGCCCTTTGCGGAAGGTCGCGAATATATACCAATCCACACGATCTTACAGAAGGGAACACTGCAGACCCTAGACACTTTACTAGAGGGAAAGCCCCGGACACCCCTGGCAGTTTTTCGTTACCTACAAGTGAAACATTATTACGATAGTATACGGAATAAGGAACAACTCCACAGGGAACGCACTTGGCTGGAGGACTGCTGTGAGAAGAGGATCGTACTGGGGAATGCTATTTCCACACTGTACCAACACCTTCTGACCGGACATCTAACGACAAACACAATGTTCCGCAGGCAATGGGAGGAACGGTTGGACACGACTTTCACGCCCCAACAATGGGACAAGGCGCTTATTTGGCAACACAAGAGCTCGGTTAGCTCCCAATTTCAAGAAACAAATTACAAATTGATAGCCTCCTGGTACAGGACTCCTGTCCTTCTGCATAGGATATTCCCAACCATTACCCCAATGTGCTGGAGATGCCAGAAGGAAAGGGGGACGATGATGCATATTTGGTGGGAGTGTAGCGAGATCACATCGTACTGGAACATGATCAGACAGAGGATAATAGAAATACTGGGCGACGTGACGGACTGGTCAGCTGCACTGGCCCTCTTACACATATCGCAGATGTCAGTATCCTCCTACAAAAGATCCATCCTTCGACACCTCTTGAACGCAGCCAAGTCACTTATTCCGCTATATTGGAAACAGACGGAAATACCCCGCGAAGAGGAGTGGATCCGCAGAGTGGAGGATATTCAAGGGGCCGAAGCATTGCAGGCAACACTGCAAGACAGAGGGGGTAAACACGCAGAGCGATGGCAGCCATGGTTTGTCTTCACATCACAAAATACACGGGGATAGAGACGTTGAGAACGGCGACACACCCGGGGGCGCCCGGCTCTCCGGGGCACGGCCAATGCACGCTTCCAAATACCATGATATCCCGACCACGCCCTCTACATGATGGGTGCAAGCCTGTTACCCCCCCATTCTTCTTCTGCACCCTTATCCACACCCATAAACAAGTACTGCCAGGTGGCTAGACAAAATGCGGGAACCTAACACACATGCACCCAAGCAACCCCAGGGGCCGTCTACATAGCATACATAACCAAATGATAATGGGCTCACTGTACGTCAAGAGGGCTTCTGATGACCTCAGGGGAACACCACACTCTACTCCATCCTATGCTATCTTTGTTCACTCTATGTGAACGTCTCTCACCCTAATCCAGGTAACCCAACCCACCCACTCCCCCTCACCTCACCCCTCTTTCTCTTTCTCTCTGGTTTCCTCTCCACCTTTAAACCTACGACATCCACCATCTAGGAAGATATGCTAACACCTTAAAATGTAATTATGTTGCATGGTGATATGTGGTAACTTAATTGTCCATGGATAAATATGTGAAATGCTTTACATGTAATTCCTCATGAAGATATAGACGAATATCTAACGCTAAAAAGTATGATGTCTACATGTTGCTGAGCTTTGGTTCTCTCTCATATCAAAAAACCTTTAATAAAGATTATCAAAAAAAAAAAGGCACACAGCAGGGCCGGCATTCTGATAGTACCGGCCCTGCATGGGCATTTGCCAAGTATGACCGATGGCCAGTCCGAGCCTGCCTGACCCTATACTTTAACTGCTGAACTCTTTCAGGATTATAGCCCAAGCTTGAAGCTCCTGCTTTAACTCAAGTAATGAACACAAATATTACAGCATTTAATGATAGCATATACAACATAATATAATTAGGCTAATTCCAGATTTGAGTGTTAGACCTCCCCCCACAAAAAGGTCTCAAATAGAGGTTACTCACCATTTTTTTCCAGCTGAGAGATTCTTACTACCAGGCCAATCCAATACCCTTCATAGAGAAGCATTTTGGTCCTCTAGTGCATATGTCGCAATCTCTGCGATGTGCTCATAAAGTAACATTTATTCCCTTGCTTCCTTATCTTTACTTCTGCTTTTGGACAACACTTGAGGAAGAGCACAGTCCTTGCTGTCTGATTGACAGCAAAGAGGGTGCATGCAACTTAAAGGTTTACATCAATCTATTCAACATACATTATATATATATATACACACATACACACACACACACACAAATTTGCATATGCCCACCCAGAATCCTTTGCGGTAGTAAAATCACTGCAAATTTGTGATTTCTGTGGGAAAAGCAAGTCTTATGGCTTGACTGGTGTGCAAAAGGTTTGTTTAACATTGTATTAATGTTATATTTTTGTATATGTTGTATTTTTATTTATTAATGAATAATGCCCTATTGGCCATTATTCTCCTGATCAAAACATAGTTTATGGTGCTGCTTTCCACGCCCCCTCCTGACATCACTGCAGTCAATGCACGGTCCATTCAAAGGCTTTTTCATCAAGTCTTTGATTGAGCCATCTCAGAATGCATGGGCACACTCTAAGCCAGCAAGCAGAGGGGGAGAGGGAGGGAGTCTTGAAAAAAACTAAACGGATGAAATAGGGTGATGGGAGCAATAAGACCTAATCAAATTACGTCTGTCGCCCGTGTGCAGTGAACGCTGATGACAGATATCAAAAAAACTAACAGAGTTGATAATAGGCAGCCCTGAGCAGAGCAACTAGCCCCACCGGCACAAAATTACAAGTAATTCAATAACTGGTTGTGCAGTGTTTGCAGTTCTAAAATAAAAAAAATTTAAAAATGGGCCTAGCCGGTAATACCGTGCCTAAAGCATGTCACCAAACCGAAGAGCTTTAGGGGTCTGGAGTGAGTGTTTCTTTAATAGCAAATCATTTCAGAGACACAAATTTGACCTGTTGCCCAATAAAACTTTTTAAACACTTTTCTAACAGCAGTAAAACAAGATAAATAAATGATGGATGCATGTAGTGTATTCTCATTTTAACTAACCTGCCATCACAGATTGTCTTGGTGAAGAATGAGAGATAGTGGTAGATGTCCGATTCATTATTAAACTTTAAGATCTCCTCTTCATTATATTTAAAGATTGCCAGCGCGTAGCGAAAGATGACCTGTTACAGTTTAAGGAATAGAAGATTATTTCTTTAAAAAACAAACAAAAATTAGCATGTTTCAACCATTTTACTTCGTTACAATTTAATTAAAAATGATTACCAACAAATTTTCCTATGATCTGACTGGTATCCCTTTGGCAACATTGATGATTATTTGGTACAACATTTGAGCAAACGATTTTTATTATAACTATGTAAAATGTAAAGTATTGGCTCTTGAATAATACATTTGTGGGATTGTGGTTTCAATATTTATGATCTTAAATTGCACTGTCACGTGTGCTAATTAATCCCAAGTTGACATGAATACTTGTACTGCGCTGGGTGGGCAAAGCTAATAGGAGATACACTTTTCTAAAATTATCTCCGGTGGGCAGTGCCATCTGATCTTTTACAATGGTTCTCTTTCATTCTCTGTCATTGTTTAATTTTTGTTTTTAAATTTTGTATTTTTGCAGTGCATAAGAGTATACATACAAGCCTGAGGTACCCCAAAGGCAATCCTCAGGTCTAATATCACGCTTTACAATTGGTGTATTCGAGACCTCGTGCACAATTTTGTTTAAACAGGCTAACTTCAGGCATTAATCGAGTGACTATTGCTTAATAGGTATTGGGAGTATATTGTAAAACGAGTAAAACAGACTAAGGTAGGTTAGCTTAAACATTCCAGCTTAGATAGATAAGTGGGTCAATGCTTGTTGCTGGTACTGAGCTGGGTAGCTGCAATAACTGTGGGAGATATATTCACCCTATAGTGAAGCATGGTTATGAGTATGAGATTGGCACTTCATAGAGGCTAGGATTACGATTATTATGCAAGGCACATACTTAGTAGGATTGGATCATTGGGACATATATGCAATGTGTCCTCTTAGCCGATACCCAATGTGGGCTTAGCGTGGTCCCGCTGCAAGCCGACTGTCTGTATGCGTCGTGGATCTATCATGGCTGACCGGGACTCTGTCATTTTATAGGCTAGTAGCAGACATCACTATTGTATTCTCGTGCATTCAGTACATGAGACTAGATCCACGAGATTGCGGGATCCTCTATAGAACCTCTTACAAAAGAAGAGGACTTTGAAGCATCTTTGAAGCATCAACGTTTGCCAACTTCGGGAATGTCAATTTCATAAGACCATTTCAATTGTAACAGTCAATATAGTGTTTCAGAAAAGTGATCTCTTTATGAAATACTCAAAGGGGACAGTGCCGCTTTAATGTGTAGCACACCCTAGTCTATAAAAATCACTCACATTGTAGTTATCAAGCAATAAAGCCAGATAGGGTGAGGCATGTAAAAATACACAAGAGTTGAAGGATAATAATAAAACATTGAAATGAAGTATAACTTCCTGTTAAACACAATCCATTAACTGAATTACTCAAAGTATGAATTACCTGAAATTTAAAAAGAGAATTTCAAATATTAGACCAAAACATCTCAAATGAAAAAAATAATAACTACAAGTCAGTTACATTTTAATTTATTTCAGTCATTGAATTCCCAGCAATTTACACTCGCCAAGTTTTATTGGCTTTAAATTTAGAAAATTTGAAAATGAGCAGTTTAGCTTGAGAGAGGGCCCAGGTTTACGAAAGACTTTAAGTATATAATTCTCTAATTGCGCCCCAATAATCATCTCGAGTTAACTTACAGCATAGTGAATTTCAGCGTTCTCACGTCAGAAAAGGTATAAAGCAATATATGTTCGATATAGGGGCTTTTACACAAAAAAGTGGTATTAAAGGAACACTTCAAGTACCTTAACTACTACAGCATGTTGTAACAGTTGACGGGCCAGAATAATTGTTTCTAATAATTTGAATTCGTAACTGGGGTTAAGTGGGCACTGCTCTCTGCCTCTCCTCTTCCAGTCGTGAGGGCCAGCTTATTGACGGAGATTGTCTGCTGATAGCAATATAGAGCCAGCTCATTCCCTGTAACTGCTGGCAGAGAACTAATTGAGGTAGAGAGTGGCATTCGGCAGACCCCAGGTAAGAAGCCAAACGGCACAATGTAGTCGTTATGGTGCTTAGAGAGTGTTCAGATAAAGATACATTGTCAAACACAATCATTCCGTTACATGACATACACTACCCACAGGTACCTCATTTTATAAGCAGAATTAGTTAAAATCCCTTCTGTCACTTAACTGATTGCAGCGCCGATAACCCTTGGCGCAGGTTCAGGCTCTGCCTCCGCTCAAACTCCATTGACCTCACCTGGCGGGGGACCTAATGCGCATGTGCAACGATTGCCGTGCCGGCATTAGGACTTGCCCCATAGTAAAGGGGGTTTTGGGTGACCCCTTAGGAAATCATTATACAATACTAGATAGCCACTAGAAATGGAGCTAACCCTGCAAGTTATCAATAACGGCAATAATTACATTTGCAGTGTTAAGGGGCCTAGGACACTGAAGTGGTCTGGGTGCCTATCGTATCCATTTAATATAAGATTTCCAAGAAAACAGCATCACATAAATACGGTAGCACAATCTATAGGTGGTTTTAATGTTTTATTCAATTGTGTAAATTCCAGAGAAGTAAAAAATTCCCTTTAAGTATCCTTGTAAGAATAAGGAATTATTTTATTAATAATACCGCCTTGACAATTCTGATCTACAATTGCCCAAAAAAAAAAAAAAAAAAAAAAAGATTATTCCCATATGGAATTCTGGGTAAATGTATTGACCTAAAATAACATGCAACTGGCATATAATTACGGAAACAACAATATAATAAATAAGTATTTTTTAGACATAGCACTTGTTAACCATGATAACTGATAAAGGTCTTACCTTTGTTCCTTCATAGAGGAAAGCGTCCCAAACTCGGAGTAAAATATCACTGACTAAGGTGTCAACAAACACCACAAGAAACCAGTTAAAAGTGATTAAAGACAGGTCAATCTTGTATTGCTGGAAGTGAGAAGTCAATCTCGGGAGCTTCTCTGACAAAAAGTCCTTGAATACCCTCTGATCGACCTAACAGAATAACAACAGTCTCATATTAAACACCAATCACTATAAGCTCAGTATCTGAATTCTACTGGACTTTGTTAATGAAAATTCCCAGATTTTACTAGTAACATGACGTAAAGTCATGATTTTATTAAAGACACGGAGGCGAGTATTATGCATAACTCTTTCTTTATTTCCTCAGCAGCAAAGAAAGAGAAATATAAATATTATCAAAACTGAAGAAAAAACTGTATAGGCACAACAGGTAGCCAATCACAGGGTATAGGAAGTAGCTATATAAGTCTTGTGTCTCCCACAATCCCCCTCTTTCTTGCGAACCGAAGACCAGGTAAGATGAACGATGTCCCACTTGGCCGAAACAGGGTAACGGGAAAACGATGCGACAATTTCAAGCTAAAAAAGATAGAGAAATATGGTAATTTCTTAATTCAGAACTGCAAACTTACCAAACATAGTCTTGGGGAGACACAGGTAAAACAGAGTACTGAAATATAAAAACAACAGAATTAGTACACAGCATAAAGGTACAACAACCCGTACAAAAGATGCAAATCAACTGATAGGATACAGATCGAACTGAAAAAACCTACCTGTAGAGCCACCAAGCATCTCGTACCCCAACTCCACACCGGGAGGGTGGGAGGGAATAATACTCGCCTCCGTGTCTTTAATAAAATCATGACTTTACGTCATGTTACTAGTAAAATCTGGGAATTTTATTAAAGACACGGAGGCTCATATTATGCAAGTTCAAAGCTGTGCCACCACACGAGATGCGATGTGCTCAATTGGCCTGAAGTAGAAGGTTCGGAAGGTCGATTCCCGAGACCAATCCGCCGCTCGCATAATGTCCTCTAGGCGACATCCGACTGAAGAGGCTTTCGAGGCCATCGCGCCCCTGACAGAATGGGGCGTAAATACTGAGGTGTCTATACCCGCGGAGGATAGCAGCCAGCGCACCCAACGTGCTAGAGTAGGAGTCGAAACCGGCCGGTGAGGCGATTTAAAGGATATGAACAGATCGTGCAGGTCTGTCATGCGAAGGGGACGTGTAACATCCAGATAGTCCTTGATGCAATCCACCGGGCAGAGCGCTGGACAGTCTGAAAACCTAGGGTATGTAAGTGACTTAGATGCAGACTTGGTCCTCCTGGAAATGTCAAAGGTGACGCCTTCTGGGGTGAATGCAACGGCGTCCCAGTCCAGGGCCCGAACGTCAGAGATTCTTCTGCAAGAAATCAGGCACAGTAACATAACCAATTTGGCAGACAATTGCTTGAGAGTCAGCTCCAAATTGGGGTACCATGATGATAGGAACTGTAGCATCACGTTGACGTCCCAAAAGGCGGCAAAACGAGGTCGAGGAGGACGAGCAAGGCGAATACCCTTGAGAAGTCGACAGACAAAAGGATGCTTGCCAACCGGAGAACCGTCTAGACCTTCGTGACCGGCTGAGATAGCTGAGCGGAAAAGGTTAATCGTGCGGTATGCCTTGCCCGAATCAAATAGGAACGTGAGGAACTCAAGAATCAAAGGCAGAGGTGCAGATACGGGATCCATTGCCCGTTCCATGCACCAACCAGACCATGATCTCCATGAATGTCGGTAAGCTGTCCGTGTACCCGGGGCCCAGGCGTTATCGAGGAGTCGGAGAGTTGACTGCGAAACGTCTGGGATAACCCAAGGTCCCCTGAAAGGAACCATGCTATGAGGGGTAGCTGATGCTGCAACACCAGGTCGTGAGAGTTCCCATCCGGATCCAGAAGGAGGTCTTGGAATACCGGAAGTAAACGAGGGTAGTCTATGGACAGTTCCATCAGCCGAGGGAACCATGGTCGAGACCTCCATAGGGGGGTGATCAAAGCCATCCGACAATCGTGGCGGACCAGTTTCGAGATCGTGCGTGCGATCATGTTGAATGGGGGAAAGGCGTACAGCAGACCCGGTGGCCATTCCTGGAGGAAGGCATCTGTCGCTATTGCAGCCGGGTCCGGCCTCCAACTGTAGAACCTCGGTAGCTGAGTGTTCAGGCGTGACGCGAATAGGTCCAACTGGAACCGGCCCCACAACCTGTTCAGGCACTGGAACACTGAAGCATGTAGATGCCAGTCTCCGGAGTCCCGTAAGTGTCTGGAATTCCAATCCGCCCCCGAATTGTCCAGACCTGGGATGTGTTCCGCCGTCACCGAAACGTTGTTGTAGAGGCAGAACTGCCAAAAATCCTTTGCCAGAAGCGCCAACATTTTGGATTTCGTGCCCCCCAGGTGATTTATGTAACGAACTGCTGATACGTTGTCCATCTTGAGGAGAACGCAACAATTCGCTCTCCCCGGAGCAAGGCTGCGGATCGCGAAGGCACCTGCCAGAAGTTCCAGGCAGTTGATGTGTAACGACTTCTCCGTGTCGGACCACCTGCCTCCTGTGGAGACGTTGCCACAACGAGCGCCCCAGCCGTGTAAGCTGGCATCGGACTCTATCACTACATCCGGGGCAGAACCGAAGATGGCTCTTCCGTTCCATGCCTCCATGTGCGCCAACCACCACGCTAGTTCGTCCCTGGACTCCTCGTCTAATGTTATCCGAGATTCGTATGAATGACCGGAGCGAAGCCGTGATCCCTTGAGCCGTTGGAGTGCTCGGTAATGCAGGGGGCCTGGGAAAATTGCTTGAATAGAGGCCGCGAGAAGGCCGATAATTCTCGCCAGTTGTCTGACCGACAAATCTGGAACACGGAGGGCCCTCCGAATTTCCTTCTGGATGGCTTTCACCTTGGCATCCGGGAGGAACAGGAACTGCTGGATGGAATCTACTTGAAAACCCAGAAACTCTATGGACTGGGCAGGGACCAGGACCGACTTGCTCCAATTGATCAGAAATCCCAACTTCTGCAGAAGGTCGGTCGTCCATCCCAGGTGTGTGAGGAGATCCTCTCGTGACTGGGATAAAATCAAGATATCGTCCAGGTAGATAATGAGGCGAACCCCCCGGGTTCGGAGGAATGTCACCACGGGCTTCATGAGCTTGGTGAAGCACCAAGGGGCCGAGGAGAGACCGAAAGGCAGGCAGGTGAAGCGCCAACGACGCCCATGCCAGGTGAAGTGGAGATAATCCCGGAACTCCAAAGCGATGGGGACCGTAAAGTATGCGTCCTTCAGGTCTAGCTTGGCCAACCAGTCCGATTGACGTAGGAGGTCTCTGAGGCAGTGTATACCTTCCATCTGGAAGTGTTGGTAGCGTAGAAAAGCGTTGAGTGGGCGAAGATTTATGACAGGGCGAACTCCGCCTCCTTTCTTGGGCACTAGGAATAAATTGCTCGTAAAGCCTGGGGCGGCGAACGGCAACTCCTCTATAGCACCCTTGGACAGCATCTCCACCACTTCCGTGGAAATCATCTCGTCTTGTTCCTGAGGGAGGGACAATTCTCTGGGGAAATAAAACTGGACAGGCATGGAAACAAACTCCAGACGGAAACCCCTTACACATTGTAAAACCCAAGCATCTGAGGTGATCTTTGCCCATTCTTGACAAAATAGGGCCAGTCTCCCCGCCACCCGAACTTGAGCGTGAGGGGAAGAAAGGGTACTCACCGTAAGGACGTCTGCTGGGGGTACCACCGCGGGGGTATCTGGATCCCCAGGCCCGACCTCTTGCCGGGAAGAAGGGAGGGGCCCTCTGTTCCTGAAATCCTCTCGAGGGAAAGAAGGAACCTCTGGTTGCGCGGAATGCGCCTCGGAAACCACGGCCGGGTGGACGGTTCCTGCTACGCCCGGCCCCTCCGAAAACCTTAGGCGCGAACACGCGCTTCATGTTCGCCTGTGCCTTGTCAATAGCCGTAAAGGTCTTGACATAAGCACCCATATCCTTAACGAAGGACGTGCCAAACAGGAGACCCTCCTCAGTTGGATCAGGCTCCGCCACAGTCATAGCGGCCAATTTAGGGTCGATCTTCAGGAGGATCGCCTTGCGTCTTTCTGTAGACATGGCCGTATTGGCGTTCCCCAGTAAGCAAATAGCTCTTTGGACCCAACCAACGGCCACATCCACGTCCAGGACGGAGTCCCCGGTCCTGGCAGCATCCAAAAGCTCGTAAAGCTTGGAAAGGGGACCTAGGGTATCCAGGATCTTGTCCTGGCAGCTTTTAAGGGAGTGGTCAAGGCCCTTCTTGGGCTTCCATCCTGACTTATTCAGGAATTGAGCAATTTGCGGGTCAATGTCCGGGGTTTTGCAAGCCGCGCCCGGGAGGGACGGGCGTGGGCACTCGGCGCGCAATTTATTGCGGCCTTCCCTAGAAAGTGGCGTGCGGATACGCTTAGCCACATATTGGGCGATGTGATCTGGGGGAACCCACTCGGCGGACCGAGGATGACGTAGGTCGTCTGGGTCAAACAGGGGGTTGCCCTGCGGGTCAAGGATCGAGGTGTCACCCCCCGGGGGAGCAAGTGAGGGGCCCCGGGTATTGGCGGAGGACCCGGAGGGGTTCACGCCCGTAAGGGGCAAATCCTCGCCAGAATCATCATGATCAAAGGAGTCGTACTCCATAGCGTCGGACTCATCCTCCACACTCCGGTCGGTATCCGACCCAATATCATGGGCTCTAGCCCTTTTCCATAGTCTAGCCTTTTTAGCCCGGCCAGGGGCTCTTTTGCGCGTGGGGTGCGCGCTATCTGAGACCGCCTCAGGCGTGTCAGTCATGGCAGGTAAAACCTGCATCGAGGAGTGGGAGCCGACATGTTTGGACTTAGCCTTTGCCTTACGGGCTCCAGGCACAGTCTGAGCAGGGGAGAGGGCAGGGGTGGCCATGGGAGGTAAAATCAGAGAGTGCAGGGACTGGGAGAAATTAGAAGAGACAGCTCCCATGGCTGAGGCAATAGCCTTCTGAATGGAGGAAGCCATAGTGGCCTCTAACATGGCTTGAAACTCTTGGGAGGCCATGGCACCATCAGTACTATCTAATTGGAAGTCCCCTGGGGGACCAACAGGCCCATCACCCCTATCCTGCATGGTAGTGACAGTGACAGAATAGACAGTGAGAATTTAAAGTAAAATAATAATGCAATGGCAATTATATAGTTACCAAACTGACTACAAACAAAGCAGGCTGAATAACACCAGGGTGTTAGCTGGGAGAGAGAGGGAAGGGTTGATTAACCCACAAGGAAATTGAAAAAACAAACGTTTTGGCTGGTGTCCCCAGGGAGCAGGGCTACGAGGTGGCCGGTCGCACGGCAGCACTGGGAGGAATACAAAAGACCGCCCCCAAAATGGCCGCCGCACGAGGAAGGCACACGAGGAAAACACTCGGCGGGGGAAGGGGCTCGTGCACCGACACGCTAACTGGAGTGAGGGAGGAGGAGAGAAGCGTGTACACCGCCGCGGTCGCGAGGAAATCGCGGCCGCGGCACAGCAGGTCGGGTCCCGTGCAGAAACACGGGTAGGAGAGGGGAGAGAGGAGGGGAGGGGTGGGGGCCGCCCGGACGGGGCAGAGACACACCCGCGGGCCCAGAGGGGAGACACCAGCCGGGGAAAAACAAAATCAAAACATCAAAATCAAAACATCAAAACCAATATAAACAATAAGAAAACAAATAAGAGTAAAACAAACAGTATGAAAAATCATAAAATGAAACACACTGTAATACAAATTAAAATGGAATCACAATGCAAGCCAAAGATCAGAGAAACACTTATCTGTCTGAGGAAGCAGCAAAGAAAGAGGAGGATTGTGGGAGACACAAGACTTATATAGCTACTTCCTATACCCTGTGATTGGCTACCTGTTGTGCCTATACAGTTTTTTCTTCAGTTTTGATAATATTTATATTTCTCTTTCTTTGCTGCTGAGGAAATAAAGAAAGAGTTATGCATAATATGAGCCTCCGTGTCTTTAATAAAATCCATTATTCTTTATATATTATTTACCTTAATGTACAATGGAATCAATTCATCATAGTGACAGAATCTGCAATTGTTTAATTCTGAGCACTCTGCAATAAATATATTGTTTATCATCTATTTTTTTTACAATGTTAACTTAAAAGGGTACTGTGACAGCAGTCACCATCACTGGGAGCAGAAGGACACTTTACAATGGTTCATAAATGGCTCCTATGTCTAAGTCACCCTGTGGCCATTATAGGTGCAATGTGTTTATGATGTGTGTGTACTATTATTTTGTGTGCTCTCTGGTCCTGTTAATGCTTGTTACCAACTAAGTGGATTTGGCTATGCAGCCTATATAGTGCCCTCTACTGGTAGCAATATGCACTACCTGAATAGCACGGATTGTTAATTTGTATTTTAAGGTAGATTTGCATACTCTTAATTTTGCAACAGGAGAGCTATTTGGTGTTAAATATTGTCTTCCCCACCCCTTTATAAATATGTTATTATAATCCCCTGTATGTTTTTTGACATGTTTTGGTTAATTGTATTTTATTAAGTTTGTCACATCAAGCTAAGTGTAACGATCATATGGGCTAGGCCCAAGTTAAAATAAAGTAAACCATGTTAATTCCTTTTGGAATTTGTGTCCTCTGTGTATGTTTTAGGGATCCCAGTTACAAAGTCTTTGGACCGGTTTGCTGGCTGCAGGATCCCTGTAGTCCTGGGTTAGATCAAAAGAGCTAGGCCCGAGAGCTGCAATTGCTATAATCACATTATAGGCCAGGGATAGGCAACCTTCGGTACTCCAGATGTTGTGGACTACATCCCCCATAATGCTCTTACACACATAATGCTGGCAAAGCATCATGGGAGGAGAAGTCCAAAACATCTGCAGTGCCGAAGGTTGCCTATTGTTATAGACAGTGTTCCTGATACCAGCCTGGAAGAAGGGCTGCAGCGGAATTGGCAGAGGTGGCAATATCTGTCTGAAAGGAGTGCTACAGCCTGGTCTGGCGGAAGAGCTCCTGAGAGACCCCAGTCAAGCTTCGGCCACACTACCTATCATAATACTTATGTACTTTTTGCCATGCTTTCCGCCCACTTTCCTGTTCCCTCTGGCGTTCCGTCCAACGCTGCACACAAGTGCATAGCGTGCATTTATGTGCGCCCGAATGCAGTCCTGAATTCGGCTTTCACTGAATCAAATGACGATACCGCAAATCGAATTTGGTGCACATATATGACATAAGAGGTCACACAAGAGAGGTCAATTACCGTCCACGAATCATCTGTAATTCCTTGCTGACCTGGACCAATAAGAAGTAAGACCTGCCTATATATACACACTCACCTCTCCCATTCCTTGTTGCCCTATTGTGGTTCTTGTTAGCCTAATAGCGCGTTACAGTTGTATTCTCCTTTGGTATTTATTCTGGTTCTGGTTTATCGTTGTTCCTGTCTTCTGTGATCCTTTGACCTCGGCTTGTTTAACATTTATTATGATTTCTATATTTCTTTGACCACAGCTATTCTCTCTGACTCGGTTTGTCCATTAACCCAGCCATTCTAAGAACCGGCATATAGAAAGTCTATTGATTGTTATTCAGGCTGTAAGTTCTGGTTCCAACCGGTTCTGACACTTTTATTAAATACCTCTCCTCATTCTATATATTTTGCTAGTAAAATCACTAGGCAATGTATAAATTCAATGGTCAACCGATTTATGGGAAATATTCTATGCCATCATGCTGATGTCTGTTGAAGGTGAGCTGTGTGGCGATGGCTCATTGCTTACGAGGATACTAATTTTCCGATGCTTCCGAAAGAAGGAGCAGAGCTGAACTGGAGGTTGCTGCCCATGAATGAGGGATGATGGCGGGGCTGGATCCATTGAGTAGGAGGTGAGTATTGCGGAACACAACTAAGACACACAGAAGTTGGGTGACAAAAAAACCCAACAACTTTTATTGGGACACTAGATAGGACAAGAAGTAGGAGTAGCCAAAGTAAAACATTATGAAAATCTCACTTTAATGATTGACAAGCTTTTTCCTCTGAAAGACAGGGGACTTTATCCAATTAAGTAATATACTTATGTTGTGCTGGAGTGGGGGCAATATGGTTGGATTACAAATGATTTAATTCCATATACTAGACTGCGTAATGTTAAAATGACTAAAAACATTTTTAAAGTAGCATTTTTGCTGTATGTGTTTAATCGTGAAATACAGATTTCAGAATAATGCTATCTTAAAGAAGTACTGAGGACATTTATACATAAGTGAGAACTTACATTGGGGATAAAATACATTTTCTAAAGTTGGTTTATTATATATACTGAATTTTGCACAGTGCTGTACAGCGGGTTTATATGAAATACAAGTAAATTCCAGTGAAAGTCCAACTCAAACGGTTCACTAAAATAACACCTAGTTAATATATGCATGATCAAAACATAGAGATAAAAAATAATGACTTTTCAAAGTGAAGTTCACACTCACCTGGGATCCAGATAAATTATTACTGTAGTAGTCTGCCGGCATTATATTGTCCACAATATCAACCAAGCAGCAAAAAGCGCTCTCTTCTTCTTCCAAGACTAAAAGTGCCACAGCAGCTAACCTAAAAAAAATATATATATATAAAATAAAAAAAGATTACAGTTGATCTCTGAACATTTAAAAGATTTTTTGTCAAGTGTTCAAGAACACAGGTTCTGTGATAAAAAAAAAAAAAAAAAAATTAAAAATCATTGGGAAGGCTTACCAAGCACTGAAATTCTGAGAGATGTTTCTCTAGTGAAAATGCATACATGACCAGTTACGATTGTCTTCTTTAAAATAAGTTTTATTGAATAGCATTTCAGTGTAGTTTTCAGTGGAATAAAATCTTCCAAATTAGCACTATTAAAGGTACACTATAGTCACCTGAACAACTTTAGCTTAATGAAGCAGTTTTGGTGTATAGAACATGCCCCTGCAGCCTCACTGCTCAATCCTCTGCCATTTAGAAGTTAAATCCCTTTGTTTATGAACCCTAGTCACACCTCCCTGCATATGACTTGCTCAGCCTTCCATAAACACTTCCTATAAAGAGAGCCCTATTTAGGCTTTCTTTATTGCAAGTTCTGTTTAATTAAGATTTTCTTATCCCCTGCTATGTTAATAGCTTGCTAGACCCTGCAAGAGCCTCCTGTATGTGATTAAAGTTCAATTTAGAGATTGAGATACAATTATTTAAGGTAAATTACATCTGTTTAAAAGTGAAACCAGTTTTTTTTTTCATGCAGGCTCTGTCATAGCCAGGGGAGGTGTGGCTAGGGCTGCATAAACAGAAACAAAGTAATTTAACTCATAAATGACAGTGAATTGAGCAGTGAAATTGCAGGGGAATGATCTATACACTAAAACTGCTTTATTTAGCTAAAGTAATTTAGGTGACTATAGTGATCCTTTAAGTAAGAAAGGCAATTTGCTAGTTTTCAACAAAGTAAAAATATGTGATGATATAAATAATAAAAATAACAAATATTACATTTTTGTTCTAAGATTTCTAAGAATTTTATTCACATTTGTGTACATTTCAAAATTAAGATGTAAGACAGGTTCAGTCTAGTTGCTATGCTATATTTTAGCATGATAACATTCTTTATCAAAGTCTGGTTGACATATTTTATTTAAAATCTCGTCTCATTTAAAAGCTACGGTGAGTGTATAAAATGATAACTATCTTTTTTTACTCATCTTTCAGAATACTAAGGCCTTGATTTAATATTATTGGATAAATTTTTTGAGGTTATTTAATATTTTAAAAAATATTTTAAAGATATTGTATATAAAATATTTTAATACTATTTTAGTTTATCCTCAGGTTTATCCAAAAATTAATAATAATTTGCAAAGTTTACCCAAAACTATTAAATTGAGGCGAATATCAGTAAAGGCAAAACAGTCTCTCTAAAAAAAAAAAGCCAAAACACTTGCTTTAAAGGATCACATTTGGGGGAATAGAAAAAAAAAAAAAAAAAAGTCACATACCATGATTTTGATATGAATTTTATTGCACTGGAAAAAATATGGCTAAGCTACTTAAAGGGACACTACAGTCACAAAAACAACTTCAGCTTAATTAAGCAGTTTTTGTGTATAGATCATGCCTCTGAAGCGTCACTGCTCAATTCTCTGCCATTTAGGAGTTAAATCACTTTGTTTATGCAGCCCTAGCCACACCTCCCCTGGCTGTGACGGACACAGCCTGCATAAAAAATTGGTTTCACTTTCAATCAGATAGTAACTTGCTTTAAAAGTTTATCTCCTGCTCTCTAAATTGAACTTTAATCAGATATAGGAGGCTCCTGAGGGGTGTAGGTAGAGCAGGAGACAGAAAATTCTAAAGTTTAGACATTAGATCTCACTTTACAGGAAGTGTTTAGGAAGGCTGTGTAAGTCACATGCAGAGAGGTGTGGCTAAGGCTGCATAAACAAGGTGATTTAACTCTTAAAAGGCAAAGAATTGAGCTGTGAGACTGCATGTGGGATAGATCTATACACCAAAACTGCTTCATTAAGCTATAGTTGATTAGCTGACTATAGTCGCTTTAAATATAATCTGTTACCTTCACTGAATTACACGAATGGGTGACTGCAGAATGTCTTCAGAACTGTACACTAATTAATAATGCCAAAAACAAAACACTAGTTTTGGTTACATTCAGCTTATTTTTAAATATATTAGCAACATATTAATATTAACCTAAATAAACTGTATATTTATGCCAGTTTTACCTGTTCAGACCTTGGCAATAACCAATGGTGGGGTTGTGCCAGGAAAACGCAAGGAGAACTCTTCTGAGTTTGTGGATGAACTCTGAGGTTGGACAAGTGAAATGTTTGTTGTTGTTCAAAGTCCTATGTAAATCTAGTTCAATCTGCTGAGTGGCTGGATTAGGAGAGTTCTCACACTTCTTCAGAAGCTGGGCATAATGGTTGGCCCTAATGTTGACCCGGCCGTTGATAAGCCACATCCACACACGTTTACGATGTTCTGTTGGAATGCCACATCTCACCAGGTTCTTCAGCTCCCCTGAATGAGCCAAGTCTTCAATATTGTCCCATTTTGTTTTTAAAGACTTGTCCACCACATCTTGTGTCAGAAGCTTATTCGACCGGATTTCCAAGGCTTGGATTTTGGCTAGAAGCCTCAAGTGTTCCACTTCGTATTTTGGGATGATCATGAAGCCATAATCATCATACTCACTGTAATGGGACAAACAATCCAATGTAACAAGCGTCAGAAATGAAACAAGAAAATATTTGAAAACTCAAGTAATATCAATAAAATACTTGGATAAAAGTCCCTTTTAAAAAGTTTAAAAGAAAGCCAAACATGGTGTAATTTGCATTTCCTTTCTGCAAATATGTAACTAAAAAAAAAGTCTGTTATTTTACAGGACATGTGCAAACAAAAAAGGAGGATAGGCAAATGTAAATTGACTAAATGAAGACCTTCATAATTAACCCTTTTTTTCAATATCTATTTTAACAGACATTTGCAATTACTCTTTTAACATCTTTTTAGCCAAACACATTTGGCTCACAACTATGACGTAAGAAATTACTAGTGCAAGGTTTTTTTGGAAACATGATATTGGGCTCGCAGGATCTATTTTTTTTTCTTTCCCTAGAGTGCCAATATCAAACGCATGATGAGTGTAAGAGCATATCATTTGACCACACTAGATTAGACAAGTTAAAATAATTTTTTGCTAATTGGGTTGACAAAACTGGTCACTTTACGGCACTCAGCGACCAATCCCCTCTTCAGCCAACCTAGGAAAGTCAACCTATTTTATAGATTAAACCCATACTGCACAGCACAGTGGGAAAAGTAAAGCAAGAATTAGTGGGGGTACTGTACTTAGTATTATGGTACTATTAATCAAACTCCTAATTGTTAATTACTTTGACATGATTAAATACAACTGTTAATTTTGGATAGATTGAAAGAACTAAATCAAATTAGATACATTGTTCTTATTCTAAATTGTAGTTTATTTTAATTTTATTTTTGTAAATTTTTGTTTTATTACAGCAATGTGATTATGTTACAGAAAGGAAGAAAAAGAGATATAGGTCAGCATAAATGTACACCTATACAGTAAACAATAACATCGATACATTCCCTCATTAGTGTCTGCTTCATTTTGTGTTTTTAAGGATGTAGTGTAAACGTGCGAAAAACACAATCAGGCTAGATAATCGTGAGCTTACTACATGAACTGATCCAAGCATAAAAACTAGGTGATGCAGGCTAGAACTGTTTTAGTGCGATACAATAGCTTAAATGTCATGCTAAAGGCAGGTAAGAAAATAAATCAAGTCAGACATACTGACACTATAGTATGAGGAGGTGCGAGCTAGGTATCACACTATGTTTAGACAGCTCCTAGACATTTCTGCCTCATTTGTGTTATTAATCAAGATAGAAACATGGGGTAGCTGTATCCAGGGCCGACGCTTCCTATAAGGCGAACTAGGCAGCCGTCTAGGGCGTCTCATAAGAGGGGGCGCCCTGTGCCCCCATCACCTGCCCTTTTAATGCAGCAGCCGCCTGAGCGCTGTATAGAGAGCCTCAGGCGGCTGCAGCACTGCCTCTCTCCTCACCTTCCCTGTAGCGTGGGTGGCCGAGCTCCGGTCCACGGTACAGGAACATCCGTTTCCTGTACCTGGCCGGACTGACAGGAAGTGCACACTTAGTGTGCACTACCTATCTGTCCGGCCGGGTACAGGAAACAGAAGCTCCTGTACCACAGACTGAAGAGGAGCTCGGCCACCCATGCTACAGGGAAGGGGAGGCGAGAAGAATACAGGGCGGGGGGAGAGAAGAACAGAGGGGTGAAAAACACAGGGGAGAAGAACAGAGGGAGGGTGGGGGGTGAAAACACAGGGGGAGGGGGAAGAAGAACACAGGGAGGGGGGAGTGAGAAAGGAAGATGAGAAGAACACAGGGAGGGGGTGAGGAGAAGGGAAGATGAGAAGAACACGGGGAGGGTGGGGGGAGAGGAGAGACCACTAAGGGGCAGTGGATAGCTCTAAGGGATGGAAGGGAGAGCTATATAGGACAGGGGGCAGGACAGGGAGCTCTTTCACACTACGCGCATACACACACACAATGCATCCATATCAGGGCCGGACTGGGAAAAAAATTAGGCCCGGGCATTTTTCAATTAGAGCGGCCCCCCAAGAAGGGGGCGGGGCCAGAGAGGGTGTGTTTTGTCATCACTAATGACAAGCACGCCCCCTCTCAAAGTGAGCATGTTGGTTCAATGTGCAGAGCCCCGCTGAAGAGCTCTGGCTTTAGAAAAAGGCCCTGTATTTGTTCTGCGCAGCGCAAGCAAATGTAATAACATGCTTGCACTGTGTTTGCTTTTAAATTGTCTCTGGTGTCTCCACAAGTGGGATACCAGAGGACAAAAGGGCCAGGAAAGTGTATGGTGCATGTGTTTGGCGCCTGCTTGTGGGATTGCCTGTGTGTAGAGTGTGGTGTGGTATTGTGTAAATAGGTGTAATATGTGTGGTGTAATATGTGTGGCTATGGGCTGTAGAGAATGCGTGTATAGGGGCATAGTGTTATAGGGGATGTAGCGAGTGTGTGCATACGGGCAGTAGTGTGTGTGTATAGGTGATGTAGTGTGTGTAGGGGTTGTAGAGAGGGTGTGTTTAGAGAATGTTGTATGTGTTTCCTTACAAGGAATGTAGTGTGTGTGTAGGTGGTGCACTGTGTGTGTGTAAGAGATCTAGTGTGTAAAGGACCCAGAGTGTGTATAGAAGATTGTGTGTGCAGAGGATTTAGAGTGCATATAGGGTAAGGGATCTAGCGTGTATCTGGAGCGTAATGTGTGTAGTGGCGCAGTGTGAGGGGTGCTGTAGTGTGTGTGTGTGTGTGTATATATATATATATATATATATATATATGTGTGCTATGTGTGTCCCTCGGTGTGCTGAGTGTGTCTGGGGGTGCTGTGTGTGTCTCTGGGGTGCTGTGTGTGTATCTGGAGGTGCTGTGTGTGTCTGGGGTGCTGTGTGTGTGTGTGTCTGGGGGTGCTGTGTGTGTGTGTGTCTGGGGGTGCTGTGTGTGAGTGTGTCTGGGGGTGCTGTGTGTGTCTCTGTGCTGTGTGTGTCTGGGGTGCTGTGTGTGTGTCTGGGGGTGCTGTGTGTGTCTGGGGTGCTGTGTGTGTGTCTGGGGTGCTGTGTGTGTGGGTGCTGTGTGTGTGTGTGTCTGGGGGTGCTGTGTGTGAGTGTGTCTGGGGGTGCTGTGTGTGTGTCTGGGGTGCTGTGTGTTTCTGGGGTGCTGTGTGTGTCTGGGGGTGCTGTGTGTGAGTTGGCTGTGTGTGTCTGGGGGTGCTGTGTGTGTGTCTGGGGTGCTGTGTGTTTCTGGGGGTGCAGTGTGTGTCTGGGGTGCTGTGTGTGAGTTGGCTGTGTGTGTCTGGGGGTGCTGGGTGCTGTGTGTGTGTGTCTGGGGGTGCTGTGTGTGTTCTGGGGGTGCTGGGGTGCTGTGTGTGAGTTGGCTGTGTGTGTCTGGGGGTGCTGTGTGTGTCTGGGGGTGCTGTGTGTGTCTGGGGGTGCAGTGTGTGTCTGGGGTGCTGTGTGTGAGTTGGCTGTGTGTGTCTGGGGGTGCAGTGTGTGTGTCTGGGGTGCTGTGTGTTTCTGGAGGTGCAGTGTGTGTCTGGGGTGCTGTGTGTGAGTTGGCTGTGTGTGTCTGGGGTATGTGTGTGTGTCTGGGGGTGCTGTGTGTGTGTGTCTGGGGGTGCTGTTTGGGAATTAATTTTAAGTATATATTTTTTATATATAAGTTATGTACCCCCCCCCCCTCCCTTCTTACCTTTAGCCTGGGAGGGGGAGATCCGTTCTGCCTGGCAGGGGGAGCCTTGAGGGGAGCCATGCTGCATTCCCTGGTGGTCCAGTGGTGAGAGTGAACTCTAACCTGCAGGTTAGAGTTCACTCTTGCGAGATCTGAGCGTTGCCGCGGCAACGCTCAGAATCTCGCGAGAGGACCCGGCGGAGCTGCTTGTTAGAGCTCCGCCGGGTCCTCCCTCCCTCCCTCACCCAGCTGGCGGCCGCATCTCCATTCCTGTGGGCCGGTGAGGGAGATCTTTGATCTCCCCACCGGCCCATGGAGGCACTATGCAGGGCCGGCGCTCGGATAGCGCTGGCCCTGCAGGGGCCGGCCGGGGAGATCCCCTGCCGGCCTCGGCCCCACGGCCATCGCGGCCCACCGGGCATTTGCCCGGTATGCCCGATGGCCAGTCCGGGCCTGATCCATATACATACACAGAAACACACAATGCATCCCTACACACACAGAAACAGAACAGGCTTCCCTTAGACACAATGCATCCTTTGCACACATACACAGAAACACACAATGCATCCCTTACACACACGCAAACACAAACTGCTTCTCTTACTTACACACAGTAACACAAACTGCTTCTCTTACATACACACAGAAACACAATGCATCTCTTACACACACTCAATGCACCCCTTACAGACACACACACTGCATCCCTTACATACACAGAAACACACCTTGCATCCCTTATGCATACATACACAGATTCACACAATGTATCCCTTTCACACAACCAGAAACACACAATAAATCCCTTATACACAAACACATACAGCTTTCTATCCCTTACACAAAAACACACTGCTTCCACTACACAAAAACACACTGCATCGCCTATACACTACATACCATACGCACACACATTAGATCCTCTACAATAACACATACCCTACACACTCCACTCCCTGTGAGCAAACTCATGGGTGGAACGTGTAGGTGGACTTATGGGTGGGCCTTATGGGCATACTCACCGTCAGGCCCTGGGGCCCAGACCTTGAGCTGTGTAAGGGGCCCCCCAAAAAAATGGAGCTGCTTCCCATTCTCCCAGAAGATTACATTTTGTGACCACAGTTACAGCATCCAGAGATCCTGTTCTACACCAGACCAGTGGAGCCAAACTGCAGCCAGAGCCCATCACCATCCTCATCTGGTTGTAAGTAGGCAATCTAGTATATTATTAGTGACACTAATCTATAATGTACATTACATTAAAGGGACACTATAGTCCCCAGAACGACTGGAGCTTAATGAAGTGGTTCTGGTGTCTATAGCCAGTCCCTGCAGGCTTTTTAATGTAAACACACACGGTGTGCAGCACTGGCATTAGTTCGTATGGCAGATCATATAGGTGGGGCATTGTGATGTCACAGTGGGGGGAGGCAGGCTGGTTTTTCATTTGCCTAGGGCCGCAACAATCCTTGCACCGGCCCTGTATCCCACATTCAGTCCCAGACTGGGAGACCGGCCGGTCTCCCCTCCGTGGGGTGTGCTGGGTGAGTAGGCCTCAAAAGCTGTAGCTGGCTACGTGTGATCAAGTGTGGCTCCAAAGTCGCTGCAAAGCGTTCCCCAGTTGCTAGTTGTAGGTGCTTAGTCCTTTTGGGCAATGTTTGTGGATATCACCTCGCTCTAATGTCGTGTTTCACACTTCTTATGTGAGGAGCTCACTTGAAGAACGTCTGGCGGCCATGAAGGTTAGGCCCCGCCCCCAATTATAGTTTAGTTTTATAAATTATTACCCAATGTTGTTAAGTCACCTAAAATGTCTATACCACCAATGGAAAAAAAAAAATGAATATTTAAATGCACGCAAGTTTTCATTTGGGTTATATCTACTAAGCAGTGATTTTTATAAATTTTCTATTTCAGAAGTGGAGTGTCCCTTTAAGAGGCTCCATGCACAATAACCCCAGCAGCTTATTAGTTGTAATCACGCTTTCATACCTGTTATTTCTTTACCCCCGTACAAATGTATTTGGATCACATTAATTGCATTCATTAGTATCGAGAGAGCTTACCTAATCGGATTAAAGTTCACAGATGTCTGGTCTATACCATCTTTCATATTGACCTCCAGAGCATCTTCTACGAGGCTTTTAATCGTTCCACGGTACTCTGCATCCAGGTACGGCAATGCTTCCTGCAACTTTCTCAGCACAATTAAGTACTTGCTTTCTATTTGACAATTCCTAGCTTCCAGGTAAGAACACTGTGTTGAGCACAATAAAACAATATTCATACAATATTTGCATCTAAAATGGTTCCACCAAGGTTAAAACATGCAGTTCATTGAAGGGAAAATATTCTTAAATGTAATCGTATCTAAAACAAGTTGTCACTTCCTCAAGTCCTACATCCTCTCCTATTATCTTCACACACACACACACACACACACACACACACACTAGTAATATATATATATATATATATATATATTTTTTTTTTTCATGTTTTCTCACCTTTTTTGACACTTATTCTCACACCACATACTTTTTTTTTTTCCAGGCCAAAGAGATTGTCTCAAATTCTTCCCCTTGCCATGTTGGACTTTTCCCCCAAGCTCTTCAAATGGTAGTCACCCCACCGCCGCAAAAAAAAAAAAACCCAACTATAAAAATAACACTCAAAGTACCAAAACCACTATACCTGAATGTAGTGGTTTTGGTACATATATGCTGGCTCTTTTCTCAGAAACTGCAAAATATTGCCACTTCTAAAAAGGTTTACACACTTCTAGAGGTTGTTAGAAAGGCAGACACTAGATTCTTTTCCTCCTTCAGGCCTTTGATTTTCACGTTCGTTGTCATCACACACAGCATGATGATGGCAAATGCATCCAAAGCCTCTCATGAAAATACACTGGATTCAGTGCTTCTTTACGAGAAGCATGAAACGGGCAAATAGCAGCGACTACTGCATAGGCACCCTAATTCCCTCTTCTCTGTGACAAGCATTGGATTGGACACAAGTCCAACAGAACTGATCACTACACCAGAAGAGTAGCAGAGGAGGCAGTCTCAGGGTTGTATTACAGGTTAATACCTTTTTTCCTGAAAGGGGCTCAGCACCAACTTTAAAAATAAGAATTTTTTAATTTTTTTTTTAATTTGCTTTTTTAGCATTTATGTTCCTTTAATTAATACTTTCCAGTCCCGTCACAATCATATGATACAATTTAGTTATTCCCATAAAGAATCTGTTCTTATCCATGTCTCCTGCCCGATCTATCTCAAATTTCCAATGAATCATCGCACAATCAGATGTTGACCTCTGTTGTCATCATCGCCTGTTAGAGCAGAGCCCTAAACCTTCTGTACCAGCAATTAGTTTAATGTATTTAATAATATTTGATATTTTAAAGTGTTACACCAACCAGCAGGACCACTATAGTGATTCGAAGTGACTATGGATGGTCCCAGAGTCTGAAAATGTAGCATTTCTCTTTGAAATGTTGCACATACAGAGATGCAACTCCACCTACAGTAATGTCATTAACCAGCCAAGAGCAAATTTTCAAGCCAGTTAATATTAAATCTGAGCAAAATTTGTGTCGGGCGCCAGCATGCTGTGACAGAGAGCCAATAGCGAAATGCACCCCATCCCGACCTCTCTCTCCCTCCAGTTAGGGGGAGTGACACCAGCCAAGGAGGATCAGGTTGCAGTAGAATGTGGTCTTGGCGATGGAACAGAGGTAAGTTTTATCTTTTATTTTATTTTTAAAATTTATATCAAAATATTTTTTGGGGTTGGAGTAACACTTTAAAATGGTAATTTAATTCCTGCTCTTACGCCATTTCAGTCGTTAAAGAAACGTGCATTCTTCAATTTACTGCAGAGATAGGTTATACCCAAGGATATGATACAGTGAACTGGTTAAATTTTCCAACAAAATTATGGTTCAGCATAGAACATGAGACTATGTGGCTTACTCACTGTAAAGGATTTCCCTGTATCCATTCGGTTATTTCCTCTCCCTGCTATTTAAGTGACTTTGAAATATTTGTTTTATTTATGTGTTCGGGAAATTAATTTGTTCTACCGAACGGAGACAACCCTGGGTAGCAATCAGAACTTTAAACACCAAGTAACCACACAAAAACCGCAAAGTAATTGAGTGCTCCTAGGTGGCAGCCATTCGGCATACGAACATGTGTTGAGAACAAAGGATGGCGGCCATCTTAAATCTCCCAAACGCGGCCAGCGGGACTTACTCGTGGATTGCCTGGAACTGTTTTCGGCATGGCAATTACACAAACACCCGGTCTTTATGGTAGTTCCGTCTGACCTATTTCCACTCGTAGTATCAGACCGGCGTTCGGGAGTTCCAATCAAACGAACGAGGGGAGCATTCTCATGTAACCAGATGCAGTATAACTATGGTGGTTTTCGTGTAATTCTGCACGAACGGAGACCGGCTCTACTACCAATTTCATGGAACTCTAAATCGGATACAACCACATGGTGAGCCGGTCAAACTTCCACACGATGCGACACGGAAACTACCAAATGGATTTTCGTGTAATTTGGATAGGTTACTCCCAGTATCCCCAGCTATGTCATGTAGAAAGTAGATTTCCAAAAATGTTGAAAATTTATGTTTCTAGCCAGCAGATAATTGAGTTTAGTATGTTGCTGAAACTCAATTATCTAGCCTGGCCCAGAGGAGGAGCTTGTACTGTATAAATTCAATGCCTGTTGCTTCCAGTAAATCAGTCTTGTTCCAGCATTAAGCTTTGGCTCATGTGTGGATTATTTGGCGATACCAGCGATATTTATTCCTGTGGATTCTAGGCGGTACTCTGCTATTGGGAAAAGGAATACTAGATGGTAATACCAGTTACTACCGTCACACTCACCAAAACTAGGATTCACTAGGCTAGGCATAGGCAACCTTTGGCACTCCAAATGTTTTGGACTACACCTCCCATGATGCTTTGCCAGCATTATGGGTGTAAGAGCATTATGGGGGATGTAGTCCACAACATCTGGAGTGCCGAAGGTTGCCTATCCCTGCACTAGGAAATTGCAAGTGTTAGGCCAGAATAGTCAAACTGGACAAGAGCCCAGATGGAGAATGTTTCCAGTTCCATTATTTCAGTCTTGTGTCAAATCTCAGTTCAATTAATAAAATGCTTTTTTGCTCATATTAAGCCAGGTATATGTTACCTTCATAAAAAGCGCTTTGTCCTTTTCAGCAGCATTTCTCCAGAGATTTGTGAGTTGAAGGATTTCAGAGTTTAAAAACCTGTTCTGAGTTTTATAAGCCTCTATATCATCCTTTATAAAAAAAAAGAAAGATAGAAAAAAAAAAAGAAAATAGTGTAGAACAGAAATTCATTATATATATATATATATATATATATATATACATATATTTATTCATGAATAATTATATTTACATAAGTGCTACAAATGTTAAAGGCTCTAGTTAAAATTAGCATTAAAATTAGCATAAAAATTGTGTTAGTATAGATGTTTCATTATCAACAACACCTTTTGTTATGTAACATCTAACTACCTTATTACATCGATAACGTATGCAAAGGGTCGTCTTTCTTTATCTCTCCCTCCCTCTATTACCATCTATCAGCATGTCTATTTCTGTCTGTGTTCCTCTCTGTTAGTCTCTGTCTCTCTCCAAATGTCTGACATTCTCAATATATAAAGCGACCATTCCCACTTTGTCTCATTGCCTTTCTTTAAAGGGGGACTCCAGACCCCTAGAGCACTTTAGCTTGCTGAAGTACTTTATGTGTAAAGAGTGTGTGTGTGTGTCCCCCCACTCCCCACATTTTACAAAAAGTGCAGATTTCAATAAAATTGGCACTTTTTCTTTTTTAGTATATATCTCTTGTCACACCCCCTGGCTATCAGACAACCGGTCCTGTTACTTCCTGGTTATATTAGCTTAGTGGAGCCAAACTCAAGAGGCAGCAATTGCCCAGAGCACCTGCCTTGCAAAGACGTCTCATTGAGCTGCATTGGGAAGTTTGTGATTGGACAGCCACAGAAAGTCTGGGCTGGGTTACAAGGGGAGGGCTTGCAAAGGCTTTAAACAAAAGATTTGCACCTTTCTAAGTTGTTTTTAGATACACTCCCAATGAAAAAATAAAATCATAAATAAATGCATAAATTTTTTTTTCCTTCCGGGGTATATATATACTAAACAAAGATGTATTTCTTTTTTGTATTCAGGTAGTGGAGTGTTCCTTTAAAATGTATTTGTGTTTATAGTGGTTTTTCTGCTTGTGGCATTTATTTAAAATGCCATTAGTCTGTTGCTGCCAAATGCTTTACGTCAAATCAGCAGGCCAAACACCACTTTCCTAAACAAGTATTTTGGACACAATGAGGAGAAAACATCACCATTAAGATATCGCAGGCTGAGGGGATGGACCTTTGGCCAATCCAGGGAAACCTCCATTTCCGGTCAAACCGCTTGACACCATTTTAAAACAGAAAAACAGCACAAATAGACTTCTTGCACCATAAGCACTTCAGAAAGCTGTTGTGGTTTTGGTGCTTAGAGTGCCTTTAACCCCTTAAGGACACATGACATGTGTGACATGTCATGATTCCCTTTTATTCCAGAAGTTTGGCCCTTAAGGGGTTAACTATATCCATTTTGTCAACTCACCGATAAGCAGTCAATTTTCTTCCATAGCTGCTGTAGCGTTACACAGGTGTTGCCTTTGACAATTTCCGTGTCATTTTGATTAAGGAGTTGTTCTGTCTGTTTCAATATTACTTCTTGTTTTGCGCTGTTTTTCTCCATCAGCATCTGTATGTGCTCCTTTAATTCTGCAATATGAATATCCTGAAGTCTGGCCGATTGCTGCATCTCCTTACTTTCTTTTTCCAGCACCTCCACGCGCTGTCTAAAATCTTCTATTTGCCTAACCTTGTGCCTCACGAGTTCCAGTCTGTCCTTTTCCTCTGTAGCATTCAAGTAATTATCACACGCTCGCTTCTCCTGCTGTGCAGACTCAATCGCTCGATGCAGAAGTTTAACAAGTTTCTAGAAGAAATATTTAAAACGGTTTCTGATTTCCATTTTCATTTGGATGAAAATGCCACAAACATAGTGTAGAAAACAATACAAATTATTTTGGGATGGATTCATAAAAAATATATGTTTTTTTTAATGTGAAACCAAAATGCGACTCAGGACAATAAAGCGCCTACTATTATTTTCCAGAGTTGTTTTATTCATGTTTTCATGAAGGAAACTACTCTTGCCATCAGAACTATATATCTCTTAAATTCTGCTGAGTAGTCTAAGGTGGACATCACACAAAGGGAAGGTTTTGAAAAATATTTTAAAAAAGCTGATAAAATAAAAGTATTAGTACTATTACAGTAGATAATCGTAAAACATGAATCATTTCTCAAATGGATCTGAGTCCCTTTAGAAGAGAAATGCAAGATAAAAAAAAAAAAAAAAAAATTAAATAAAAAAATTCAGGAAACATAAGATTCTGAACCATCCTTGGGTACCTACAGCTCATCCAGGAAGAAGACTCCTTGGTACAGTGACTTAAGAGAAATTACTGCCATCTTTTTTGAAAGAAGGCAACAATGATGATCGGCTAACCCAATAAACAAGCACTAGGCTTTATCGGCCCCTTATTCTTGCCCCTAACATTTACGGTCTAATCACCAACCTTCTGGGATTCCAGATCTCTGGTAAGGGCTTCGATTTGTTGCTGGGGACTGCTAAACTTCTCAGCAGAGCTTATTTCTGTAGTTGCCAAATCATGTCTCGGAGCCGCAACACCGTTTTGTCTTCTGGCTTTTCTGCCAAAGTTTAAAGAAGGCGACAACTTTGGAACTGGCTTTGTGATGACTTCTAATCCATGATTTTCCTTTACTACAAAAAAACAAATATAAAACACAAAGGTTAAAGGGCTTTAAACGTGTTATTAACTTTGAGGTCCTTTGGAAAAATGGCTGATTTAGAAGATGAAAATATACTAAACGAAAGAATATGTACTATGTTTAAAGGGGCACTAACCCATAAAACATGTCAAAGAAAGAGAGCTAGCTTCAGGCAGGTATGCACATAAGATATACCTTGTGCTGATGACCGCAAATATGTAGATTATAAGTTATACTAAGTTGAAGATTGTCTATGCCTCCACCAAGACATCCATCCGAAATGAAATTAAAAGTCACCCATAATAAATTCTGGTATTTTTCATTTTCACCAGCAGCGTACCATTAAAGCAAATTGAGTAAAAGCACTAAACCTACTTAATATAAATTAAGTGGTTATGGTGCCCACAGTTCCCTAGTACAGCCTTACCTTTGTATGTTAAACAAGTATAGTATCAATATCTGCCATGAGCTGCCTCACCGTTTTACATATATTTGAAAACTGCTTTGCATAAGTTCTTTAGTTTAACATCAAAAATGTATCCTTTTGTTTAACTTATCTCAATTGTGTAAATGGTTGGATAATGCACAATGTATTACTTATATAATTCGATTATTCTTAGCAGAAATAGGCAAATTAACGTGTCAACCTAAAACAACAAGTCAATGCATGAAATAGAAAGTCCGTCTTTTTAAATTTAATTTATTTAAAAATACTTTGTTTTATGTTTGGCTATACGGTTTATTTTATACCTCTGTTATTTAATCATTATCTTCATTCATTGCAGAAAAAATTAATTTGCTCAGACATCCCTCCCGGTAGATACAGGAAAAATAGTAAACGTTGCTTGTACCAAAACTACAACATGACTGCTGTTTTTTTCATGTTAAAGACTTGGTGCTGCAGAGTTCAGGACTATTTTTTTTCTTTGACTCCGTACAAAGGACCGTTGTTTGAAAGCAATCGATTGAGTGCGGACTTAGGATATATTTTTCATCCTCCTAGGAGACTTGAATTGTGGATTGTGATTGCATGTGCCAATCAATGCACATAGTCAGAGTCAGTAACAAGTGAAGCAGGCTATGTATAAACTGGGAGCAGCTGTGGTATGGTTGCTATCAGTTTACAGAGCTTAAACTTATCCTGTGGGACAAGGGGAACTGCTCTTGGGTTTACACAACTTCCTGATAAGAGAGAGGTATGCCAGTAGCTGCAGACAGACTCATAACAGTGCATTTGTTTAACTTTAAAAAGGTAAATATATTAGTTATTTTCAATAGGTCCTGTTACTTCCTGGTTTGGTTAGCTCAGTGGAGCTAAAGCACAAGACGTAGCAATTCCCAGAGCACCTGACTTGCAAAGACTTCTCATTGAGCTGCAATGAAAAGTCGGTGATTGGATAGCCACAAACAGACTGGGCTGGGACAGAAGCTGTTTCTAGACATGCCACCAAAGAATAATGCATAATTAACGGCATGCGTGTTTTCACTAAGTGTATATCTACTAAACAGTGATTTATGTATTTTTTATTTTGACGGAGTGTCTCCCTTTAACGGACTTTCTGTATATGTGTATATAAAGATGTGTTTACATGTGTACCTGTCTATTGGGGTTTGCTTGCATCGGGTTTTCTCCCTTGTATGGGGAACTGGCCGAGATATGCATCTTGGGGTGGAGAACTGAATCATTTATATATTTTCAAAATATAAAAATATTTCAGATTCCCAGCACTCAATGTGTTTCTCGCCAAGCCAGGACTGGCATTGGTAATTCTCCAGCTCCTTTGTTCTGTGTTTCTGTAGGGATGAGTACTGTGTTCTTACTAGAACAATAGTTATTTAACTTGACTAACTCTTTATAGCTTACAGTTAACAAATCATATAACTATAATGCTTATTTTGACAATCAGCTGAGACAATTATATGCGATGCTGAACAATATATAATACGATCATTACATGCCATAACAAAGGATATATGATATGACAATTATATGCCATAACCGATACAATAACAGGGTAATTGTTTTCACTGCAAGCATTCTTGCACGTGCAGAATGGCTGACTATATACTCTCAGTGATATATCCCTAATGCACAGTTATGACTTGGCCTTAAAGGGGGAACTGTGACTTACCAGGAGATTTAAAGGAACACGATAGGGTTAGGAACACACACGTATTCTTGACCATAAAGTGTTAAAACCACCATCTAGCCCCCCGTGCCTCCCTAAATATAGTAAACTCTTACTTGTATTCAAGTCTGCAGCTGCTGCCTATGTCTCTGACCTGCCTGCATGCCTGACATCATCAGAAGTGATTCTGTGAGCCATCACAATGCTTTCCAACAGGATTGGCTGAGAGTGTCAAAGAGGCAGAGCCAGCACAAGTCAAACACAGCCAAGGCCAATCAGCATCTACTCATTGAGATCCATTGAATCAATGCATCTCTATGTGGAAGGTTCAGTGTCTGCATGCAGAGGGTGGAGACACTGAATGGCAGTACTGCACAGTGTGCAGCACAGCCACCGGAAGCACCTCTAGCAGCCACCTGAGGAGTGGTCAGTGGAGTTATCACTAGGCTGTAATGTAAACACTGCATTTTCTCTGAAAAGACAGAGTCTACAGCAAAAAGCCTGAAGGGAATGAGTATACTCACCAGAACAAATGCAATAAGCTGTAGTTGTTATGGTGAATATAGTGTCCCTTTAATATTAGGTTTACTTATCCCTTTATATGGCAAATTAATTTGTGAGTTGGGAAAAATGCAATTAGATGTAGGATTTCAAACCGGTTTATCCTGTAACTTGGCGCCTCCATCTTGGCCCCCTGTTAATCATTGCTATAAACTCTGTCCTTTGCATCTAACAATCAGCATGGAAAATGCATACGGAGAGAGGAGGAATAATACAAGGTTTATATATCTCCTCTTCATTTGAAATATGTGCCCTGGTTTTGCCTTGTCTGAACTGAATGTAATTTGGTTGAAAAAAAAAAAAAAAAAAATGGTTAATACAATTGATTGGTGATCTTCCAGGTTATATTCAGTGGTGCTAATCCCAGAAGTAACATTTGAAAGTCCCACATGTCCCTATTTCCAGTAACAGTAGTGACTGATATGAGGTAGAACAAATCTCTCATTCACAGACTGTGACAATCACGATATTAACACTGGATGGGACTTTTGAGCCCCAAGCCTAACCCACAATCTCCCAGAATGTAGCAAAATCCTTGCAATTTGATCTAAAAAGAAAAAACATGTATCTGACCCAGCAATGTATATCACTATATAGAAGACAAAAAGACGCTTAAACTAATTTGCAATCCCTTCTGCTATTAAAGTTTTACAATAACCACTACAACCTGCTGTTGTAATGGGGCAAATCACTTAGTAATGGTTTGTCCTCTTACCTGGGATCCTGCCATTCTCCACGGCGCTGCTACTGCTGGGTGAATCGCTTATGGCTTCTGCAAAGCCATAGCACGTCGGCTGACTACTCTCAGTCAATCAATGAAAATTGCACACAAAGGAAATTAGCCAGTCCTGTTTCTGGGTGGCTAATGATGCTCCAATGACGCTGCTCGAAGTGGAGTTACACATCCAGCAGCAAAGGGGTTAAATTCTTTATGTGCAGCATTCCATAATAAAATATTTAAACATACAGACTGCAAGCACCATAACCACTTCAAATTACTGAAGTGGTCATGATGCTTCGATTAACCTATGCCAACTGTAAAATGGAGCAGCAATTAAGAAATAATCATCTAAATACAAAACATTAGTAATATAAGAAGTTATTTAATAAAAGCCTTGTCATGATACCTGGTTTTTCTTCGGTCACTTCGTCTATCTTGTTAAAGTGAAAAATGCTATTTCCTGCACTAGGTTTTGAAGTACATAAACTACGCACAGTATTCCTGTTAAAAGAAAAGAGATGGATAATTAGTACTAGGCTATAAGACACACTATGAATTCAGAACTGAAGAATTTTATAAACTCTACAGAATCCAATTCTGTTACAGTGATGTAAGACTTCATAATATACCAATTTTAATTTTCCAATGATTAAATTTTTTTTTTAAAACCACTTTGGAAAAGATTAAACAATTAAAAAACCCCAGGTAAAAATATCAAACATTATTACCTAATGACATGTAACACAAGAAGTTTTAAACATCTGCACTTTCTAATGTGAAATATTTTAGAATTCCAAGAGACACAGATTGCTAAAAGATTTAATCTAGGGTGAAAAAATCTAGATCTTTTGGACATTAACTGGGTAAGTAGGTATAAACATTTAATTGGACTAGATTCCAGGGCTTGATCACTTTATGAATTCCCATTCTCCAATCTGTCCTACATCATTGTATTCCTGCGGACTATGGCCCTATTAAAAGCTAAAAACGGTTTCATGCATTTAGGATACACTAGCTATAATAATTATAACAAACAGAGTAACGCAGATTGATTCTTCCAGAATTGGCAAGCATATATAAACTTATAGTATGAAGATAGGAAATATAAAATGCATAGAGCATTTATATCTGTGCAAATTTATTATTGGGTAGAGCGTCTTCTCAATGTATTAATTTTAGATCCTGTTAGAGCAGGTTTAAGGGGAGAGGGGAATTTTACGGTGTGTATTGTTATGCAAAATGCTTAAGGCTGTTGCTAAATTAAATGGCATTTCAACTTAAGTATGACACCTTGAAATGTCACAATAAAACGTTTTAAACCAATTATAAAATTAAAAAAAATTATAAAACCATACAATATACATAGATTCAGACTTCCAGTGTTTTTATAATGCGGTTTAGTGGGTCTGCCTATAGCTGCTCCCACCTCATTCTAGGTTATGGGTTTTTTCCTTACTCCATAAACCCCTTTCCAGTAGCAGTTTATGGGATAAGTAGGATATCCCCAAAAGGCAGGCCTACAAATCACATAGGACGTATTGCATTGGCTATTGCATCTTTCAGCAGAGTCCACACATGAGTTCTAACTTGTGGTCTAGTATGACACATACTGTGAAACTGATAAAGTGAAATTATAAATATGTACAAAGCTCAACCACTTGGATGCACTTACTGTATTTCTTTCCATGGGTGCTTTAAGGAGATATTTTGAAAGGATATAGATTCTTGGGGGGCAGGTAATGCAGCAATTGATAAACCCACCACTTCAGTTGGAGTTTTCACGGGTGGTAAACAGTCAAATTCGTCACCTGTGGAGTTTATAGGACAATACGTTAATTAAAATTAGTGAGCCCACTACTGCCAGATAAAGTTACAATCATTGTTTTATACTGTTCAATGTGCTTTCTTCTTTTTAAACAATTGTTAAGATTTGCCCCAATAAAACATGCATTTATTCCTGATTTTGCAAGCCCTCCCCTTTTAGCCCCACCCAGACTTTCTGTAGCAGTCCAATCACAGGCTTCCCATTGCAATTCAATAGGAAGTCTTTGCTGTTTAGGCAATAAAGTTGATTCAAAGAGCAGCTACATTCATCACATAAAAAAATTAAAGCAGCCATGCCACAGTTGCTTTCTGTTTAAATATGCACAATGATGATTACGGAGGCGGGACTGCACAGAATCAGTATTTTATAAGCTCACCTATTTTGCCCCTACTTCTAAAACTGCAGTGTTCCCTCTTTTTACATATGGTTAAATGGACAAAAAGGGACACTTTTTTTTCCAATTTAGGAATGTGAGTTGGGGTTGTGGCCAGGGGCGGGGCGGTTCTGAAAAATTTTAGGTGACTTCATAATAATTTATTTAGCTAAAATGTAATTTAGAACAAATACATTGTATCTTATTTACATTTACTGATTTCTAAACCCATTCATTGTAAATTAAAGACTGATTACTGTGTAAATTATTGCTGTGGTGCATAGGTGTGAATTCAGAAGGACTGAGTATCCTGAGCTCCTACAAAAGAGGGACATTGGGATAGAAAATAAGGATTTGGGTTTAAAATAGGGACTGTCCCTCCTACATAGGGACACTTGGGAGGCATGAGATCATGGCTAGCATGCCATCTCAAAAACTGGGCATATGCTGCGATGGGCATGAGCCAATCACAACTGGGCAGATCAAAGGATATCCTAGACCAGCCCACACAAGGATGACCAGGCTCACACAGGGACGACCAGGCTCACGAAGGGCAATCAAACTCCTTATGCCAGGGTCCCTATGTAAGGAGTATGTGGAGGATGAAATTCCAGTACACAAAAAATTAAGTTATACTTGTGTGAAATTCTGCACACACAAAACTATATATATATATATCTCAGTTAGTCTATATTTGCCTTTGAAATAACATTATATATATACATATATACACACACACACACATTTTCATTTTATGTGCAATAAGGAGTTTAACAAGGTAAACTGGAAAGTGCTTTAGGCGTTCCTGCATTTCACTTTGCAGCCTTATATTTTCTGTTCAGGTGTAAGATTGCGTGCTACCGAAAACACACAAATATAGAACCTATCCTGCATAGGTAAACAGAAACATCGACATGCACTATGAGTCTTTAGAGTGACATCATTTAATACCATCTAAAAAGTAAAACGCAAAGTGCCCAAGAGCAGGCTTATATAGTCTAAAACAACATCAGATCAGGGAACCAGAAAAGCACAAACGCAACAGACTCAGCATTCCAGTGGTCAGAATAGACAAAAAAATAAAAAAATAACAGAATACACAGGAATCTACCAAAGTGTCAACGGAATTATAAAAGAGCAAAGAGCCCCGAGTCCACTGGCTTCAGAACACAGTGCCCACTATATCTCATTGTATTGGTTATAGTGCCTAGATTCCCTGGTACTGTCCCTCCATTCAATGTTAACCCTTTTTTGGAGCAGTTTGACTGACACTGAAGGAGAGTAACTGGCCTCTCACTGCCCAGTGCCCTACTGGAGGTATGCCTAAGGCAGAGATTACACAATTCCTTTGTGCCATACCAATTCATTCAGCGATGGGTGTTGTTTGGCTGAGAGTGTAAACTAACTGCATTTAGCCTATCCCAATTACCCATTGTTTTATAATTAGCCCAAGGTGAATAGAGAGGATGGGGCTGCTTGGGACTCTCATTTACAATTAAAACATTTAAAATGGTTAGAGTGAGTGTCAGGGGGCTCCAGACATTATAATCACGTCAATGAGAAGAAGTTACAGTGCCTATAGTGTCCCTTTAAATAGACTCAGTTGTGCACAAAAATAATCTGGCATGCTTGCACCCATGGGGCACATTGGAGCTGTTGTGTACAGAGGAACATGCGGCAAGAGATTTAATAAAACATTTTTTTTAAAAAAACGACAATGAGTTTCCAATGTCTAGAACACATGGCCACATGGGCGACCTTGAACAGTCAGCGCCTCCAGTATAGACACAGGTACAAATACATTCTGACGACAGACGTAAATCATGTACTGGTACATTAGGCAGACTGGTGCAGTGTGTCTATGTCACGTTTGCCGAGGGTGCAACTAGCCCCAGACACAAAAGTGCAAAATATATCAGTATGTGTAACGTTTCAAGCAGAAAAGCTGCACATACAGACTCCTAGTACCATAACCACTTCGAAAAGCAGATGTGTTGGTTGGAGTAACCTTTTAACACAAGTTACAGATGATTTTCAATGTTTTATTAATTTCCAAAAAAGCAACAGTTCCTCTTTAAAATTACATTTTAGAGATTGCAGGATTGAGAAAGCAGACAATATTTCTATTAAATGTTACTACTTTTCCTTTGCTGCTATTTTTTTTTTTTTTTTAAACTGGATACAAACTAACCTCTTTTTTTCTAGTTTTTTTCCCCCCCATGTATCATCTTTATTGAAGCGTTTACCCCACAGAGCATGACACAATGCTACCTTGGCTTTTAAACAAAAGCATAAAAATCTATGCAATTTTTACGCCAACGTGATCAAGTACTGTTCTTTCAGTGGACAGTCTCAGACATTTGTTACGGTATGTGCATACTTGCATCGGGTGGATCAGATTCACGGACAGTCATTTCAGAAGATGGTGCTGTCCCAATGTTCGTTCCACTCTCCGCTCTGCAAAATTCCCAGCGTTTTATTTGTAGCTGCTGCAGCCAGTACATCATGGCGTGACTGTTAACGGCCTGAGTAAAGTTCAGAAACAACAGAGTTAAAGCTGCTAAGGAAACAGAAAAGAGTGCGTTTCAAAGCAAAAGATATATATATATTCTCGATAGCCCCCTAACTAGATGTTGTATTAAAGGGGCAGCTCTAATCACCATAACCACTACAGATAATTAAAGTGGAAATTGTGCTGTAAGTCTGTTAATGTCCTCCTCAATACTTTTGAAGTGGTTTGATAAAAAGTGTGTAAATAATAATAGATGTAACAACGTATACCGGTCCTTAAAATGGCCGGACTTTATTATGTTTGATAGATATAGAATGGTCAGGGAAAGCAGATATCGGGACAGCAAGGACCAACAGGGAAACCAGAAATCAGGTATACAAAAACCAATAGCCGAGTTACAGGATTACAGAATAGAGAATAGCCAAGATCAATAACCAGAAATACACAGAATATAACGCACTCTTGGGAACCGAAATTAGAACCACAACAGGGCAATGATCCTTGCCCTATCAAACCTTTTTATAATCTGTGGCTTTAATTCCATGGTCACACCCCCAAAACTTTATGACAGGCCGTGATGTCATCAGCGTCATGAAGTCAGTGTGCATGCGCCGCGTCATAAATGGGGGTGTCGGAACTGCTGAAGAGTTGAGAGGGACTGTGGGAAGGGTCCCTCTCCACCTGATGGACCTCTCCAGGCTGGGTCACGGCCTGGGCAACAAAATGTAATGTGAAACACGCACACTTAAAAAAAAATAAAAAAAAAAATACATAAAATAAAAACAAAACAAATAGAGACACACCCCCCCAAAAAATAAAAATATATAGGAGATATCAATGCAAAACAGGCGTTATTTTGGGTACGTAGTGTTGGTATCATTAATGCAAGGGTAGGCCACCGTTGGCAGTCCAAATGTTGTGGACTACATATCAATCTTGTTTTAGATTTTCTGGCCTATTTAACCAAATATGAGGAATTGAACACAGCATAAGGCAAGTTTAAAAGTATTTACAGACCGCCTATTCGGTACTTAATAAAACTGGATGGCTTTAAAGGGTTACACAACCCACCATGATAACTTAATTTCTTTGAAGTGGTCATGGTGGTAGTAAACTGGATGTGTAGTGTTTCAACTTGAATGTCGCACATGCAGAGTTTATCTTTAGTGGTGTGCACCCCCAGCAAATATGACTGTTCTGGGCTACCTAGCGTCAATTCTGTGCATATTTTCATCGATCGTCAGCATGCATACATTTTGTATACATTTTCCCCTAGCAGGCAGAGCGACTGCAAGTTAAAGATGGCTCTCCACTCCCACCCTGTGAGCTCCCTCCCATCTCCCTCCGCTAATCGAATATGCTTTTTTATTTTCAGAATGAAAATAACCCCCCCACACCTCTACTCCCTCCCCCGCTAGATTGTGTGTATGCAAATGTCTGTAGAACCAGACATTTGGACTATGGTTAGAAATATTAGGTACAGAATGCTTGCAAAACTTCTGCGTCCAGCATCACTGGGTCCAATTAACTAGGCATCATAATTATACTTTATTAACTCGGACTGGGAGCTTGGGTACCTCTAACTCACTAGAATACATTCCTATCCATCCTGTTCATTGCTTGTATTTGGAATATTGCATTAGCTGGTGGACAGAATAACACTCGGGTCTCTCTTAGTTAAAGGCAGACCACTGAAAAGTAAAAAAAAAATTAAAAAAAATTTATTAGTGGTAACGGGTTTTAGGCAGACCGTGACAAGGTTTTACTTTTTGCATCTGAACAAGGCTACATCCACAATGATTTTTCCCAGTATCACACTACCGGATACTCATGCCAGGACAAAATATACTCTACAAGTGGCAAGATACAATAAACGGGCATCCTCTGGGAATGAAGAAAAAAAACAACAAAAAAAACAAAACACACATCTTGGGACCGGCTTCTAACTCAACAGGCAAATTGAACCCTATGTTTTCAAATGAATATAGTTGCATTAGTCACAATCTGGTTAATCATAAATAATAATTCAAATATAAATATGTCAAAATATATCATGTCACATTGTGATTTGTATATAGGCTGTACTTTTGTGCGGGAAATCAAAGGAAATGTTTTAGAATAACACTCAATGAATGTGATGTATTATGAGTTTTATTTGTATACAATGAATTTGTGCCAAAGGTTGCCCGAGGAAACATTTCCTCAGATTGGCAATGTCAGGTGTCTGTTTAAAATAATGAATGAATGCTTGTAACTTGACAACCTGATTTGTTGAATACAACAAGTGTTCTTGACTACAACAGGTGTTCTACAGTATTACTCCAAGAATCATAACCACTACAGCTGCTGTAGAGGTTATGATGTCACGAGTACCCTGGCCTGGTTCCCCAGTTTAGCAATGGTTTGCCCCCTGATTTGAGTTCCCATGCTCCCTGGTGGTCCAGTGATGTGCTTCTGACTTCGGCAGAGCTGCAAAAGCCAAAAGCTGCGGGGGTCGACATTCATTGGCTGAGAGCGTCCGCTGACTCCTGTCAGCCAATGACCGTCATTCTGTGATGCACGGCATATACAGACCCCAGGCACCATGATCACTCAAATCAAATTACTGGAGTGGTAGTGGTGCAACCCTTTACCTGTATCTGTCAAAGTACTCTTTAGTCACGATGTTCCATAAATTAGAACTGCATTGAGATGTCATGTGACATCAGCGCTGATCTGCATGGGTATTTGAACCCGGTGAACCAGCACTTTAATGGAAAATGGTCAGTCATTGTGAGCACACTAATGAGAACTAAAGTTAAAATGGTGAGTCAGATAGGAACTTAATTAAAATATAGAATTTTACGTTTTGTAAAAGATCACTGAATAAAAACCAAAACTACAGTAAAATCTGTCAAGGTAAGTATGATAACCCACCACAAGGAGCTTAAATCTAAGCTGCCCAAGAATATAATAAGGCATAGCAGCATTTTATCGATGCATAGGGTGGACGGGCTTAGCGCAATGCCTATAGTAGGCGAAAATAGCTAGGTCAGGAAGCAAGTTAAGGTCAGATATTCCAGAGGAACAAAATGCCAAGCCAGGTCAAGGAGTACAGAGATCAGAGTAGTTAGACAAGCCAAAATCAGATAACCATAAAATCACAGGGAAAGGAACACACTATCGGGACCAGAAGAAAACCACCGCAAGTCAATGAGACAGCAGGACAGGCTCTTATATAGGTATGGAACCTACAGTCTGCTAGGGTCACCCATGGTGCACCCATGTGTGCAAGCATTGGCATCGAGATAACATTATACTGTTAACACTTGAGGTTTGATGCTGAAACGTGACTTTATAAAATGATGCTCTATAGTAGTGTGGTAGTCAAGATCTGGATGCGACTACGACTGGAATACAGTCTCGTCTCAGTGCCAACCCCAGCGTGACCAAGATCAGTGTCACTCTTGATGCAATTATGTCGCTGATGAGAACCAAAGACATTGTCCACTCCAAAATACGACGGGATGATGACATTTGAATAAAGAAAGAGCTACAGGTAAGCTTACTCTATCACTATTTGAATATTAGCCTTTTTTTTGTTTTTCTTTCCTTTCAAAAACTGAGAACATTTTTAAAAGTTTATAAAAGTATTTTTGTCCTAAGTGTATTTATCAGCTTATTTTAAAACCACTGAGAGGGAGAGTGTTTCAGTTTTCATGTTATAAAAAGGAAAACCTTTATTTTAATTATTACAGAAAAGAAAAATTACATGTAACATGGCCTAGCATTATTTTGTAATAAGTATATATAAACACAGGTTAAACTTTTTTTTTTTTAGTGAATACCCAGGCTTACTTGTGCTCTCTGGCGGTGGCCATTTTGCCCTCTTTGGTCAAAAGCACTACTTAACTGCTAAGACCATGCACAGTTTGAAGGCTGCCCAGCGATACTCTAATAAGAAATAAAATGTGTTTTAATACAACTTTAAAAAAAAAGTTAAACAACTAAAATTTTACTTGCCAATACCAAGGTCATGTTTTCCTTCAGCTCAATCTACCTCCTCCAATGTGGATCCCCCTCTCCCAGAGCAGGAGGGAGGTCAGGGAGAAAGGACTGTGGAGATGACAGGGGTGGCACAGAGGAAAAGGGGTATGGATGTACTGCCATTGACTGCTGGCAGCAGAAACCAACTTTGCAACTAATTAACATTAGCCAGCCTGAACTCTAGTTTCTGGCTAGCTAATGACGTCCCAATGATGCTGTTGGAGATGAATGCCTCGTTTCCACTGAGCGGTATGGTTCGTGTCGATACGGTTCGGAAGGGTTAGAATGGTCCAGCCTATTCAGGTGAGCATTTCCACTGCAAGTCTGACTGCCAGGGGGCATGCGGGGTTTAGACCAAATGCGTAGCGTGTCATTTGTCGTGAGCATAGACTTTTTCCTGTCCGACAATCAATCGATTGTATAGTGTGATGCCATTAGCTCCGCCCTAACTGTACCATACAATTTCCTATGGACCTACATCTCAAGGGGGCCCAGGAATGGTGCGGTTTGGTTAGGTTGTATAGGCGACTTTCATAATGGGAACACTTGAAATAGCGTACCAGGCCATATTGACCCGATCCGTACCACTCAGTGGAAACGGGGCAGAAGTTACACCTCCTTTAGCAGAAGGGCTAATCTTTGTATGGACAGCCTTTCAAAATGAAACCCTGAACATACAGACTTCAGGCTGATCACTTCAAATCGATGAAGTGGTAATTTTCCTTGAATAACATCCGGACTTGTGAACCCAAACAAGCTCTTTATTACTTGAACAGTGCTTAGTTGGATAAGACCCGCCTCCTTGTCAAAGAGGACTTAAAGATGGCCGCCTCTAAAGAGCAGGAGTAAACCAGGAGATACACTGATAAAAGGGTATTAAAATATAGGTAAGCATTACAAAAACATAAACAGAGAGTCTGTAATTCATATAATTATTTCCATTAATAATAAAAAAATTAATTGACAGTTTTCCTTAAAATAACCGTTAAAACCCCACAATGGGTTGAACTCTTTGCCCCGTTCTAAAGTGCTCCGTAGGTAAAACGAAAATCTCTCATACCTTCAAAATAAAGACTTTGTTTGGAGTTCTGATTTCAAAGATTCCTTCTTCCATTTCCAATTTCATGTCGAACGTAGCAGAGGACACGTCAATGCTTCCTAAAGGGCATACATCAGTAGCAATCCTGAAGTAAGTCAGGTGACATTTCTTCTCATCGTATGAGAAGAAGCGATACTTCCACGCCTTGAGGGGTCCTTTCATGCCAAGCTTATGCAGGTATCCACATAACTTCTTAATCTTTGGTTTCTCGACTTCTCCTACTGGGCTGCATTCAGAAGGTCTCTCTACTTTACGACCATCGCATTCCGTCTTTGACCCCTGATCTGGGTCACCAACGCAGCTTATACTTTCACTTTCCTCTGTTAGGGGTTTCAGCGGTGAGTCACATGGTATGTCAGCAACATTGCTGCCCACTCTATCATCTTCTTCCATTTTTCGGCTCATTTATTTTCTTACCCTAAAATAAAGTAAAAAAAAAAAAAAAAAAATTCAATGAACATTTTAAAAACCACAGTAACCTAATTAATTTTGTGATGTGCTAATTCTTTTTTAACTTTCAGCAATTTAAAACAGAAAATTGATACATAATTAAGAGGTGCAGTAATATGCTTTTATTATTTACATCTATGCGCTAGATCACTTGATATCAGAAAATGCATATATTGAAATCGTTAAAATACTGTGGCAAAATAACCACAGTTAAGCGGAAATTGACATTTTTTTCCATATTCCATCTATACTCCTCCTTTATTTTTTTGTTTTTACTGCTCTTTATATATTCATACCTCCTAACGTTTCAAAAGAGGCGCACTTTCATTTTAAGGGTGTGAGTGGGGGTATGGCCAAGGGCGGATGTTTGGATATATTTTAGACGACTCTAATATCCTGCAACTAAAATGTAATTTAGAACAAGAACACTGTATCATAGTTACACGTAGACTGATTTCTAAACACATTTATTGCTGTATAAAGACACATTACTGGGAGTATTATTGCTGTGGAGCTCTGTTATACACTCCAAAATTATGAAGCTCCTAGAAAAGAAAGAGGGACCAAGGGTTCTGGGCCCTAAATAGGGAATGTTCCCTTATAAATAGTGACACTTGGGTGGTATGCAATTTAGCTGATTAAGTTGAACTCCTCAGAAAACCTTCATTAAAGTAAAGCATCTCCTGTTTTTCCTAAATTATTGCACATTCAATATGAAACTTAAGTTGAATTTGCTGACCTCGGCTTTCAGTGAACTTTGAATGATAGGTTTAACATTCCACTCCCAGAATGGCAACAGTCTAATTCTTATTCTTTAAATTGCTACTGGCTCCCAGTACTTATTTACAGCACGTTTAATATCCAATAATCTGAAAATGAATAATTAAAATCTCTGAGATGCCAATATACACCATATTTCCAGTTCGCTAGGAAATCAAAATTTACATGAATTTTTTTTGTGAATTCTCAATATGGGCTAATTTCCTCTATGAGTAATTTCCTTTAATGTGAATCATGAACTGTGCTGTATTCTTCCTTATTTTCTCCTTGGCACAAAAAATAGCAACACTATAGCTTTTGCGTTTTTCAATTTTTCAGTGAAATTGCAACACAAACAAATGATGAAAGATGAAGAAAGGGTTATGGGTTTTACAGGAACTTCCAAGCACCATAGCTCTCACATCTAGCCGCAGAGGAGTTGGGGATCAGCGTCTGATGGGTCTAGGTAAAAAGTAAAACTATTTCCAAACATTTTGATTGCTTATATCGGCGGGTGCCAGGGTAATCCTGGCACCCTAACTACCACAGCTTTGTGTAGTGGTTATGGTGCTTGGAATGTTCCGTTATACCAAATTAACAGCTGATGGGAACGTGCACGTTGTATATTGCTTTTGCAGAATAGATACCAGGCCCATTCTTTGATCTTCAATACCAGCACATGCAGAGCCAGCGCTGGCCCTGCTTTGTGTATTCACGGCCGGTGTGGGGATCAGCAGGATAGGGGAGCAGAGCGAGGACCAGGGAGGCTCTAACTTGCACTTCAAGATATTTATTAAACTGCTCCACTTTCATCCACCCCCCCTACAATACAGGCACATTACATTCACACACACACACACACACACTGCGCCACTCACACACAATGGATGCCCCATGCACTCACTTGATTCCTTAGATCCCCCATAGCCACACACTGCATCACCTACACAAACACATCCCATACGCACACTATGTATTGCCTATGCACACTCTAGATCCCTTATAGACATCCTCTGTAAACACTCACACTTGCGCTCTATAGCCCCTCTCATACACTACAGCCTCTATAAAACACACTCTCCAACCTAGCTACAAGTCAGCTTAGGTGGGGACCCACCCTGCACTATCCCAAAAGACTGGCATCCTAGAGAGACATCTGGGTTCAATCGCTACACTCCACTATGGTGCTACCACGGCCTACGAGCGGGCTCATGCTGATAACTGCTCTGCCGAACCGACATTCTGCTAGGCTCCAGAGAGGAGGACTTGGACTCCTGCAAGCTGGCATTATTCTCCCTATTATGATTAACGTTGCCTGACTTGGCGTGGCCATGGTCGATATCCATTGTACTGTTTGTTTAGGTTTATGGTTATTGTTCCTTTTGGGCTTAAAATTTCTGACTCCTCTGATCAATGCCGTTTGATAACACTCTGTCTGTGTAACTTGAAACGCTACAATGCTCTAAGGGCCTCTTCTAATATTTGGAATATCCGTGTCTGTCATATTATAGGTCTACTAGCCTGCTTAGTACTACTCTATTGACTCAATACTTTAAAAAAAAATGTGTGCAGACTCTTTCAAATGACTTGCAGTGCTCTCTCATGTACAATTTAAAATAAAATAAAAAAGTTCCTTACTGAGAAATAAAGGATAAATAATAGACAGAGTATTGCTAAGTTATAGCAATTGTGATGTAAGGAAATTTCAGTTTTGAGAGGTGTAAGGGTAGGTTGAAAGGCTTTGCAGCCATAACCCAATGTTCCATGCTATTCTCCACAGATTGAGCATTAACGCCATTAGGAAGGCAGGAAACATTTTGGTGTGAGCGGTGTTCGAGTTCTGATCACACCAGGGAGACCCAGGTATCAATCAATCCTGTCAATTGGGGCCATATTTAGTGTCCCCAATCTTACAAAAGAGCAGTATGCATTGCTCAAATTGAGCTCATTAAATGGAGATTTCAAATCCCCTGTTTAAAAGTCTGGTGTGAGCAGGGTTAAATCCATGCCATCCTCCACAGAGTGAGCATTAACGCCATTAGGAACACAGGAACGTTCTAACATTCTGGTGTGAGCAGGGTTAAACAACTGCTCACACCAGGGAAATCCAGGTATAAAGGTATACCATGGCCCCCCTCTATCAGCTGGGGCTATATTTATTGGCCCCAGACTGACAGATTAGCTGTATGCAGCGCTTAAAGCACCACGGGCTGAGCACCGTTGCACTCCGCCACACTGACTGATCATGCCAGCACTCAGACGGAGATTGTCAGGGTCTTTTCAGAGCCTTCCTGCATTGCCTATTTGCCAACAGGACATACTTGAAAACGAGAGGAATCTCAATGTATCTTTCCTGGTAAAATATTTTATAAATAATAACTACCCGACACTGGTCACAGTTTGATCGGCAGAGACAACATATCGGGCAGCAGAAAATTAAACTGTTTTAGCTTTAGCATATATTTTATCTGGACGATATCCATTAGGGATAGGGGCAATATTAGATTAGGACTAGGTGTAGGGTTAGTGTAAGGGTTTAATGCTGGGTTAGGGTTAATTATGTTTTAGACTTAGGTATAGTGTAGTGTTAAGGTTAGGGTAGGTATACCTTTAGAGTTTAGGAGGGGGGGTGGGGGAGGGAGTTGCATATGGTTAACGTTAGCCACCATAAAACAAAATTAGATCCTAGACATTTAAAACAAAAAAAAATTAGGGATGTTATGTGAATCTATTGGGTGTTCTTTTTCTTTTGTGTAAAATTATTATAAGCAAAAATGTGTATCTTTTATTTTTTCCCATTTTTGTCATTGTATTCATACTTAACATTGTGTTAAGCATACAATTATATTAAATATATGTATGGGGGGGTGCAGGGGCACTTTTCAGGCTTCCTCAAACTCTGGCCCTCCAGATATTGCTGAACTACAACTCCCATGATTCTATGAATGAAATAGATAGGCTGAGAATCATGGGAGTTGTAGTTCAGCAACATCTGAAAGGCCGGAGTTTGAGGAAGCCTGTTTTAAAGAATCACTATAGTGTCAGGAAAACAAAGTGGTTTTCCTGACACTATAGTACTCTGAGGGTGCCCCCTTCCGTGGCGCTGAAGGGGTTAAAACCCCTTCAGCCACTTACCTTAATCCAGCGCCGGGCTCCCTCGGCGCTGGTGACCTCTCATCCCTCGCCAACGACATTCAAGCTGTCAATAGAAAAGCATTTCTCAATGATTTCCTATGGACGCTCTGCGCGATGGAGGCATAATATGCCTCCAGTGTCGCAGATGCACCTCTAGTGGCTGTCCGGAAGACAGCCACTAGAAGCTGGCTTAACCCCAAATGTAAACATAGCAGTTTCTCTGAAACTGCTAGGTTTGCATCTGCAGGGTTAAAACCTGAGGGACCTGGAACCCAGACCACTTCATTGAGCTGAAGTGGTCTGGGTGACTATAGTGTCCCTTTAAGCTTTGTCTACCTTGCTTCTGTTTTTCTACCTTGGAAGGCACTTTCCCCCTTTCCTTGTAATTGCTCGCTGTTATCAAACAGTTATTTGACTATTTACTGTAGGAGGTTGCCAGAACACCTGGGCTAGTTGGCTACCTGGCACGTCCACCATTCCATTCCTGTCACAGTTAGTGCATTGATCTATTTTATTCTGTCTGATATTATAGTTAACACATTCTTTTCCCAACGGCTAGGACAGGGCAACCAGGTAAACCTTTTTTCACAGTTAGATATTAATTAAATATTAAATTTAGAGGACTATTAATTTGTTCCTGAACCAGCCATCCATCTAGATCAGGCTTCCCCAAACTCCGGCCCTCCAGATGTTGCCGAACTACAACTCCCATGATTCTTAGCAGATTTAATTCATGGAATCATGGGAGTTGTAGTTCGGCAACATCTGGAGGGCCGGAGTTTGGGGAAGTCTGATCTAGATCAAGCTTAGCTGCCTGTGGCCATTGTGGCAATGAGACATTTGTGATAGGGATGTTATCTATGAAGGATTTCAAAGGCTCAATCTGCAGTCAACAGTGGCTGTTAAAGTGAAAACTGTTCACACACCCTATTTGACGCCAGCAAAACCCACATTGAAACCTTTAGGCTAAACTTGTCCGTATTAATGGCATTTACAAGCACAGTTAATGTAATAAAAATCAGTGAGCTAGCTCAATTCGAAATAGAAAGTATGTTTATTGACGAGGCAAAAGTTCACATATTTAGAAAGTGATACACAGTGAATTTCAAATTTAAGGCCATATTAGCCAAACTGGAAAAATTCTCTAAGTCAGCTATGCTTCCAAATCAATTACTTTGGTCTTAAATGCGAAACACGCGGTGAATTCACTTTTGATTTTTGCTTTAGTAAAGAAGTCTGTGTTTTAAGCGAATATGAATTTCCAGTCAGGTTTGTAATGCCTCAAAAAAAAAAAATATTTAAAAAAGAAACACACAACGACAGAAAAAAAACAAACAAAAAAAACAAGCAACAAACCAGTCTGTGTTATTTTGTATATTTAAACATGTGATAAAAAAATAAATAAATAAATAAATTACAGATCAGAGCTAAGCGGCCATTTAAAATGCACCTGCAGTACAAACACTGAATATGGGGATAAAATTTGTATATAATTTCCTCTGCACATAATCTGCATTTTATGTTTGTTTTTTTTTTGTTGTTTTCTAAGCATCTAGTGTAAATTGTTTTTATTTAGTTTTACACATACATAAGGGAATACCACATCAGTAACACACACTGCACATGTTTCTCTCCTTTACTTTCCAAGAATTAGCAGAAAAAGGTGTTTTGTTGTTTTTGTTTTTTACACATGGAGCAGATTTATCAAAGTTCTGTTCTAAAAAGTGGTGCAAAAAAATAAATAAAAATAGTAAACATGAGCTTGTTCAGTGCACTGGTTTCCATGGCGACTGCTCCACATTTAATAATTTTAGATCACTTTATAGAACACAGATACTTCATCACCATTATATCTACAAAGCATAGAGAATTCTAAAAACATTTAAAAATTCCAATAGTTGTATGTGTATCCTGCATTTATATTTAATTATCTCTAAAAATGCCAGCAATGTTTAAAAAAAAAATAATAATAATATATAAATCACTAATTCATTCTCTTTCAGGACAAGGTAGAAGGACCTTGAAGTAAGGATACTGAGAGGAAATAAGGGGACAATGTATCATGCAGGTGGGGACCCAGAGATCACATATGGCTGTATATACAAGGACTGTACCTACCGTCTTGGCAGTGAAGCTGACTCTCGCTGGCTGTGTCCAAGTAACTTGTTACACTTCCTGATCAGTCAATGTGTGTTACAGTGAATTCCAAGGCAGACCTGTGATTCACCTTCACAAGCAGAAACATGATTAAACTCCCTTCCTCTTCATTTCTTCCATAGATCATCCCTTCTGGACAATACCCCTCCCAATGGAACCTGTGACACCCATTCTGTGTTGTACAAAAACCACTCACTCAGTGGCAGAGTCAAAGCCACTGAGACACACAAGTTTCCCAACAGCTCGATTAGGCCATTTACTTAGACACATGACATCTCTCCCTGCAATTCTCCCTGTCTCAGGGGAGGGCACAGACTCTTACAGCTGCTCTCTGGGGTTGTGCAACTGAGACAAGGAGGTTATTATTATGCAACACAGTGGGGCTCATTCACCAAATAGTGAATTGTGGTGTCTGTATAAGGAGAAACAGTCAAGTAGAACCAATTCTCCAGGACTTTTATACTAATAACTTGGCTGTATTTTCCACAAAATTAGCAATTTGGGATTGCAAGATTATACAAATTGCAGCTTTATGAAAAAAAAAAATCCCATGTGTATAAGAAAGTTAAATTTCTGCTTGCACCAGTAAAAGTAACCACAACCGGGTTAGCCCCTTCATATTAAGAAATTTAACAAAAGACTATTCCATTTGTTAGATCAGGTTAGATCAAATGTTTTTTTTAGTTTGATCTACTCTAAAATATGCAATATTAACAATCATTTTCAAGGGAGGGGGGGAGAGCACATTCCGCTCCACTCGGGAGCTGATGTTGGCGGGGGAGGAGAGGTCACCAGTGCCGAGGGAGTCCGGCGCTGGATAAAGGTAAGTGGCTGAAGGGGTTTTAACCCCTTGAGCACCAAGGGAGGGGGACCCTAAAGGTGGGGGGGGACCTAAGGGTTATATAGTGTCAAAAAAAGAGTTTGTTTTCCTGACACTATAGTGATCCTTTAACTGAAATTCGGACAAAATGTGCAGATTTTGGTAGATATGTGTTAGATCAGGTTTAATCAACTGTTCTCTACCAAAATCAATATTTATTCCCCAAATTTCAGTTATAAGGGGGGGTGGGGGGTTAACGTGCCTAATCAAACCTGATTTAATGCAGAGCTATCATAATCAATAAATAACCTTTTGTACAAATTTTTGTTGAGGGGTGCTGGCTACGGGTTAGCCCCCCTCCCCCCCCCCCCCAAATGATGAATATTGCATATTTCAGAGTAGATCTAATGAAAAAAATTGTTTATCTAACATGATCTAACAAAGATCTAACGAATGGAATAATCTTTTAAAATTCTTACTATGGGGTAACCCGTGGGTTTTGTAAAAGTAAGTTATTATTTATTTAAAAAAATATTATTTATAAAAATAAATAAAGGTAATGGTGGTAGGAATTTGTATGTGCTGTGTTTCTGCTTGAAACTCTACAAATACAGAGATGTATTCACTTTTGTCCCAGGGGCTAATTAAACCCCCAGCATACGTGATTTAGGCTTAAAAGAGGCGCACCTACACATTCACAGGAGGTTCATTTTGGGCATCTCATGAAGGACAGTGGTAGCTCTCAGGAACCAGGAAGTATGTTTAGAATGAGACTCTTTTACATAGAACAGTGGACGCACGGAACTCAGAGGGGAGGAGGTACCCACACACACACGCTAACTTTCAAAACACGTAAATAAGCTCCCCCTGGAGAGGAGAGGGAAGAGCGAACACCCATGCTGTATATAGTTGAGCAAATAGGGCCATGATCAAAACCGCCAAGCTCCACACACACCAGCCACTTTGCCATGAATACATGGCTTGGGAGCCAGAGATACAAACCACTACTAATTTAAGCATCGGACGACAAGGGCAACATAGTTAATGGTTTTACCAAGGTTATCCTACCTTTAACCCTTACCCTTTTTCTTTTCTGTACCCCATACCCCCACAACCCATAAGCAGACTGACAGGAAAAGGGCGAATGGCAACACACCACCAAAAAAAAAAGGTACATGCTGAGGCCCGTAAGGCATAAGCTCATTGCACAACATGGTCATGCAAACAAGGTAACAATAACAGTTATAAATAAAGCAACTACGAGGTATGGCACAAAACAAGGGGCAAAAGCTACATATGCCATTATCCGCAAGACTACACACAACTTCAGGAGAAACGTTGCAATGTTTGTACAGAAATAAGCATTAGACTTGTAAGTGTTAGCCTTGTATGAAAATGTATAAATGCATAACTGGTACAGTGCCAAAAAGCCAATGCATGCAAAGAAAAGAAAAACTTTCCCTTTTTCCCACTTCCCCTTTCCGTTCTGTACCCCAATGAAAAACATTAATAAAAATTGTCAAATTAAAAGAAAAAAAAAGAATTAGACTCTTTTATTATCTTTTATGTTGTTATAATTAGTTACTCTGCATATGAGTTGTTGAACTTGCTTTATATAAACAGGGGTGTCATGTAACCCCATACTCCGAGGAAATAAAGGAACTATAAAAAATATCCTGAAAATATCCTTGTGCTCAGTGACCACTATGGTGACATCGGAGTCGGATGAGCACACCATCAACCAGTCTCTGCTGGTGACAGTTGCCCCCTTGCCCCCCCCCCCCCTTCAGATAAACACAAGGAGTAAGGGGTTAGGAGAAACACATTATGGAATGCAGAGACAAACGGAATGCTTATAAAGGGGAATGGTTAATCAAATCAGGCTAACAGGGGTGCTATAACGAAATCTTGCACCCAGGAGTCTCCTGCTCTTGGCTGAATGCTACTAGTGATACATCTTTTCTATATCTTATTGGTTTTGAGTTCTATAGGAATTATTAGCCAGCCCAGGACTGGGAGAACATGCCAGGCTGCTCTGGGCTGCTGGGGGGTCTTCTTCTTGGAAATATGTCTCTTGTGCGAGTTTATTCACTAAACACTGAATTGTAGTCAGGGCCGGCCTTAGGTGTTCAGGCGCCCTGTGCGAAACAATCTTGTGGCGTCCCCCCCCACCCCCCCTCACCTGTCTCTGTTTGGACCCCTTCAAACTATTTTAGGAGCATTCACAATCTGTTGCCTCCACCCCCTTCTACAAAACCACTGCACCTCTTAACCAAAATCCCTGGCCAGATCTTCACCAAGCCCCTGGCCACCACTTCATCAAACTCCTGGCCACCCCTTCCCCTTCATCATCAATGCCCTGGCCATCCCTTCGTCAAACTCCTAGCCACCCCTTACCCTTCATCAATCCCCTCCCACCCCTTTATCAATTCCTGCCACCCCTTCATCAGTCCCCTGCCCCTCTCATCAATTCCCTCCCACCCTTTACTCAGCCCTCTGCCCCTATTCATCAGCCGCCTGACCCCCTAATCAATCCCCTCCCACCCCTTTAACAGCCCTCTGCCCCATTCATCAGTCCCCTGACCCCCTCACCAATCCCCTCCCCCTTTTATCAGCCCCCTGACCCCCTCATCAGTACCCTCCCACCCCTATCACCCACCTGCCCCCCTTTAATCAGTCCCATGCCCCCCTTTTCAACCCCCTGCTCCCCTTCATCAGCCCCCTTAATACATCCCATGCCAAATAATCCAACCCCTGGCCACCCCTTCATCAGTCCCCTGCCCCCTCATCAATTCCCTCCCACCTATTTATCAGCCATCTGCCCCCATTTCATCAGCCCCCTGATCTACTCATCAATCCCCTCCCACTCCTTTATCAACCACCTGCCCCCTTTAATCAGCCCCATGCCCCCCTTTTCAGTTTCCTGCCACCCTTTATCAGCCCCCTTAATAAATCCCCTGCCAATTAATGCAATCCATGCCACCCCTTCATCAATCCCCTGCCCCCCTTAATTAAATTCCTGCACCTCTTCAACAAAACCTATTTAATAAAAAAGAAAAAAAAAGTCACTCACAGTAAAGGCTGCTGCTCCCTGGACTGAGCTGTCTCCGCCGATTGAAGAGCACCGGGTGCCGCCTTTACTCACTGAATTGGATCCTTCCGCGGCTCCCTCTGATGACAGAGCACGTCGACGTTACGCAAGTACGCGGCATAACGCCCCCACGCTCCTCCTCCACCCTCCATACAGAAGTGGATTCCCGGCGGCGGCTCTCGGCTCATAATTTGCAAGTCAAGTGCAAAGCAGTATTATGCACTTGACTTGCACTTTAAATACAGAACTCGGCCGGCCTGCGAGCTGTGTTGGCCGCCCAGCGCCCCTGTTGCCATGGCGCCCTGTGCGGCCGCACAGCTCGCACACCCCTAAGGCCGGCCCTGATTGTAGTGAATTGACATCCAAATCCTTAAATCTATAGGAAAACTGTCAAATTAAAAACTAATTTTTACTATAATAAAAATCCTTCCATCAAGTTTTGAAAGGAATTCAGGGGTGGAGAAAACCGTGGAAAACTTTTATATTGCATTTTAATTATAATATCATAACAAATATTGCTTATATAATTATTATAGTTTTTTTTTATTATTATTATTTTGTATGACTAATTGACAAATTCATTCCTGCACATTTAGGTCCAACCATTTTCTGCTCTGTTTACCAAACATTCCTTACCAGAAGTCTAAAGTGGGGATTTTCATTTACTTGAAAGGAAACGGTTAGCTTGTGTTATTGCATACGCCCCATAAGAGTACCTTTACAGTGGGGTACAGAAAGCAAACATATACCATGGCTAGAGTCAACAGACTACACCTTTGTTTTTTTTTCCTGTTAGTGTTGAAGGCAGGGGTCAAGTCCTGGGGAAAAAAGTGTGGGAACTCTCCCAAAAAAAACCCCAAAACACTTGTATGTATGTTTATATATATATGTGTGTGTGTGTGTGTGTGTATATATACAGGGAGTGCAGAATTATTAGGCAAGTTGTATTTTTGAGGATTAATTTTATTATTGAACAACAACCATGTTCTCAATGAACCCAAAAAACTCATTAATATCAAAGCTGAATATTTTTGGAAGTAGTTTTTAGTTTGTTTTTAGTTATAGCTATGTTAGGGGGATATCTGTGTGTGCAGGTGACTATTACTGTGCATAATTATTAGGCAACTTAACAAAAAACAAATATATACCCATTTCAATTATTTATTATTACCAGTGAAACCAATATAACATCTCAACATTCACAAATATACATTTCTGACATTCAAAAACAAAACAAAAACAAATCAGTGACCAATATAGCCACCTTTCTTTGCAAGGACACTCAAAAGCCTGCCATCCATGGATTCTGTCAGTGTTTTGATCTGTTCACCATCAACATTGCGTGCAGCAGCAACCACAGCCTCCCAGACACTGTTCAGAGAGGTGTACTGTTTTCCCTCCTTGTAAATCTCACATTTGATGATGGACCACAGGTTCTCAATGGGGTTCAGATCAGGTGAACAAGGAGGCCATGTCATTAGATTTTCTTCTTTTATACCCTTTCTTGCCAGCCACGCTGTGGAGTACTTGGACGCGTGTGATGGAGCATTGTCCTGCATGAAAATCATGTTTTTCTTGAAGGATGCAGACTTCTTCCTGTACCACTGCTTGAAGAAGGTGTCTTCCAGGAACTGGCAGTAGGACTGGGAGTTGAGCTTGACTCCATCCTCAACCCGAAAAGGCCCCACAAGCTCATCTTTGATGATACCAGCCCAAACCAGTACTCCACCTCCACCTTGCTGGCGTCTGAGTCGGACTGGAGCTCTCTGCCCTTTACCAATCCAGCCACGGGCCCATCCATCTGGCCCATCAAGACTCACTCTCATTTCATCAGTCCATAAAACCTTAGAAAAATCAGTCTTGAGATATTTCTTGGCCCAGTCTTGACGTTTCAGCTTGTGTGTCTTGTTCAGTGGTGGTCGTCTTTCAGCCTTTCTTACCTTGGCCATGTCTCTGAGTATTGCACACCTTGTGCTTTTGGGCACTCCAGTGATGTTGCAGCTCTGAAATATGGCCAAACTGGTGGCAAGTGGCATCGCGGCAGCTGCACGCTTGACTTTTCTCAGTTCATGGGCAGTTATTTTGCGCCTTGGTTTTTCCACACGCTTCTTGCGACCCTGTTGACTATTTTGAATGAAACGCTTGATTGTTCGATGATCACGCTTCAGAAGCTTTGCAATTTTAAGAGTGCTGCATCCCTCTGCAAGATATCTCACTATTTTTGACTTTTCTGAGCCTGTCAAGTCCTTCTTTTGACCCATTTTGCCAAAGGAAAGGAAGTTGCCTAATAATTATGCACACCTGATATAGGGTGTTGATGTCATTAGACCACACCCCTTCTCATTACAGAGATGCACATCACCTAATATGCTTAATTGGTAGTAGGCTTTCGAGCCTATACAGCTTGGAGTAAGACAACATGCATAAAGAGGATGATGTGGTCAAAATACTAATTTGCCTAATAATTCTGCACTCCCTGTGTATATATATATATATATATATATATATATATATATACACACACATACATACACACGCGTGCACACACACATACACTCACACAGTGGTGTATTTTAATTTTATGCTGCCCTAGACATGACTATAGAGCACCCCCCTAATCTAAATTTACCACTCCTTCATGTCAAGGGTGCACGCTTCCTGATTAAGAACCCACCCCTTCCTCTTTAGACTCCACCTTTTCCTGCTCCTTTTAAAGAAATACTATAGTGCCAGGAAAACAAAGTTGTTCCGTATAGTGCCCCCCTCCTCTCATGTCCTCCTCTCCCCCACTCGACACTGAAGGGGTTAAAATCCTATGGGTATTTAGCAGATGCTGGATGTCCTCATGCACAGGGTGAGGACGTCCAGCATTAGTTAGGTGACTTTTGGTCACCTAACCACCCAAAAGTCCCTCTAGTGGCTGTCTGATAGACAGCCACTAGACTTGGAGTTACCCCTCAGGTAATTATTGCAGTTTCTGAGAAGGTTTAAGGGGACTGGGATACTGCACCCAGACCACTTCAAGGAGCTGAAGTAGTCTGGGTGCCTATAGTGTCCCTTTAAGCACACTCTCTGACAGACACCCACACTGGCAGATACACACTGTAAGTAACACACACATACGTCACTGATTTGACACACACATTCACTGACACACACTCATTCATTGACAGAGAGACACACACTAATAGTCACACACACACTAAATGACAGACTCACTTATTTGACAGAAACTTACAATAACGTATGCACATACATGCAATTGCAAACATACACATGCATACACTAACAGAAGCACATACACTCACATACACACGTACAAACGCTAACAGACATAAATACACTCCTACACACACTGAGACAAACAGACATCCACAGACAGACATCCACACATCCAGACATCCACAGACAGACATCCACACATCCACAAACAGACATCCACAAACAGACATCCACACATCCACAGACATCCACACATCCACAAACAGACATCCACACATCCACAGACATCCACAAACAGATATCCACACATCCACAAACAGACATCCACAAGCCACAAACAGACATCCACAAACAGACATCCACACATCCACAAACAGACATCCACACATCCACAAACAGACATCCACAAATCCACAAACAGACATCCACACATCCACATCCACAATCCACAAACAGACATCCACAAATCCACAAACAGACATCCACAAATCCATCCACAAACAGACATCCACACATCCACAAACAGACATCCACACATCCACAAACAGACATCCACAAATCCACAAACAGACATCCACACATCCACAAACAGACATCCACACATCCACAGACATCCACACATCCACAAACAGACATCCACATCCACACATCCACAAACAGACATACAGACATCCACAAACAGACATCCACAAATACACACACAGACATCCACACATCCACACACAGACATCCACACACAGACATCCACACATCCACAAACAGACATCCACACACAGACATCCACACATCCACACACAGACATCCACACATCCACATCCACACATCCACACACAGACATCCACACATCCACAAACAGACATCCACACACAGACATCCACACATCCACACACAGACATCCACACACAGACATCCACACATCCACATCCACACATCCACACACAGACATCCACACATCCACATCAGACATCCACACACAGACATCCACACATCCACACACAGACATCCACACACAGACATCCACACACAGACTTCCATATATACAAATTAATAATATTATTAACTAATTAACATATCCCACCCACCCAGCATCCCTACCTTTCCCTGGGGTCCAGTGGGGCTGCAGTGAGGACGGCTCTCTCCCTGTCACACGCGGAGAGCGAGCTGTGTGCTCCCTCTCGCCGCGCGGGATGTCTGCTGTAGCTGGGAGCCGGGTTGATGACGTCAACGCCACGCGTTCCTGCAGGACTCGAGCCCTGGTTGAAGGCCAGAATTCCATTATTATTTGTGAATGAGTATTGCGCAATATGTGAAAAAAAGGGGGTCAAGGGCTGCGCTTGAGTGAGGAGACAAAAAAGTTGGTAAGTAAATAAAATCGTATGGTGATAAAATAAACAGTAATAATAAAGTCAAATAAAGTTCATCCGGATTTGTAAAAAGTATAAATAAAAACAGTCTCACTGGTATGCAGTACCACGATAATAATCCTCAAGTATGGCTCCGTCCGTATAATAGATAGTCCATATATGTGAAGATAAAAGAAAAAAAAAAAAAAAAGCTACCAATGGTGAAATATTGTATATCCTGATGTTGTGTATATTCAAAGGAAATATATTCCACTCACATTTTATGGAGCTTGTGCCAGCTCTGGGAGAAGAGACACTAAGTGGTTTAATCCCCACTAACGGATGTACTTGGATGGTCCTTTTATCCGGCTCGGAGTTCCTGTGGTGTCGGCTAGGATCTACTTCAGGTGTGTGTTGATTCCTTAGAAGATAGGTCCGCCTTTCCGATATCGGGTAATAGGTATCCACGGAGTATATATAAAACGGCAAATAGTGCTCTCAGTATGAACAACAAAATAATATTTAACTTTAAGTAAGTTATACTTACAAGAATAGAGCAGACAGGTACTGCTCTATTGCCACAGCTCTGGTGGAATTATCCCCACCTAAGGATTTCTTTGGACGGAATATGCTTTCAATTTTTTAAGAATAAAAATAAAAATAAAAATTAAAAATAAAAATTGAATGGATAAAACTATAAAATAGTTTGGAATGATATAAAATGTGTATATATATAAAAATATATAAAAATGCCAGGAGTAAATGAAAGTGTATAAAATACAATAAAAATAAGTTTGCAATTGGTCCTAGTATAAAAGGTAACCAAAAAAACTTTTATTGATTAAAAATACACTTATTAAAACCATTTACGCGTTTCACCTTTGGGGTTTTCTCAAAATGGTCAAAGAACAGTACACCTGGCAAGGAACTGAATATATAAGTTTACAGAAATTGAATTTGGCGCCAAAATTTTTTGTGCACCAATCACAGACAAGTATTAAAACCAAACATTATATACATTGCAAAATAGCATTACAACCTTATAGGTACATTTCTATGAGCCTTAGTAGGTTTGAAAAATTAAAATTTAGTAAAAACAAAACTTTAAAAAGAATTTAAAAGAAAGTTTCATTGTTATTAATCCCGGTCACGTGACACATTTCAAAATGGTAAAAGAACCATATGGATGCCTTTGTTAGAGTCTAATAGGGCTCAAGGGATCAAAAATATTTTAAAACGAAGCTTTTAAATTGATTTATTTATATTTTGTTCCGATCACGTGATCGGAGCATAGCGCACATGCGCAAATCGATTGGTGGCGAAAACACTTCCTGGATTGCACGGAGTGCTCAGTGGCCGGCTGGAAACACAAAGCTCCATGGGAAATAGAGTCCTGCCGGCCACTGGGCGCTCCTATAATAGGATACATGCGTGGGATCACATTAAGAGATAAAGAAAAAAGCAATATATAATAAAATGATGAAATTAAAAGCATTTAAAGTATAAAAACATTGGTTTGAAATGCCCCCACAAATTTATACATAAGGGTAAATAAAAAAGCTATTTTATACATAAAAATAAATTTAAAAGCTAAGAATGTTGTTGCAAATATTAGTATAAAAAATATATAGGAGAATAGTCTTCTAAGTGGAACATAATAATATTACAAATATAAGGGTAAAATAAGACATAAAATTAAAATAAAAGGTTAAAACTAGGAAATGTTGATAATTGGACATATCATAAGAAATTATAGAAAATTATGCAAATCAAATTCTGCATTAAGACCATTTGGTGTTAAGGTCTGTAACTTGTAAACCCATTCCATCTCGGTTTTTCCTAAGATGTTTTTCATATCTCCGCCTCTCCAGGGTAGGGAACATTTTTTTATTCCCATATATTTTAGCATTTTAGGGTCTTTATTATGAATTAAGAAGTGCTTTGATAGAGAATGATTTAAATAGCCATTTTTTATATTCCTACAATGCTCACCTAATCTTATTTTTAAACATCTTGTAGTCATCCCAACATATTGGAAGCCACAGGGGCATTCCAATAGGTAGATTGCGCAATATGTAACTAGACTTTTTAACTCGTGAAAAGGAATTGTTTCTTTTAGATAACAGCAAAGACTAATAATGTAATATTGAGTCACATTTTGTTTCTGTTTTTCAAACTGAGTTTGTATCTCGCAGTCAATGTAAATCACAGAACAGGATGAGGTAACACCAGACCGGAGCATATTTCTCAACGTTGGAAGGGGTGCAAATAGAACAGGGGACAGCAAGTCTATATAGGGTAATGTTGAAGAAGCAGTGTACATTATTATATATAGCGCCAACATATTCCGCAGCGCTTTACAATTATAATTACATAACTGTTGACGGTGAAAAGAGTGGGATTGCCCACAAATTGGGAAGGCCTGTCCAAAAAAGGGGAAGTATATACTCATATATAAATGAGTAAAGAACAGGCTACATTGTACAGAGTGAGAAAAAAAAAACTTTATTAATGTATAGCTGCCATATAAAAACATCAATGTGACGTTTCGGCCAGTGGGTATTCATGGCTAAAAATAAAATGTGTTATTTCCTTCTCACGTATCACCGCGTAGCCTGTTCTTTACTTCCATTGGACAGGTAATAGTTAATAAATAAAAAGCTGCCCCTTTCTCTTATCCCATAGTCTGTTATAAAGTACGGTAGTCCCCGTGAAAACAAAATACAGGTTGGGAAAAGTAGTGCTGCCATAGTATATCAGCGGAAAAGGAAAATATTGGTAAATATGATACATTTTCCTGTTTCCCCGCCGTATCCATGGCAGCACTTACTGGAGATCGTGCCCATAGAATCCTTAGAATTTTTTTTTTTTTACACTATATGCAGTAATACAGTTAACAATAAACAAAAACAAAAGTACAAATAAAAACATGAATGGTACAAGTGTCTGTATAAAAACCAAAAAACAGTAGTTTGTGCTAAGAAAATCTCATTTAAGTTCAGTGAACTGCGCCAGACTTCTAAGAGATCTCGTAGTAACTGTCCTTTTTGGTAGGTTTGTTTAGTACACTCTAATTTTAAAAAGCACCACACACCAATTATTTAACCCCTTAAGGACACATGACATGTGTGACAAGTCATGATTCCTTTTTATTCCAGAAGTTTGGTCCTTAAGGGGTTAACGTAATAAAGTAATATACAGCAGTCTAAAGCCTGCATTGCTTGACCACAACCACTATTTAGCAAACAACACTATTAAAGGTGACAAAAAAAGATTGTAATATTGTATTATAAATAATTACAATAGCAATTATAATTAACATATGCCATAAGAAGTGAACAGTAAATTTCTAATTCTTCCATCTACTAGAGGGAGTCAGCTTTCTCTGAGCTGATGTCTGAGTCGAGAAACTCACTGGTACCAGACCCTGTCTATCTCTTTAAAAAAAGTCAGCCATAAAATGAGCACGAATGTGGGGCGGCCATTTTGGATTTGGGAAACACATTTTAAAATAGGTAAAACATTTCTTGTGTTCCCAACTACAAAATGTTTAATTCAATAAACCCTGATTGAGTTACTTATTTTTTTTTATTTGTAAAGTCTTATAGTCTTAAATAGGTGTATACTGGTATAAAAGCCACAATTGAAAACTTGTCAGACAACTACAGTAACAGACTGCAATCAGGTGTGCATTTGCTATTTTATACAAGTGAAGAATGTTTTATTCGCTTTTGCGTTCATTTTTACATTATTAACATGGACTGCTGAGCTTCTGCCCTTATCAAAGATGGCCGCCACTGCCTCTCAACCCCTGAAGTTTTGTCTGAGGTTAAGGGTCAGGGGTGAGGGTTTGCTGTCACTGTGTGCTCTGGGAACGTGGACAGAGAGACTGACTATAGCAGGTAATGTATATACAGAGTCATCAAACAGGAAACACAGCCACACTGAATTAAAGGGAAATATTAAATGTTAATCACATCCATGCACTGTAGGAAAGGCTGCCTGTGCTGTAATAATAATAATAATAATGAGATATATGAGCATGAGGAGTCCTAACTCCTTGTCATTATTCCCCAGGAATATTCATAGAATAGAAATATATGGAGTTTTAGTGGGCAGACATGTATCTGAATCATAAATACAGCACTACATATGTGTAACATAAATCAGGGATATGATATGCACATAATTAAAGTGGTTATGGTTGCTGGCATTGTGCCCCCATATGACTTCTTCCTTTTTTTAAATGTATTTTTTTTTTTTTTTTATTGTTTTGGTAATTCTTTATTTTTGACGTGCATCGAAGGATTATAAGCCACAGAGATTAATATCCAGCAGAGAATGTGATATTATTATTATGTTATTATTTATATAGCGCCATCACATTCCGTAGCGCTGTACGTATTAAAGGAAAACAAGATTATTACAAGGCATACAAATGGTCAGAGGAAGAGAATGTAGAGGGGAGAGAAGGTCCCCTCGTTGTATTTTGCATTTTTGTTTTTTTTCTGTTTCACATTGAGGATGTACTGTAATGTCTGTCTATAGTAAAAGGCTGTCCTTAAAGCTTTTCAATGGCTTCTTATTTCAGCATACATCAATTGATATTGTAAAAATACATTGGACCTGTTTTTTGTTTTTTTTTGTGCTTTGTTTACATAAATGTGTACATAGTGAAATTATTGTGTCTTTTTTTTCCCCCCATGAGATAATTATACACTCCGCTAATAAAATGTAAGCCAGGTGACAAGTACTAAATGTTGTGCTGTCGACAGGAACATGTCTTTAGTTTGTATGGTGATTGCTCCATAATTTGAATTTCGACATTTAAAAAAAATTTAAGAACTGACCTGATAAACATGGCATTAGGCTCATATTCTAAATTTTTGCTCTCTCTGCGTCGTCTAACCTCCTCTTGCACTTGTCCGTATCTGGAGTGTTTACTTTTTCTGTTTTCTTGTACTGTTTTAATGTTTTTTCTTCCTGTCTATTGGCTTGTCTTATACCTTAATCACTTTCCATTTATTTCCCTGCCGAATGAAAAATCAATGAAAATTACTATTTTGAGTCATCTATAACTGATGGTACCATATATACATGTTAATGTGTATGAGATGAGTAATTTCAGTAACAATTAATACATATTCCATACCAGCTCTATGAGTTAATCTATGTTATTATTTATGTTTAATAACATTTATTCATGTTTTTCCCCCCTCTAGTTCTTGTGTAAAGTCGGAAGGATGCGAAACCTAAAGTTATTGAAATCTCTGCATTGCGCTGCGGCTGAAGGTGTTGGCTTGCCACAGTGCTGTTCTGTACGTACCGACACCGGTACAGTACTGATCGGATCAGGCTATGGCTTTGTGGAACTGGATCCCAAAACAGAGCAGGTATATCTGCGCTATTTATAACTAGTTAATTTTAAATTTTTTAACATTTTTAGAAGTTATACCCTCACATAAAAAAATAAAACATGCATGTCTTTTTTTTCTGTATATTTTCATAATGGCTATATGAGACAACGGTTTGTAACAGCTGCAGAACTATAATTTCTCTTCCCCTCCACTTTATCCCAGGCACTTTTAGTCTGTGCCGGGGTTTACACCAATCAGAGGCGACCATGGCTTTCCTATGCTTCTCAATGAGCTGTAGTATAGAGAGGTGTTTCAGCAAAGATTTATGTAAGTGCTGATTTGTATTGAAATTGTCACTGTTACAAATTATCATATATATGACAACTTCCAGACACATAAGGTTCTTCAGCAAGCTTAAATGGTTTATGTGTGTGACGTATTCATTTAAATAATGTTTCAATTTTATAATGTTAGGTTACCTGCACAAGACAAGGACTGTGTTGTGTTTGTTTGTTTTTTTTAATTGATTTTTTATTTTTTTTTATTTATGTTGCTTGATTCTAAAACAGCAATAACTCTCTAAGGTAGCTTACCTGTTAGTTCAGTTATTCATGCCATTAACTTAGAATTAACTTTGGATTCTGTGCTTACTAAATAGCCCTGTGAAAATACCTGTGTCTCTACCTATTCTACTAACCTTGTCATTTCTCCCTTATTCAATATATTATTTTAGTTTCTAAACATGTACATCCGGCTCCCCCAGTTTTTGAAATATATGTCACCTCTACATTAATTCTGGATAGTTTGAGTCTTGGCTGAATAGCAGCAATGTATCTGTTGATATCACTTTATTTTCAATACATTATTAGTGTAAACAATTGTTATTGCAAGATTTTTTTTTTTTTTTTAAATTCTTTATTTTTGTTGTGCACAATAGTAACAAGTAGCCCTGGTGCGCCACAACAGCGGCATCAGGATAGGTTGGAAAACATTTGCTATACAGGTTGTGACATATGCTAGTCAGGCACAAATTTTAGGTTATTAGAATTATCAATTCAACAGTGTAGTTCTCGCTTTTGCTATTATAAAACATCATTAAAACAATATTGAGGCATCACTTGGAACAGTGCAATAGATGTTGTTTTAAGATAGTAATTCGTAGCTCAAGCTATTTCGTTTAGACTATTTTGCTGCTGGGTATGTGATAACATGCTAATCTACTGCATCTTAACTACATGTGGACATAGAAGTGACTATCTGTCCCTAAGCTAAACAAAAAATAAATAAATAAATAAATAACTAGGTAGTCTGTGGCATACTTCACGACATCTCTGTGTACCTAGGCTATAAGTTTGCCAGCATTGTCCGCTTAAACACTTAGTCCATGCAGTGCTAGTTATATTTACTAGTCGTGGGTAGTCCATATGTTGATGGTTGTTGCCGGCTGTGAATGTGCCCTCCAGATGCAAGTGTGCCATGATTACTTGAGAGGCACAGAGGCAGGCTCTTCATCCGATGCCCAATGCATGAACGTGTCTCTTGCTGTCAACGTTGGTCTCCTTGAAGGCGTCCGCACGCCGGGGTCCAGCTCCAGTGGTGTTCAGTGGGGTGTTCAGCCATGCAGCTCCCCGGTTTGCAGCTGTGACTTGGAGGCATGGAGGTGAGCTTTGCTGGACGCCGGTTCCCGTCGCCGGTGAATAGCTTATGTGGGAGGCTGCTTTGGTAGTCTCGTTCTCGTGAATGTGGGGACCTGTGTGCTTTCTCCTGCTGCTTGGTGGTGTTTTGCCCCTTTGGGCTCGTCGGGATTTGCAGGGTCTGGCTGCCGTTCTGGTTGCTTGTGGTGGATGCCTATAATGGCGCCGCCGGGTCACTGGACGCATCCATGTGGCCACTAGTTTCACCGCCAGACGGTAAGTCATTCCACGGTCGCTCAGCAAGGTCCAGAGGCTCGCACAGAATCGGTCGAATTCCCCCAGGGGGTTCGAGGTTGGTTGAGTGTGTACTTGGTTTGTGGGGCCCTCGCTGGACGGCCATCTTAGCTGTTTCCCAGTGACCCAATGCGTGCTCGTGCTGTTCTGGCTGTGTAGGACAGACACTTCTATAGTCGGTTCGCTGTGTTCCAGGCTTTAGTTGCCGGGATATCCCTCTCCGGCGGGGGGGGGGGAGGAAATATGCCGGGGAGACCTCCAGATAAGGGGTTGTCTGTAGGCTTTCTCTGGTAGGCCTCAGGTCGATCCCCAGTTAGGAGCCTCCGATTTTGGTCGGGATGCTTGTTGCTTGGTTCTGCAGTGTTAGGGCTCCCTTCTCCAGGTCGCCTAGTTGTCAATTTGGTTAGTTTGTGCCCTGATTCTGGCCGTTTGAGAGAGCTTTTGCACGGAGCTCATCTCCAGTGCGACCGCTCAGCATGGCAGCTTAGCTCCGCCGTTATTGCAAGATTTTTAATGGGATTATAATTCTGCATATTTAAAATGAAGGGGAAAGGGATAAGTATTTTTGATGTAACTAGAAAGTGGAATAATGGATTTTGGAAAATTTAACTTTGATATCATTTTCTCATACAGATTACTTTAGATGTCTCTTTGACAGCAGAGGGCTTTCTCCCAGACGATGGCAGTGGCAGTGTTGTTGGGATTCAGGATGTTTCTGATCAAGAGTCGGTGTGTCTTGCCACTGCGACAGGTGATGTCATACTCTCAAACCTGAATACCGGGCAGGTAGGTGTCGATTTGCTGTTTTGTTAAACCACATGGCGTCTTCTGTGACATAGAAACATGCAATTAAGAAATCATTCTGTAAAAGGGACAAGTTGCATGCATATTGAAGCTTAAGGGGAGTCACAATAAATGAATACATTCTATAGGAAAGAACTGGAAAGTTTCATGCATGCCCACACTCAAAATGTTTATTCTGTTGCATATAAGTGATGATGTATGTGTTTTGTATGCATGCTCATGGTGTCAGTGTTAATTACGAATGTATGAAAGAGCAATGATTGGCTGGAAAATGTACAGTCAAGTCTTTGTTACCTTTTCTCTTTTTTAAATTTTTTAAAATTTTTCTTAACGCTCTACTTTGATTTTATATATATATATATATATTGTGTGTTTTAGTGTTATATATATGTTTTCCCCCTAATTTCCACTGTTGCTTTCATTGTAATTTCAAAGACATTGACAACTGCAGATTTCCCTTTAATTGAAAACGAAATCAGTATGCTTTTAGTATAAATATAACACAGTATATGTTGTTCAAAATTAAGTTGTAGTTAGGTTAAAGTGTTACTCCAAGCATCATAAGCACTAGTGCCCGCTGGCCAAGTTCCCTGTTAATGGGCAAACCGTTTAGTAACAGTTATTCCACTTACCATGGTCTCCTCCAGGCTCCGTGGCACCCTGGTGGTCTGCTGACGCGCTTCCGTCTTCTGCAGAGCCACAGAAGGAATATGCCATGGCTGAGAGCATCAGCTGAAAAACTCTCAGCTAATGACTGACATTCTATGCAATGAAAGTTACACAAAATTGACTTTAGCCAGCTTGGAACTCTGGTTCTGGGCTGGCTTATGGCACCCCAATTACTCTACTGTAAGTGGAGTTACACCTCAGACAGACAGATTAAACTCCATATGTGGAGTGTTTCAAACTGCAGTGTTGCACATACAGACCTCAGGCACTGAAGTGGTCATGGTTCTTTGAGTAAACCTTTCATTCTCTGACTGGCATTTAGTGCTAAAATATAGTGCTGAATGGATTTGTGCATTATTTGGGATCAAAATTCAGTTTGGGAAAGTGATTCGTCCATTTTTACCGGCTTTCCTTCCAGCTGGAATGCGTGGGCAGTGTCGATAGTGGTATTACTACAATGAGCTGGAGTCCAGATCAAGAGTTGGTTCTGCTTGTCACAGGTATTTACCAAACATATGCTTGGACTAATTATCTATATGCCTTGGTAACATTTAATGCAGGGGGTGCCCAAATGTTAGGCCCCAGATGTTTTAAAACAGTTTCTGTGATGCTTTGCCATTCTAAAGCCATGTAAAGCATCATGGAGTTGCAGTTCTACAACATCTGGGGATCTATCTTTTGGGCACCCCTGATTTAAAGGTATTGATGAGTGGCTGACAATTATTGAAGAAGCATAATTAAGTCCTTTATTAGAATAAGAAGGTCTTATGCTTCTATTACAACGGAAAATAGTTTTGAGTCTCCAGTTAGACCATATGCCCTGTAAAAGTTCAGAACTGTTGTGATATGACATGAGTTTTTTTAAATCTGTGTTTTTGCCAGATGTGTGAGGATTGCAGAAGTGTTGTGGTCGTGCTAGTAGTTACTTACTTAAGTCGTAGTTTTGATAGTTACATGGAAAAAGACTCAAAGTTCTTCAAGTTCAATATTTCAAACCTTTCTTGTTTCAAATCTTAAACTTTCATTAGTTAATGGTTTGCTGAAAAAAAAAAAATGAACGTCAACAAATTTCTTATTGTGCTGCTAAAAATTGATTGAAACTGGCAATCATTTTCTTCTTCGATCAACCAAATGTTTCTCATTGGGAAGCCTAATGGACACAGTGAGCATAATATAACTCCTTACTTAAAATGTTTAGTTAATACACACCAAATGCTTTTGGAAGCTGTAAAAATGTAAATCAAAACAGATAATAAAAATAGAAGATCTATGCAACAGAACCACTTAATTAAAGGACCACTATAAGTGCCAGGAAAACATACTTGTTTTCCTGGCACTATTGTGCCCTGAGGGTGCCCCCACCCTCAGGGACACCGTCCTGCCCGCCTTTGGGGGGAGGAAGGGGTTAAACGCACCTCTTTCTTCAGCGCCGTTCGGGGAGCTCTCCTCTTCCTCTCCCCCCTCTTCTTCTCTTCTCTGGCTGAATGCGCATGCACGGCAGGAGCCGCGCGCGCCTTCAGCCAGTCCATAGGAAAGCATTCTCAATGCTTTCCTATGGACGCTGGCGTCTTCTCACTGTGAAAATCACAGTGAGAAACGCGGAAGCCCTCTAGCGGCTGGCAATGAGACAGCCACTGGAGGCTGGATTAACCCTAATATAATATATATAATAATATAGGGGAAGGCTTAACCCATTCATAAACATAGCAGTTTCTCTGAAACTGCTATGTTTATAGAAAAATGGGTTAACCCTAGCTGGACCTGGCACCCAGACCACTTCATTAAGCTGAAGTGGTCTTTAAAGGACCACTCTAGGCACCCAGACCACTTCAGCTTAATGAAGTGGTCTGGGTGCCAGGTCCAGCTAGGGTTAACCCATTTTTTTATAAACATAGCAGTTTCAGAGAAACTGCTATGTTTATCAATGGGTTAAGCCTTCCTCCAAATCCTCTAGTGGCTGTCTCATTGACAGCCACTAGAGGCGCTTGCGTGCTTCTCACTGTGATTTTCACGGTGAGAGCACGCAAGCGTCCATAGGAAAGCATTGTAAATGCTTTCCTATGCGACGGGCTGAATGCGCGCGCAGCTCTTGCCGCGCGTGCGCATTCAGCCGGCGGGGCGTAACGGAGGCGGAGAGGAGGAGGAGAGCTCTCCGCCCAGCGCTGGAAAAAGGTAAGTTTAAACACCTTTCCCCCTTCCAGAGCCGGGCGGGAGGGGGTCCCTGAGGGTGGGGGCACCCTCAGGGCACTATAGTGCCAGGAAAACGAGTATGTTTTCCTGGCACTATAGTGGTCCTTTAAGATGAAGTGGTTTGGTTGTCCACACTGGCCTTTTAACTTAAAATGTTGCATCTATATGTTTCTTACTTTAAAGTACCCTCTTATCTGCCGTAGGTGGTATCTTCTTTACTCAAGTCTCACTAGGTGGCCTCTTGCTGTTTTTACAGTCATGTTTTCAAGTTGGTCACCCGTAAGCTGTTGAACTACCTTCTCAGTCTACATGTTTTTAGAACATTATGATATCTACTCTTTGACACATTTTTTTACATTGTAAACAAATACACATTGTGAAATTTCTTTGTAACTCATGTATATATTCCTTAATTAAATAACAATTATGAAATCGTTATTTCAAGACTAAAGGTTCCCTTAGTGTACCACTGTTTGGCATTTAAAAATGTGAAGTTAAAATAACACTATAGGGTCAGGAACACAAACATGTATTCCTGACCCTGTAGTGCTTAACCCACCATTTAGGTTTAAAACTCACCTTAGTTCCAGCGCCATGCGGGTCTGCCAGCCCTGGCTCCGCATCATCAAAATGGCAAATTTTTAGCAAATCCAAGTGGGCACGGGGTGGGGCCAAATGCAATTTTGGCCAATCAGGACCTCCTCATAGAGATGCATTGAATCAATGCATTTCTATGAGGAAAATCCAGCGTCTCCACGCAGAGCGTGGGGACGCTGAACGGCAGGGCTGCTTACTGTGCGCACTGAGCCAGGAAGCCCCTCCAGTGGCCATCTGAGGATTGGCCACTTGGAGGTGTCCCTAGGGGCAATGTAAATGCTGCCTTTTCTCTAAAAAGGTAGTGTTTACATGAAAATGCCTGGAGGCAATGATTATACTCACCAGAACAACTACATTAATCTGTAGTTGTTCTGGTGATTTTAGTGTCACTTTAACTATTCTAACTATGATTCTTCACCTCCTCTCCAGTGCCAGGATTCTTCCGCAGCAGTCTCTAGCTCTGCGTTCAGTGATGTCAGGCTCCAAGCTGACATCACATGCGATCTCCTCCAATCCATTGCCTCTAATAGATAAGCGACGAATTGGAAATAATCATGTGCTGCAAAACACCGGATTTCTCCAATCAAGTGCTGCTATTAGAATCCTTTGATTCCAGGACGAGTTTCACAGATGTATTTACCCCTGCAATGTAAACACTGCAGTTTCTTCAAACCTGCAATGTCTTAAGTTGCAGGATTTAAATCACAGGGCTCCGGTACTCAGACCAATTCATTAAGATGGGGAAAAAAAAACCAGTTGGAACTGTGATAGGTCCAGCCAAATACACATTGTACATTTATTTATTTTTTGTATGGTTATGACTGTGAGAGATACTTTTTTTTTATTTTATTATGAAGGCATTGTGTTATATGATATTATTTTGTTTCCAAACTTGCAACAACAAACTAAATGTAAAACACATTAATTATATGGTTCTCTGTGTTTAAGGTCAACAAACATTGATATTGATGACAAAAGATTTTGAGCCCATTGCTGAAGTACCTATCCATCAAGATGATTTTGGGGAAGGTAAGTTGCATGCTTTTATAATTAAAAGCTAAACGGCTTCTGAAGACATGGAAGACATTTGTTATTTAGCAAAAATGAAAATACAGATGATGCATTTGTATTGTTACAGCATACTGGCCAGAGACTTGCTAGGAATGGTATATTTTAAAGTTACTTCAAAAGCATCCTTAAAAATTAAAGCAAGTACTTTATCATCAAAAAGATAAATTAAAGGAACACTTCATGCATTCATGTATTTTATTATGCCTGTCTTCTTTGTGGGTATATGAAAAAATAGCTTTACAAACCCTCCCATATTTCCCTATAGCAGACTGTCATTCTATGCCCAAGGAATACACCAATCAGAGGCTTCTCGTTAAGAAGCCTCTGTGCTGGAGCCGCGAGCATGTTTACACGACTGCACATCTACGCAATCTCGGCATTCTTGTACTTCTCAACGAGCTTTAGCACAGCTCATTGGTAATTGGTGCCTAGTCTAGTGGCCCTGCCTTTATAAAAATGCTGATTTATTAGCTGAAATACTTTGTATCTGGAGTCTTCCTTTAAGAATATAAAAATTGGATTTCAGATACTCTCTGGGTATTGTGAGTTTATTACAACCTACCACCCACACTATAAATTGGGCGGTTTAAATCATCATTGGAAGCTGTGGTATGGTTGCAGACTAGCTTCCAATAAAAGTATCCATCATTTTTCAGTCCATTGAAGTCTAAGTCAAGGGTAGGTAACCTTTGACACTCCAGATATTGTGGACTACACCTCCCATAATTCTCTTACAGTGATAATCCTGTAAAGCAGCAGTGGAGATGTCCACAACATCTGGAGTGCTGAATGTTGCCTACCCTTGTTCTAGGCACTGTACCTGCATATAAGAATATACAAAACAAGTTGTGAAACTGACCTGTAATAAAGAAATTCTAAGCCTCTGTTACAATATTTGGTATATTGGATTTGTCTGCCATCTAAAAGTGTGAAGGAGAACTTCAGGAAATTCTGGACTCCAGGATTGTGTTGTCATCTGGGAGCAAACAATAGAAATTTTGCTTCTCCATTAGTGATGTCCCGAACGGTTCGCCACGAACGGTTCGCTGCGGACTCATCATTGAGTAAACTTTGACCCTGTACCTCACAGTCAGCAGACACATTCCTGCCAATCAGCAGCAGCCCCTTTCACCCAGACCCTCCCACCTCCTGGACAGCTCACTAAGAATGCAGCTTCAAAATGGATGCTGTCCAGGAGGTTGAAGGGTCTGGGAGGGAGGGTCTGCTGCTGATTGGCTGGAATGTGTCTGCTGACTGTGAGGTACAGGGTCAAAGTTTACTCAATGATGAGTCCATGGCGAACCGTTCGCGAACCCTTTCGGCAAACCGTTCGGGACATCACTATTCTCCATATGTCCGCTATAAGAATCCAGCTTTTCAGATAATTCTCACGTGGTGATATTCCTATTATCTACATTTTAATACTACAACATGGGAAGTCTTGGCTCATGAACTATGATTGACAAAGTGGTACAGTCCAAAGTTTATATCTGATTCATATTTGTAATTATATTCCATAAACCATCTTTTCTGTTTGTCTACAGGTAAATTTATTGCCCTTGGGTGGGGTAAAAAGGAAACACAGTTCCATGGCTCTGAGGGAAAGCAAGCAGCTCAACAGAAAAAAATAACGGTAATATACTGCGGCATCAAACTGTCATAAATCTCTAAAACACGCCATCGTGAGTTAGATTAGCCATTCGCCTTTTGCATTGTGTTCTCCTTTAGCTCCTGTGTGCTCCTTTAGAGAGTGAAAGGAACAGTTTTAATTCAGTTTCCTCTGTTCGGGGACGTGGTAAGTCCCTGTACAGTGAGATCCTTATGTTGACTATTTCCTTTATTAAGTATCTAATTGGAAGACAATTTGTGAAACTCTGGTACAAAATAATCCATATACACAGAATACACATTTTATGAGAGAATTGTGACAAGGCATATGTTATTTCTAAATGTACTCATTAAGCTGTCTGAGAAGCATAGGAGATCATTATTTATTTATTATCATTATCAAAGTACATCTAGTAACATTATTCCAAATACCTTAGTTATCATCCTTTTATTCTACCAGTACTTCTAATAGCAAAGGGCTGTTACCAGATACCACTTGACGTGTAGGTTTAAGCAGCTACTAAAATACTCTTTCAGAAATGTCTTGCTGTGTGTGAGTGCGTCATTGGCCGTTTCTTGCTATCACATGATGTTTATTCACTAAACATAAATTTACAAATAATGGAAAACTGAATTTCACTATCTCTACAAAAAATGTGGTGATCTGAAAATTTTCTTCAGCTTTATTTTAGCCTTTATTATTTTTTTTTGTGTGAATAAACAGAAGCATGTATGTCTGTATATATAGCAAAACTTAAACTCCTGCACTCCAACTTTACAAAAAAATATTACCAGGTGCCAAACACAATGTAAATATAAGTTTGAAAACAATACCGACACTCCAGGCTTTCCAAAATTTCTATTTATTTTCAGTCAATCCAGGTCAGTCAACGGTTCAGCTCTCGGAGCTTTCATCAGGACACACCTGATCGGGAGCTGAAACGTTGACCGACCTTTCAAACTTGTATGTATTTATATATTTTTTTATTTACAAGCCTACCCGAATGTTGGTATAGGCACACCACAACAGACTTATTCCACAGTCACTACAGATACCACATCCGACTTATTCCACTGTCAATACTATTACTCTGCTTATTGTCACCAACCAAAAAAACACAAAAACTACAACTACCACGATGGCTGTAGGCTGGAAAGAGAATTGTGAAATGTTGTAGTTTTAACAGCATAATATATGGAGAGCTACCAGTTGTTATCCCCATCAAAAAAAGCTTTTTGTTTTACACAAATGTACCTTTTAAAAAAATATTTTGTACCTGGGGGAAGAAAAGTCTAAGCATTTGACCTTGTATTATTAAAAAGCCAAGTGTTCAAAGACAAAACATTTTCATTGTTTAAAGGAGTTAGCAAGTACACCCAGACTTTTGCACTCACTTGTTAAAATACATTTTTCACATTTAGGGCAGACTGTTAATGAATTCTTATCAGGATGCACTTATGATATTTAAAATAAATGCTTGGGCTTTTCAGATCCAGAGATTATATGAATTGTTGTTTTTTTTTGTTTGTGAACTTTTTTAAATTTATTTTTACTTGTTTTAGGAGGTCCCACCTGCTTTGCCCTGGGATGATTGCAGACCTCGGGTAACTTGGAGAGGAGATGGACAACTCTTTGCTGTTAGTGCAATCTGTCCAGAGACTGGTAAGCTTCTCTGGGGGTGAAATAATTCTAGTTTTGTTGTTTTTGTTTTAACAAGAACAAAACAAATGTGCATTGTGTCCTGAATTACTTTTTTTCCCCATGCACCATAACCCCTACATAATTTAAATTGCTGTGAAGCTCTGGATTCCTCATTTTGTTTTGTTTCTTGTGTGTTTTGGGGGAATTTTATTTTTGTGTTGTTTATTTTTGTTAATTCATAAAAAAAAAAAAAATTATCTCGCCCCAAAAACCACACCCTACTTTGAGATATCATACTAGACTTGAGCAAATCGAAAAAAATTGGTATGGCCGACTTGATTAGTTCGTTTGGGTATTCTGAAATTTGTCTGTGTGACATTTCAGTTTAGACGAATTTCATCTGTGCAGTCGTTTCTGGAAAAACAATGCGTGGGATAGGCATAAGGCTATCCTAGACTTAAAATAAGGCCAGGGACTAAGTAAAAGTATTTTGAAATATTGGGCAGACTACATGGGCCGAATGGTTCTTATCTGCTGTCACATTCTATGTTTCTAACAATTCGGACAAACCAAAAGGGCATGAAAATTGGCCAATCAGCGCACTGCAAAATTTATACATAATGTAAATGTTATATAATGTGTATGTATGTATATATAGTTGTATACTGATAGGTACATTTTCTCTGCCACCCAATAGACACAGGGAGACTGTATTTAATTAGAAAAAGCCAAAAGGACCAGCAGAACGTTTGCCAGGCTGACTTCTATAAATTAACCGGGAGCCCAACTTTTTTTTTTTTTTTTTAATCCATTTATGCATAGGGGCACGTAAGGTCAGAGTCTGGAACAGAGAACTCGCACTACAGTCTACCAGTGAACCAGTAGATGGGTTGGAACAAGCACTCTCCTGGAAGTGAGTTTTAACATTAGATTTATTTTTTATTTTTTTGGAGTTGATTGTACTTTGTGTTACATAGTTTTTGGTGTTCACTGTAATGATGTTGATTTAATATATTAATTTTTAGATCAGCATTTTTGTCTTAGTACAAAGAGTCTTACAATTAGCCTTTGAATATTTTCATATGCAATAAATAGTTAACTGTGCATGTGAATGAGACGCCAATCCGCCATTTAGTAAATTATAATGAGCATATCACCTGTTTGAACAGAATGAAATATATTCAGTGAAGATCTTCTGAAGTCCAGACATGATTCTTCTTCAGCTATTGGCTCTTCAGGTGTACCATCAGTAGACTGTATTCTGTAGCAAAGTATTCAAGGGAAACATCATATACTGTGATTTCCTTTTAATATCATGTTCACTTATGTCTTATATATAACAAATCTATGTTTGTGAACTCTGATATTATTAACAAGGTCATTCATTTAAGTGAGGAATCAGTGTAAATTCAAAGTGACGTTTAAATTGAAGGTCAAAGTTGCTGACTTGGGGAATTTTTCCAGTTGGACTATTTTGGCCTAAAATTTGAACTATACTTTGATTTCTTGACAATTCTCACCTTAATATATAACCTTGAATGTGTTCACTGTCTGGCCTTAAAGGGCTGCTCTAAGAACCAATGATTTGAAGTGGTCATGGTGCCTGAAGTCTGTGTATGTGCAATATTTTGATTTGGAACGCTATGCATACTGAGTTTAACCCCTCTGATGCCAAGATGTAACTCCACCTCCAGCAGCATCATTGGGGTGACATTAACCAGCTTATGTCAATTTTGTGCATTATTCCATGGCGCCTCCTTACCATTAAAATATGTCCTTTTTTTCAAGCAGTTTTTATGAATGGCTTACTGATTGGCTTCGAGCGTTATCTGACAAGCTCTAAGCCAATCAGCACCATTGGTTCCCCAAGTTCGGAAAGTGGAACCACAAGGGGGCAGAGCGCAATGCTGCTGCAGCACAGACTTGGGGGTTTTACTGTTTGTGTGCAGTTTAATTCCTAATTGTAAGGAAGCACCAGGGACCTCCAGGCACCATTATGCTCAAGTTGTTCAATTAACTGTTTGTTTACTCTTTAAGGCCTTCGGGAAGTCTGATTGCCTGCACACAAAGTAAACCCAATAAACATGATGTTGTTTTTATGGAGAAAAATGGACTTCTTCATGGAGAATTTACGCTTCCATTTGCCAAAGGCACCATTAAGGTACTTCAGATCTGAGCAAATTGAATGCACATAGTATGTATTTATAATGAATTGTATAACGATTAGGGCATTCCAAGCATCTAGTGTGTGTGTGTGTATACATGCATGCATGTATGTTTCCTCCGGTCCTCTATCATAGCCCTGAGATTCTGAGGGTCCGTATCGTAGCTGTCCCTAAGAATGCACTCTTCTGGACAGAGATCTCAGATGTCTTACTTGGAATCTGTTGAAGTATCTCCCACCTTAGGGATTATAGTCCCAAGTGCTAGCACAACTTGGACCGCTACAGCTTTTACTCTTCACATCCTTTCTAGAAACATGGAATGTGATGGCAGATAAGAAGAGTTTGGCCCATCTAGTCTGCCCATTTTTTTAAAAATACTTTCATTAGTCCCTGGCCTTATCTTATATCTAGAATTGTCATACATGTGAAAATCCTTTAACCTTTACTGGTAAGTTTTATCCTGCAATCCATGAACTAGTTTAGTAGCCCTTCTCTGAACTCTCTGTAAAGTATCAATATCCTTCTGGAGATACGGTCTCCAGTACTGCATACAATACTCCAAGTGAGGTCTCACCAGTGTTCTGTACAATGGCATGAACACTTCCCTCTTTCTACTGCTAATACCTCTCCCTATACAACCAAGCATTCTGCTAGCATTTCCTGCTGCTCTATTACATTGTCTACCTAGCTCCCCTTTAGCCCTTGGTCTTTATCCTCCTCTTATGTTACTTCTTCATGTTATGGTCACTGGGTATTGCCAAATCCACCACCAATACAGTTACGTTGTTTGTCTACCAACATGATGTCAGATTAGTTATGAGTACATGATTGTCTGTCTGGATCTGGAAGTCTATAGAAACTTAGCTCTGTCATTATCAAATAAATATATATATATATATATATATATATTTTATTCATGATCATGTGACCGGGTAAATGTAATGATTCTGTTCATGCTTCCCATTGGCCCTTTTCCCTACATTCCGACCTTTCTGATACCAGCTTCAGTGTTGCAGTTTCTAAATAGGGACACATATGTAATTTTATTGTGGTTTTATTATTTTATCGATTCTAAATTTGGTATCCCATCAATATTCTTTAACAGGTAAAAGAGCTTCTTTGGAATTCTGAGTCTACTGTCCTAGCAATTTGCCTTCAAGAAATTAAAAAAGATGGTTCAAAACCCAACACTTATGGTAAGAGTCTTGTATTGAGGAGTTTGGCGGTTCTTATTTTTGGTTGTTTTGATGGGATATAGTTTTTGTTACTCCTGTGAAATGCTCTACTTGTAAGGTAGCTTTGAACAAGCCATATAGCTTACAGATGGTTTTATTCAGGTGTCCATCGGAAGTTAAACCCCAAAGACATTCACAAAGACACCTGCTTTGTTTCTATATTTACTTGTTTTTGCAGTTTTTAATGTGTGTGTTTTCCCCACAATATCTTTGGTTGGTTGGGTACTCCTAGAAATAAAGTTAAAATAATAAAACAAGCTTCCCCCCCCCCTCACCTTTACAAGGTTGTCCCAGACTGAATACCCCAGTTCTTACTTGTCCGGCAAGCGGGACGTACAGGTACTGCTTGGACAGAAGATGGTGAAGCACAAGGGCTGATGCTTGGGTTTATGCAGCCTGATAGTTCCCTGGGTGGTGAGCTGCATGAAATCGATCTCCGGATCAGCCAGCATTGAGTCCCAATGCTTGATGAGTCAGTTCCATGTGGAGCTCCAATCACCTGGAATCTGCGCATAGCGGTGAAACACGCCAGGGCGGGCTTGCGTTCCACAGCCAGGAATTAACAGTGTCACCAGTCTCCCACACAATTTTGAGGTCTTTAAGATGGGATATTTTGTGTCTTTTCCTTAAAGGCTTCTTATGAGATTTTGCTCTTCCTATTTTCACTTTAGCATTGTTCTGCTTTTGGTTTCCAGATGTCTAGTCCTGCCTCTTCAAATGAACTGGAAATAGCAGAAAAACCCACTCCTGCTCCTAATTTAAAAGCGCCATGTAAGATCCAAGTACTTGGTTTGTAATGAATGCGCTACTCCACTCCCAGATGGAGATATAAAGAAAACATGTAATCCGTGTTCTGCAGAAGTATTCGAAAAGTCCAAGCAGAAAGATATGCAGTCGTTCTTGAGCTGGTTTCGATAGAATCTATCCCAAACATTTGAGTCCTTTAAGGAATCAGTGATAAAATCCAAAGAATCTGTATCTGTCTAGAACAGATCGATTAAAAGGTGTAGGAGAAGCAGTCTGATTTATCATCTGGTGAAACTTCACCATCTGGACATCAAAATAGCATTTCAGGACATCAGAACATCTATTTGTCAACTTCCAAAGTCCATATAAAGAAAGAGAGACATGTAAACTGACCATTGCCATGTGGTTGACAGACACAATCAAGTTGGCATACGAAGTTATGGATCTAATACTACCTCTTCTGGTGAAGACGCACACCACAAGAGCTTTAGCAACATCTCGGGTGGCTAAAGCTTCGGCTTCTCCAGAAGATATTTGCAACGTGGTCATCATTTAATACATTTATAAGGTACTACAGGCTAGACTTCTTTTCTTCCTCCGAAGTTGCTTTCGGGCGCAAGATGCTCCAGGTGGTCATTTTCTGATTTTCCCCACCCATTTGGGATCTTGCTTTATCCCACAGGCACTGTCAATATACGTTGGGAAAAACAGAAATTTTACTTACCATAAATACTTTTTTCCTTCGTATAGAGGCATTATGGATCTCCCTCCCTTTATTTTTGTTAAGAAACTTTGATATTTTTGCAGCGTTTGGTCTACGTGTGATTTCTTGCTATTACTGGGGTGCTCAGTCTGGAACAACCTTTTTAGAAATATGAGAGAAATATGTTTCATTCATTTAACATTATTCTTAGAAGTGCTCGTCTACCATGATGAAGAACATCCCACAGGTACTGCCACTATACCGAGGAAAAAATAATTTACGGTAACTAAAATTTCTGTTTTTTTTTAACATATAAAATATAACATTTTAAAATTACTTGAGTCTGCTTATTAACCTGTTTAAAATGGGAATACAAGTTAGCACTGTATATTAGCCTTAAGTGTACTTCTGAATATCTATAATCTTTGTGTAACCTACGTATTCTTTGTTTTATATTTCCTTTGCATAGTTCAGCTGTGGACTGTCGGAAATTACCATTGGTACCTGAAACAGAGCTTGCATTTTGGGAATGATGAGAAAAACCATGTTATTTCTTTGCTCTGGGACCCAGAGAACGCCTACAGATTGCATGTGCTGTGCGCCAGATGGCAGTATCTGTGCTACGACTGGTTTTGGAGCACTGACCGCAGCAGTGGGGAAAATCTACGAGGACAAGCTGATGTTGCTGTTATTGATGGGGGTAAAATATTCGCCATATACTACAAATGAGGACTTTCAGGCCAAGAGCATATACTTAACTTCAAGACCATATTGTATATTTATATTATATGTAAACAGAGGATACAGCTTTCTAAAATGGTTATCTTGCGAAGGAAAATCTGTTTTCTGATTGTGTTTTACTCCATTTAGCTCTCTTGAGACGCAGCTCAGCAATCATGATCGAGTTCTACTTTGGGTTTAGAAGGAGAGGGATGGCTACTTGTGTTGCTGGGTATTACTCTAATTTCTCGGTCTTCGTTGTTGAATTTTAGTTCCTTCACAAAGAATAAAAATATATGAATTGTCAAAATTATAGTAATTATGTTGCATTGCAGCAAGTTTTTAAAAAATATGTGCTTCCAAGCACAATAACCACTACAGCCTGCTTGTGACCTCCTAGAGTAAATGGTCAAACTGTTTCAAAAATGGTTTGGCATCTTGCCTGGGTCCTACTGGATGTTTGCTGCAGCTTCTTTTGCAGCCGAGAGCTCTGTGACTGGACGGAGAAGGGATGCACTCGTAGGCCAATAAAATGCTTGACTGTTCCATATTACACACAAGTGGCTCTCTGTGAATGTGGATTGAAATACTCCTTGTTTTGTTACAGAGAAAGTTTTAGTGACCTCGTTTCATCGGGGGGTGGTCCCTCCTCCAATGAGCACTTACCAGATCCAGCTTCCAAGAGCTGTGAATGAAGTTGCTTTCCCACTGGCGCCAGAGAAAGACGGTCATCTGGCGGTTATTGATGCCAGAAACACAATATACATCTGTAGATATGGTGATTGTCTTCTATTATTATTTTAAGTAAAAATATATATGATATTAATTTAATGCATCTAGTTTTCTATTCTATCGCTGTATATGGGGTTGTAAGTTATATCAATTTATCCGTCTGCATTCATTTATCAAAAAACCTAACATGTAAGTGAAATTCAACCAAGACATCATATGCTTTTATGGTTTGATTTATGGGAAGCTACCTACTTGTGTCTTCACCAGTTTCCATCAGATTAGTTCCATAAGCTAAGGCATTTAAGGTCAAGAGAACCAGCAGCCTCAGTTGTGACCTCTCATCGAACTCTTATGTATGTCTATTTATGTCAAGTAATTTCAGTTATTACCTTAAGAAAAGTGATTTCTTCCATCATCTACGCTATATTTTACAGGAAATAGTCCAGATGAAGATTTGAAAGTGAGCGCTGGAATGGTCAGGGAAGAGGGACGTACAATAAAAACTCCTGTCTTAGAAAAAGAATTCAGGTAATTTTGATGTGAATTCCCATATGCTTACTTGGAATAGTTTTCGTAGGAGACTTTAACTTGTGTATTGTAGCTAAGTTTATTAGGGGGTATTTTATCGAGTGATGCTGTTAAGGGACCATCTGGAGTAGCATGTTAAAGCAATGATGTAGGGGAATGCATACTTAAACTTTCAAGTTAACAGAGATGCCAAGTAAACAATTGCATTTACATGTTATAATCCATGTTATGTATGCAATATAATTGATGTACTGTTATATTGGTGATGGTATAGTGCTGACCTAAGGGCTAAGAGATCTCAAAGATAAGCGTGCATTGGGTGCGTTGGTACCACATGGGCAAGTGAGAGCCTGGGCAGCCACATAAAGCGGCACTCTAGAGGAAATAACCACTACAGCTTGCCTAGAATGGTTTAAAAAAAACTGGAGTTCTTCTCCACTTGGAGACCCTTTCCCCTATTTGATAATGCAGAATTAACACTTCAGTATTATCAGTGTCATATTGTTTACAATTTGGGCACCGCTTATTGGCTCCTAACACAATCAGTCAATTACCGCTGCCCTTATTGACATTGATAATATTTAAGTTTTTAATTCCACAATATCAATGCAGCTGAGAAGGGGCAGTCTTTGATTGTCAGGTAGAGCTCTGTTTATGTCAAACTCTTCATATTCAGTTTGACATGAAACTGGTGTATGATGCCTTGACACGCTAGGCAACCGAAACCACTTCACCATGCTCTTGTAGTTCTGTTCGTTAGTGTATACCTTTTTAATGGTAGAGTCACCAGTGCATTCATCATTGCAGTGCCCGCTTAGCTGAATTTTTTTTGGTCAATCATCTATTTGGCAGTGCGTCTCTAGACAACTTGTGCAGGTGTTGACATCCTTTTGTCTAATTTGTTAGCTATGGGCATGAAGACATTATTTATGAATTTTATCATCATACTGCTACAATAAATGGCCTTGTTTAAGGTAAAGAATATTGAACTCCCTGTCCTCCTTTTTAGTTAGTTGAGTTGAATGAATAGAGAGTAATTTTCTCTTGATCTTCTTGACAGTTCGTACGCCCTTTGCACTGGGCAAACCAGCACAGGAGAATGTACATATGTATATGTAAGAATAACTGTAGCATGGCATTTGGAATGCCAGGTTGGGGCAGTGCAAGATTGTGTTTGAAGCAGAGATAGCATTAATGGAAGCATGCTCTTAGTTGGTTATGGACAATATTCTGTGATGAGGACAGGGGTTTAGAATTGCAGGCTGGAGGCTGGTAATAAGTTAGAAAAACTGTGACTATACAAAATCCTTATGTGACACATCCTGCCAAAAGGCCTCAAATTGGACATCTTGTTGGTCTGTGAAACCTTTGCCTATAATTTTCCATTCATTGCACTTTTTAATGCACGACTCTTCATTTTACCTATTCACTGTCTTTTTATGTTTTTTTGCAGTTTGCAGGTTGAGCCATTTGATACAAAACCTTTGCATTATCGCCTTCTCACCTGGGTACAAGACAAAGCATTCTTGGTAGTTAGTCAGGGGCAGAACTCATCCGAGTCTTTGATTCATCATATTTCTATTAATGAGGACATGCGTATGGAAATCAGGTATTTTCTTCTTCGTAATATTGGCTGTCTGTAATGTGCCTGTTTAATATACTGAATTCACTTTGGCAGAACCAAATTCACAACAAATCCACAAATAAAATTTAAAATTTCATGCTAATAAAACACATGCTGAGAGATTACTAAACCAACAGTATGGACCAGGCTAATCTTAATCAAAAGTTAACAACTTAAACAAAAGTAATTGGAACAGCTCACCAGCAATAATTGCTCCTGTAACATCCCATAACCAACAATAATTACTCCTGTAACCATCCCATAACCAACAACTCACCAGCAATAATTACTCCTGTAACCATCCCATAACCAACAGCTCACCAGCAATAATTATTCCTGTAACATCCCATAACCAACAGCTCACCAGCAATAATTGCTCCTGTAACCATCCCATAATCAACAGCTCACCAGCAATAATTGCTCCTGTAACCATCCCATAACCAACAGCTCACCAGCAATAATTACTCCCGTAACATCCCATAACCAACAGCTCACCAGCAATAATTACTCCCGTAACATCCCATAACCAACAGCTCACCAGCAATAATTACTCCTGTAACCATTCCATAACCAACAGCTCACCAGCAATAATTACTCCCGTAACCATCCCATAACCAACAGCTCACCAGCAATAATTACTCCCGTAACCATCCCATAACCAACAGCTCACCAGCAATAATTACTCCCGTAACATCCAATAACCAACAGCTCACCAGCAATAATTACACCCGTAACCACCCCATAACCAACAGCTCCTGAGCAATAATTACTCCCGTAACCATTCCATAACCAACAGCTCACCGGCAATAATTACTCCTGTAACCATCCCATAACCAACAGCTCACCAGCAATAATTACTCCCGTAACATCCAATAACCAACAGCTCACCAGCAATAATTACACCCGTAACCACCCCATAACCAACAGCTCCTGAGCAATAATTACTCCCGTAACCATCCCATAACCAACAGCTCACCGGCAATAATTACTCCTGTAACCATCCCATAACCAACAGCTCACCGGCAATAATTACTCCTGTAACCATCCCATAACCAACAGCTCACCGGCAATAATTACTCCTGTAACCATCCCATAACCAACAGCTCACCGGCAATAATTACTCCTGTAACCATCCCATAACCTACAGCTCACCAGCAATAATTACTCCTGTAACCATCCCATAACCAACAGCTCACCAGCAATAATTACTCCCGTAACCATCCCATAACCAACAGCTCACCAGCAATAATTACTCCCGTAACATCCCATAACCAACAGCTCACCAGCAATAATTACTCCCATAACCATCCCATAACCAACAGCTCACCAGCAATAATTACTCCTGTAACCATTCCATAACCAACAGCTCACCAGCAATAATTACTCCCGTAACATTCAATAACCAACAGCTCACCAGCAATAATTACTCCCGTAACATCCAATAACCAACAGCTCACCAGCAATAATTACACCCGTAACCACCCCATAACCAACAGCTCCTGAGCAATAATTACTCCCGTAACCATTCCATAACCAACAGCTCACCGGCAATAATTACTCCTGTAACCATCCCATAACCAACAGCTCACCAGCAATAATTACTCCCGTAACATCCAATAACCAACAGCTCACCAGCAATAATTACACCCGTAACCACCCCATAACCAACAGCTCCTGAGCAATAATTACTCCCGTAACCATTCCATAACCAACAGCTCACCGGCAATAATTACTCCTGTAACCATCCCATAACCAACAGCTCACCGGCAATAATTACTCCTGTAACCATCCCATAACCAACAGCTCACCGGCAATAATTACTCCTGTAACCATCCCATAACCAACAGCTCACCAGCAATAATTACTCCTGTAACCATCCCATAACCTACAGCTCACCAGCAATAATTACTCCTGTAACCATCCCATAACCAACAGCTCACCAGCAATAATTACTCCCGTAACATCCTATAACCAACAGCTCACCAGCAATAATTACTCCTGTAACATCCCATAATCAACAGCTCACCAGCAATAATTACTCCCGTAACCATCCTATAACCAACAGCTCACCAGCAATAATTACTCCCGTAACATCCCATAACCAACAGCTCACCAGCAATAATTACTCCCGTAACCATCCCATAACCAACAGCTCACCAGCAATAATTACTCCCGTAACATTCAATAACCAACAGCTCACCAGCAATAATTACTCCCGTAACATCCCATAACCAACAGCTCACCAGCAATAATTACTCCCGTAACATCCCATAACCAACAGCTCACCAGCAATAATTACTCCCGTAACATCCCATAACCAACAGCTCACCAGCAATAATTACTCCCGTAACATCCCATAACCAACAGCTCACCAGCAATAATTACTCCCGTAACATCCCATAACCAACAGCTCACCAGCAATAATTACTCCCGTAACATCCCATAATCAACAGCTCACCAGCAATAATTACTCCCGTAACCATCCCATAACCAACAGCTCACCAGCAATAATTACTCCTGTAACCATCCCATAACCAACAGCTCACCAGCAATAATTACTCCCGTAACATCCCATAACCAACAGCTCACCAGCAATAATTACTCCCGTAACATCCTATAACCAACAGCTCACCAGCAATAATTACTCCCGTAACCATTCCATAACCAACAGCTCACCAGCAATAATTACTCCCGTAACCATCCTATAACCAACAACTCACCAGCAATAATTACTCCCGTAACATCCCATAATCCAACAGCTCACCATCCTATAGCCAACAACTCACCAGCAATAATTACTCCCGTAACATCCCATAACCAACAGCTCACCAGCAATAATTACTCCCGTAACATCCATAACCAACAGCTCACCAGCAATAATTACTCCCGTAACATCCCATAACCAACAGCTCACCAGCAATAATTACTCCCGTAACATCCCATAACCAACAGCTCACCAGCAATAATTACTCCCGTAACATCCCATAACCAACAGCTCACCAGCAATAATTACTCCAGTAACATCCATAACCAGCAGCTCACACCAGCAATAATTACTCCGTAACATCCCATGTAAGCAGCTCCACCAGCAATAGATTACTCCCGTAAACCGTTTCCATAACCAACAGCTCACCAGTATAATTACTCAGTAACCATCCCATAACCAACAGCTCACCAGCAATAATTACTCCTGTAACATCCCATCATCCCATAATCAACAGCTCACCAGCAATAATTACTCCCGTAACATCCCATAACCAACAGCTCACCAGCAATAATTACTCCTGTAACATCCCATAACCAACAGCTCACCAGCAATAATTACTCCCGTAACATCCCATAACCAACAGCTCACCAGCAATAATTACTCCCGTAACATTCAATAACCAACAGCTCACCAGCAATAATTACTCCCGTAACCATCCCATAACCAACAGCTCACCAGCAATAATTACTCCTGTAACATCCCATAATCAACAGCTCACCAGCAATAATTACTCCCGTAACATCCCATAACCAACAGCTCACCAGCAATAATTACTCCTGTAACATCCCATAACCAACAGCTCACCAGCAATAATTACTCCCGTAACATCCCATAACCAACAGCTCACCAGCAATAATTACTCCTGTAACATCCCATAATCAACAGCTCACCAGCAATAATTACTCCCGTAACATCCCATAACCAACAGCTCACCAGCAATAATTACTCCTGTAACATCCCATAATCAACAGCTCACCAGCAATAATTACTCCCGTAACCATTCCATAACCAACAGCTCACCAGCAATAATTACTCCTGTAACATCCCATAACCAACAGCTCACCAGCAATAATTACTCCCGTAACATCCCATAACCAACAGCTCACCAGCAATAATTACACCCGTAACCACCCCATAACCAACAGCTCCTGAGCAATAATTACTCCCGTAACCATTCCATAACCAACAGCTCACCGGCAATAATTACTCCTGTAACCATCCCATAACCAACAGCTCACCAGCAATAATTACTCCCGTAACATCCAATAACCAACAGCTCACCAGCAATAATTACACCCGTAACCACCCCATAACCAACAGCTCCTGAGCAATAATTACTCCCGTAACATCCCATAACCAACAGTAACATCCCATAACCAACAGCTCACCAGCAATAATTACTCCTGTAACATCCCATAACCAACAGCTCACCAGCAATAATTACTCCCGTAACATCCCATAATCCAACAGCTCACCAGCAATAATTACTCCCGTAACCATCCTCCATAACTCAACCAGCTCACCAGCAATAATTACTCCCGTAACATCCCATAACCAACAGCTCACCAGCAATAATTACTCCTGTAACATCCCATAACCAACAGCTCACCAGCAATAATTACTCCCGTAACCATTCCATAACCAACAGCTCACCAGCAATAATTACTCCCGTAACATCCATAACCAACAGCTCACCAGCAATAATTACTCCTGCTCACCAGCAATAATTACTCCCGTAACATCCTATAACCAACAACTCACCAGCAATAATTACTCCCGTAACATCCCATAACCAACAGCTCACCAGCAATAATTACTCCTGTAACCATTCCATAACCAACAGCTCACCAGCAATAATTACTCCCGTAACATTCAATAACCAACAGCTCACCAGCAATAATTACTCCCGTAACATCCCATAACCAACAGCTCACCAGCAATAATTACTCCCGTAACATCCCATAACCAACAGCTCACCAGCAATAATTACTCCCGTAACATCCTATAACCAACAGCTCACCAGCAATAATTACTCCCGTAACATCCCATAACCAACAGCTCACCAGCAATAATTACTCCCGTAACATCCCATAACCAACAGCTCACCAGCAATAATTACTCCCGTAACATCCCATAATCAACAGCTCACCAGCAATAATTACTCCCGTAACCATCCTATAACCAACAACTCACCAGAAATAATTACTCCCGTAACCATCCTATAACCAACAACTCACCAGCAATAATTACTCCCGTAACATCCCATAATCAACAGCTCACCAGCAATAATTACTCCCGTAACATCCTATAACCAACAGCTCACCAGCAATAATTACTCCCGTAACCATTCCATAACCAACAGCTCACCAGCAATAATTACTCCCGTAACCATCCTATAACCAACAACTCACCAGCAATAATTACTCCCGTAACATCCCATAATCAACAGCTTACCAGCAATAATTACTCCCGTAACCATCCTATAGCCAACAACTCACCAGCAATAATTACTCCCGTAACATCCCATAACCTACAGCTCACCAGCAATAATTACTCCTGTAACCATTCCATAACCAACAGCTCACCAGCAATAATTACTCCCGTAACATTCAATAACCAACAGCTCACCAGCAATAATTACTCCCGTAACATCCCATAACCAACAGCTCACCGGCAATTAGCAGTCCAAGCATCGGATAGACGCTGTGGTTGGCGACCCATGCAGTTTCGTGGCATGGCTATGATAAAGTGTGGTGACATACGAAATGCATAAGGGGGAATACTTGGTGAACTTAGCACCATTACATGATGGATATGCTGTATTTTGCCAACACAATGGGATGTTTTTACTTTTTTCAATAAATGCTACATTTTACTTACTTACCTGAAAGTAAAATAATATTCAATACATTTCTAGTTTTAACAAATTCCACGATATATAAACATTCCAAAATAACAATAAATACTGTATTCAGGATATGATGGGCACAGAATTGCCAGTCAGTTTTTCTATTTATATATTGTTTCTCTGAAGGGTTGCTCACTAAAGAAATTATTTTCCTTTATTAAGCTTCCCTTTTATCCATCTGTATTTGTTTTTTTTTATAAAGACTCACACTGTGCAGCGTGAACCTTAAGGAAACGCTCCAAGACCATTATCCATTACAGTGTACTGTAGTGGTTATGGTGTATGGAGTACTCTAGTGCTGTCACAGCGTAAGTAGTCTAATTTAGAACTTACTTGGGATCTGTCAGAAGCTGTCTTTCATTGATTGATAAAGGCCATGTAAGGCCGAAACGTCACCTGCCAGTTTTTCACCTTGAATAAAGGATCACGTTTGCTTTACGAATCGTGCTAGGCAGTGTTTCTTTCGATATACTGCTGGCTTTTAGGCCATGTTCCGTCCACTCCTCTGTGATGGACAGTGTTCTTTTATATATATTTTTTCTGTGTTATATTATAACACTAGGTTACAGAATTGTGTTATATGAAAATAATTTTTTTTTTAAAATGCTACAATTTCAATATAGACAACGAATGCAAAGTTTTTATATTCTTTATGTCCAGGCAAGGAGTTGTGATTACTGGACACGTGACCAGTCTCTGCTGCAGCTCTAAAACCAAGTCTTGTGCCCTCCAAACTGAAGATGGTCAGATCTGGAAGTATGCTTGGGGTAAGTTCCATGAGTGCCGTGGAAAATGAAATCTTCCTTCCATACCATATTGGACCTACATGTCTTATTTTGGCAATGCTGCGTTTTAACATTTGCATAAATGATACTATGCTACAGGACATGTTGGGTATTATCTTTTTTATCTGTTGTGTTTCACCAGAAAGTATACTTTGAGCCGTCTTTGATTTTAATTACAACTTAATGCAACATGAGACGTATACAAAAGTGCAATTACTCTCTTGCCATTATACTTTAATTGGTCATCTTACTATATATATATATACATTTTTTTAAATTTTTTTTATTTGGCATATGTTTTATAGGCAATGACTGTGATTTACACAAACACACTGTTTGTGTTAAATAAAATGAAACTGTGAAAAAAATATGTATTTGTAAGGTGAGAAAAATATTTTTTTTACTGGAGGCAGACTTATCACAGTTCTACAGATGAGTCCAAGGGAATATAGAGCATACCTTTGGACGGATTACACATCTGTTGTGAACTTCCCCTGCGTGTAGGATGCAGCCACAGTTAGATCCTCACTGGCCTTCTTCCCCTGCCCATCAACTCCTATATTAAGAAAGAGTGCTTTTATACCAGGTATGCGGGTACAAGATTTCAGAGGCATAGAGATTTCAGAGATTTAGCTAATGAAGCTGATAAAGTTCGAGAAGCTGCAATAAACCTTAACTTAATAAATAACAAATTAGCTGGAGGGGGAAAGTAAATTGTAACAAAATTGCAGGTAGTGTGATAGAGCGAAGAGAGCTCCTACAGTGTAGAAGTAATGGTAAGTACAGATCGTCCCTACACTGCTGTGCCTTTAAGGACACCCCTTAAAAAACTCTAGCCCTGGCTGCGAATGAATTGCTAAATCTTTCTAATTTTCTAAATCTTTACTATAAATATAAATAAAAAATAAGAGGTGACTTTCAATCTTTTATGTAATGTGTAATTTCCAAAGAAGTGACGATGTCCCGTTAAATGTCCCTCCATATTAACAGATTCACCCACACCTGAATTAAAGCCTTGGATGGATGGAAAAGGCCACAGTGTAAAATTTCTCCAACCATGTTTACAGATTGCTCTAGCAACAATAGCAGGAGAGGTAATGTACTGTGGATATACTGTATGTAGAGGGCTCCACTTTACTGGCTGTTTAATAGTATACACATATATGTTTTTTTCTTTTAAGTTAAACCAAATCTTGAAGCCAATGTATGAGCGATATTACAAATTTGGGTGCCATGTCTCCCCTCTATGATAATAGCGACTACGCAGCAATAGCTGCTCAGTCGCTATTACTTTAGCAGACATTCACCTACTTGCGGCATGCCAAAAGATGGCATGGGGGAGTTATGTGAATCTCCACAGGCTTTTTTTTTTTTAAAGCGTTATAAACAGTTTTGGGTTTTTTTTTTTTTGTTTTTTACATTTCATTTATCACGGATTATTATGTCCTGAATATATTATCTATATTACGTTTTTTGTTTTTTTTATGTAAAATTATTGAAATCAATATTTATCAGCTACCAATAACACTTTAATAGAGGTAATGTAATCTGTTCGAACCAAGAAAAGGCTTACCCAGGGCTGATAAACTGCTGGCAAATGGCTGGAACGTAATTAAGGCCTATATGGACATACTAACTTATTTCCTACTACTATTTAGGCGACCCTGTAAACCATTGTCCGCACCTGGAGTGTATTTATAATAGCTCATCCTGAAGCAGGGGTAGGCACAGTGGCGTACACACAATACATGGGGCCCGGTGCGAAACTGATCCGTGGACCCCTCCCCCATCCCTCCCACACACACAAAGATACATACATAGGCATACACATACATAAATACAGACACACATACACCACCCCGACAGACACATACAGACAGACACACACATACACACACACAACCGACAGACATACATACAGACACACACACAGACACATACGCTGACTGGGCCCCCTGACAATCCATATCCAAGGGCCGGGCCGCAAAATGTGTTGGCAGCTGGTACCCAGTCTCGGGGGTCCGCAGGGCGGCTGGGGCCCCTAGAGTGACCGCAGCTGCAACCCCTGCGACTGCCGTATGTACGCCGCTGGGTAGGCAACCTTCGGCACTCTGGTGTTGTGAACTACATCTCCCATAATGCTCTAATGGCAATAATGCTGGCAAAACATCAGGAGAGATGTAGTCCACGTCTGAAGTCCTGAAGGTTGCTCATTCCTATTCTAAACGAAATTGATAAAATAGGTAAACAAACATTGGGCTTCACTGACGTGTGTCTGTTTTTCTTTTTTGAGAGCGCTTGAGTCAAACGACCATATTTAAATTGAAGTAGCCAAGTTAGATGAATTCACAAATTTGGTAAAGTTTGAGATTTTCTTTCTATTTATTTCTGTAGCTTAAACCTTGCGTTCTCCTCTCACTATAGCTCACTGTATAATCAATAAACTCCTGGCAGTCTGGCAATTCCTTTGGCGGTGTCCTCATCGCTTTAAAAATATATTTTTTCTTTTAACATTAATCTGTGTATTGTAGTAAATTAAAAACCGAAGTTCAAAACTAGACTAAAATAGGCAAATTGGAAAAAGATTTGAACTGTTGAACATAATTCACCATTTATTAAATAACCCATGATCGGACTCTAGGGATTCTTTATTTTTGGGGTATCCATCAATCCTGTGTTACTTCAACAAGAAATACCTTGTAATGAAAGTGCCAGTCGAGTATTACAATAATAATTGATTAATATTTTGTGGATCTCTACAACTGATTAACTTATAAACTGTTATCTTGTCTTTTTTAATTTTTTTATTCTTATTTTCTTTCTTTCTTCTTTTTTTTCCCTCAGGAGGTTGTTTTGGGTATCACCAGTCGTTCTCGTATGTTTATTAACAATTTAACGGTAAGCTCACTTGTGGTCGGCCTTTTGAAGTTTGCCTTTAAAATACAACATTTTAATAAAACGATTCTTTTTAACAGGTAGCTACAAACATCACTTCTTTTACCATACACAATGATTTTCTTCTTCTAACAACCCACTCCCACACCTGCCGATGTGTCTCACTGGAAGACACCACACTGACAGGTAAGTTGCATGCATTTCATTTTGTCTTTATTTAGCATTGTACATCATGAAGCCCAAAGCATGACTTGTTTTAACATCTTAATACTGCTGTTCAAGCAAGACACAACTTTGTGTTTGAACTCTTTCTGTGTGACTTGTGCTAATTCCCTATTGGATGTTTCCTGTCTGATTTATACTTTCCTCCGCTTTATTGAGACCCATTTCTCAATAGAAAGAATTAAAAATGTAACTTCACTGCGATCAGTAATATCATGGACCCTGTAGACAGGCAAACTTTGGCTCTCCAGACGCTGTGGACTACATCTCCAACAATGCTCTTACAATCATAATGCTGGCAAAGCATCATGGAAGATGTAGTCCAAAACATCTGCAGTGCCGAACACTGTCATAGACCACAAGAGAGAAGTGGAACTTTGTTCTGAGCCTTTGTCCCTCCAGAAAGTCAGGGGAGGTCAGCGTATCGCTCTGGATACCTTGAACAGTGGGAGTAAATATGAAGTATAGTCAGGGTCATCCTGTGATCATGGTGTAAACCCTGTCTAGCCATCCACGGCTTTGCACTGCTACCGACATCCTCCTGCGGCTCAAATGTAAGTCTGCAATAATAATTTTAATTGGTAGGCTTTATTCACTTAATTGTTTATAATTGAATTATAGTATTTGAGCCTGAAATAGCAACATTGGAAAATACCTTGAATTCAACTGCGTTTTGGTAATTCTCACCTAAAGTAAATAAACCCTTTTCAATGTCCTCGTGGATGTGTTTGTGTGTGCACACGCAGCTGTAGATATGTGTTTGTGTTTATATAAATGAATGCTGAATAAGGGGAAAATGGGTGTGGGAGATGTCGAAAACAATGGAAAAGGAATACAGTTAATGCTAGCGATGAATCTAATATGAGCCCAAAATCTCTATCTAACCTTAACCTAAATAGCATTAAAATGAATGCTTCATTGTTGTTAACATCGTAATTTATTGTTAACAGTAGAATATTATTTTATGGTTGATTAGATCTTTGCTATCTTTGTGTCTGGTTGTCTGTCTATCTACGCACAAAAAAATATACATGTACTACATATGTACTTTTATTTCATGTTTTTAAAAACCCTAATGCACAATGTAAAGGTTCCGTATTCTCTGGCCTACCCAGGTTTATCACTCATGGTCAGTTTTAGTTTGCTGCTCTGTGATTTATTCAGTCCCCCTACCAAAAATGATATGCTTGGTGATCTGATGGAGTGACAAAAGTGGTACAATTTGCTTCACTCATTTCCTCTTCCAGCATATTATTATATGGCTGAATTAAAAGACCACTAAAGTCAACCAGGCCACTTAATCTCAATGCAGTGGTCCTTTAGTTTTATAGAAACTGCATTGTTTAAATTGTTAAATCCACCTCTAGTGCACATCATCCTCACAGCCACTAGAGGCTCTTCTGTGGCACTGACGAGTAAAAATGACTCGGAAGCTCCCATAGGAAAGCATTAATGCACTTAACGTGCATGCGCAAAAGGTCCAGATTGCTCCTCTATGAGGAGCATTGGATTGAACCATCTTGGAGAAGAGACTATGCCTCCTCCGTGATGTCGCAGAAGCCGAGAGCTAAGCAGCGTCAAGGGAGCCTCGGCACTGGAAAAAGGCACATAAAACTTCATTTATTAATTTTTTTTCTGAAAACATTGAGGTGGACCTATATCTTGCTAGGAATGGGGGTACTAAAGTGTTAGGAATACAGAGCAATATTTCTAATGTTTAAGTCTTCATTTAAGGGCAAAAGATGCAAATAGCAGCTGCTGTCCAGTTGTATTGCTCCATTCAATCTCAGGCAGACCTTAAACAGTCGTAACACAGACAAAAAACGTAATACATGTATTCATACAGATTGGCCATTTTTAGTTTTGTTCATTAAAACACAAACAAAAAAGCAAAACGAATATTCAAGTGCTTGAGTATAAATGTACACAAACTTTCCTAATAGCATTGGAAGCTCTGCTGACCAGCACCTTGAGCCCAAATGATGAGACTGTACGCAAAGTGGAGAGAGGGTCAAGGATTGTCACGGTGGTTCCTCAGGACACTAAAGTAATCTTGCAGGTAATATCATTGTATAAATGGATGTGAGTGCATAAAATCTAAGAACGTATGTGTGTGATATACTATAACATTAGAGAGCTCAAAGTTTCCACTCGTCACTTTCTATTGGTAAGTCGAAATTCACCCCAGGGGAGTGAGCCATGGATCCTTCAGGCTTGCAGTGGCGATTTAACTTTTACTGGCTGGTAGTGTATGGCTTCAGATTCTAACTCTATCATGGCTGTTCACAGTGAGAATTCAAAGTGAATTCAGAGGGAATTTCAAATTTAAGGACAAAATAGCTAAACTGGAAGAATTGGCAGAGGCATGTTCTGCTGGGAAACCTTCCGTCCTGGCATTCATATAGATTTTACTTTGGCACGTACCACCTACCTAGAGATTGTTGCAGACCACTTACACCCCTTCAGTGGCAAGGCTGTTCAGCAGGATAATGCACATTGTCACGTTGTAAAAATTGTTCAGGAATGGTTTGAAGAACTTGACACAGAGCTCAAGGTGTTGCTTTGGCCTCCAAATTTCCCAGATTTGAATACACGAGTATCTCTGGGATGTGCTGGAACAACAAATCCGATCCTTGGAGGCCCCAGCTTGCAACTTGCAGGACATAAAGGGACAGTATAGCCATCAGAACAACAACTTATTGTCGTTCTGATGTAAGTATGTCCCGCCAGGCTTTTTAATATAAACATGACCTTTTCAGAGAAAAGGCAATGTCTACATTACTGTCTGGTAACACCTGAGTGACGACCACAAGCGGTGCTTCCTGGGTTATGCAGCACCAACATTCAGCATCTCCACGCTCTGCAAGGAGACTTCTACAATGCAACTTTACTCATATCGTTGCATTGATTCAATGGATCTCTATATGGAAATGCTGATTGGAGCAGTGCAGTGTTTTGTCACGCATGTGCAATATCCTCCTAATGCTTTCCTATGAGAAAGCATTGGATTGGCTGAGATTGTCAAGTTTGATGATCTCAGGCCAGGAGGCGGGGCCAGCCACGAGGAGACCCGCATGGCACTGGAATAAAGGTGAGTAAAATCACCTTTTACTTTGCTGACAGGGGCCAACCACCTAAACTATGCTTTAACAGATATTGACAGAAATACATTTTTGTATTCCTGTCACTATAGTGTTCCTTTAAAGGATCTGCTGCTAATGTCTTGGTGCCAGATACCACAGGACATATTCAGATTTTCTGAGGTTTATTCACTGCACTGACCAGGAGGCCTAGAAGTTCTAAAAAGTGTAACTGTCACCATTGAAACCAATGGAACGTTCCAACTGCTTGCTCCTAATTTAGAGTTTTTGTTCTTAATACATAACCCTTGCATTTTGCTTTCGTCTTGCTTGCAGTAGATTTTTGTATATCACCTAACGCTAGACAATTCAAATAGTGACCGTATCTTTCCACAGATGCCAAGGGGAAACTTAGAAACTATTCACCACCGAGCACTGGTTCTAGCTCATTTACGGAAGTGGCTAGACAGGTGAGTGACTTTAAATTGAAGAAGTATGATAAACAAATTGCACATCATTCATTTTAAAAATTGACACATTATCTGCCCTAATGGTATCAGCGTTAATCGACATAGGATCAGTGGGTTCAGTCCTGAATCCTATTATAGAGCACTTCGAAATAATAGAATCCCCAAAAACAGATACATTATAAATGTCATTTACTTCTGCCTGTGGCAGCACCTATCAAAAATAAGCTTTGTTCCTTTTCATTCACAATTTCAAAATCATTGCGGTAACGTCAGATCAAAGGAGCACTATAATTGTTTATGCACTTTGTGTTTTTAGTAGGAGAAACCACAACTTTAGCCATTAAGTATGGTCATAATAGCAGTTAGAGCTTACAGATTGGATTGACCATTAGCACTGACTCTAAGATCAAGGCAGCGCACATTGTGAGCTCCCACAATGCACTGCTCAGCATTGCACTCTGCATTAGATGTCTGCACACTCGCAGTGGTTGCAGTACTGGCAATGTGTATCGCGTTACTGCCAGTATAATGTCAGTGTCATATTGTAACTGGCCAGTTATAGAAATGCATGCTACATGGCTCTAATAAAATGATAAACTTGGTGATGCCTCTTTTTTTGATGGCAGAATCCCGACTATTAAATCCGGTATTTAAATCCGGTGCAAATTTGTATTGGCATGTGTCTACCTTGTGAAGAAAATAGTTTTTTTTTTCACAAAAATGCAATATTCTAATTTACCGGTTATATTTCAGCTTGTTGTTTAAAGAAGCTTTTGAGTGTATGAGGAAACTCCGGATTAACCTCAATTTAATTTATGATCACAATCCAAAGGTATGCATTTGCATCTTGTATACATATATACACGTTTAATTAAGTCTTCAATAACTCTTTCTTAATAACTATTATATCTTGTTACAGGCATTTCTGGATAACGTGGGCCTGTTCATCAATCAGATTGATTCAGTGAATTATATCAATCTGTTTTTGACAGAAATAAAGTGAGTATATTTCAGTCAATAAAGCAGGTGGGAGAACTTGTCTTTGTGATATTTATTGCCTCAGGCAGATCCAAATCTGGATTTCCTCTGTGCTTTACACTGGTGGGGAATTGTCAGATTTTATTTGGTCATTCTTAAAAATTAAAGTTACCCTCTCACCATCAGAGGTTTTGCACATTTTGCAAAGACTCCCAGAGGTGACATTTCCCCCAAGGTGTATAGCTGCCTGGGAGTGAAGAAAAAGGTAGTTGTACTTACCTGGTGAGTGAAGAAGCCATCTTTCTTTAGCTCCTGCTGCTTCATCTGCCAGGAGTTGCATCACTGCTGTTTTCTTGCACATGCGCAAGAGTTCAGCATGAAACTCAATGAAGGATCCACAGGATCCTCCAGAGACCAAATGCCTGTTTTCTATAGCCATCACTAGCCGCAACCGTGGGAAAAAACTGTGTGGTTGCTGAAATTCCATTTTTAGTCAAGTTATGTCAACTTTAAGACAAGAGAGAGTAGAACATATTTTATTTTTTTAATCTTTGGATGAATTGGAATTTTAATGAATTATTATAAGTATTTAGGAAGATTTTATCTCTATGAAATACTCAAAATTATGTTGTGGTAAGAGAGTGGCTTTAAAGTGAACCGGTCATGGGACTTTATATCACCGATGCCCGGGACATGCAGTTCCAGGCGCCAAGCACAAAGTTTTTTTATTCTTTTAGCCCTGCCATGGGCAAGTAGCAAGGCCTTAAGGGAATTGGTGTCGGGCAGGGAGTGTCTCTCAGTCAGTGTGTGTGCCACTGTGCAGTGTTTTTTGTATGGGTCAGTCAGTCAGTGAGTGTGTTAGTGGATGTGTGTGTTTGTGTATGTATTAGTCAATGTGTGTTGGTGGATCTTTGTGACAGTGTGTTTGTATTTGAGTCAGTCAGAGTGTGTGTCATTGTGCAGTGTGTTTTTTGTATGGGTCAGTCAGTCAGTGAGTGTGTTAGTGGATGTGTGTGTTTGTGTATGTATTAGTCAATGTGTGTTGGTGGATCTTTGTGACAGTGTGTTTGTATATGAGTCAGTCAGAGTGTGTCATTGTGCAGTGTTTGTGTTAATTGAGAAGCATTTGATCGGACGATTCTATTGACTCAGTGTATGCGCATTCTTTGAGCTGGGTAGGGGAGATGTGGATGGACTGGAGAGGGAGTGAATTAAAATATATAATTCTGTCTGTTCACAGTACGCTGACGACAGATGTAAGTTTTGCACAAAATTTACATTAGGCATGTGTTTCGTGTGTGCAACTAACTCCTGGCACAGAACTGCAGATTACTCTGCACATACAGACTTCTACATCCATAGCCACTTGTAAAAGCAGAAGTGGTCATGGTGGTTGGAGTAACCCTTTAATATTTTGGTTGAGCTTTTCAAACTATTTTGCAACCAAACAAATCCCATAGAATTTAAAAGTAACTTCTGTAAATAAATAATTTTAAAAGCTGATCCAAAATGATTAAATCTCGTCCTTTATTTGCTAAAAGAAATTTACATTTATTTATTGTGGCTTTGTGAATTATACTGTGTTTGCTTATACTGTATCTCTGTTCACAGAGAAGAAGATGTAACTACTACAATGTATCCCACTGAAGCTGTATCGGTCAAACCGCCATCTCAGAGCCTAGACGTTAAAAAGGTGGACGTTATTTGTGATGCGATGAGAGCAGCCATGGAGAACCTCAATCCCCAGAAGTATGTACTCTGTACTTGCTCCTGTAATTTGGGAGATTGTCTGCTCCTTGCTCTTTACGTGATTCTAAATTGTTAACCAGATGCCGTTGGTAGAATTGTCTCGTCCGCATAGATTTCAGTGATGTATGTAAAAGTATTATTATGGAGACTAGCTGGACAAGGTCAGCATGAACAAAATGTCTTTTTAACCAATCGCACATTGTTACTTCCACCATTCACCCTTGATCTCTGAAATCTTTGATGTGTTTTAGATTTTGGTATTTACTGTAACTTTAAGAAGAAATAAAAACCTTCCTAAAATATATATCATCCTTACCCATAAAACATATTGTAATAGTCATTTCAAAATATATTTATTTAAAAAGATATCTATTAGCCGATCCAATCGTTGGGCTTTCTCTTCGTCTTCTACAACTCCCAGGTACTGTTTATCAATACTCACTTCCTATGTCCGGAAAACCAGACCAGAATTGGAAACGGCTCTACAGAAAGTACATGAGTTAAGAGGTAATACTGGCTTACTTTTGTCTGATTATCTGTCGTGTCTATGAAAACACACACTTAAGGGGTCTTATCTGAGTAACAGAAAATAAGAAAAGTATATTTTAAAAAAACTAACAATTTTGGCCTAATTTATGGTTTTCGGTAGCCTTAAGATTCTGATGTTTAGCAAATAAACCATAACTATAAAGAGAACTATTACATGTAATGCAAAGTATCCGTAAAGGTAGAGTGAGCTGAAAAAGTTATATAACAAACTTCTTATGACAACAAAAGGGACATATAATTGTAATGTATCAGAAGTAACATTAGGTTTTAGATCTGCATTATTGTGGCGCTAAAATGAGCCAAAGGCAAGTTTCTTGTTAAAGGGGCACCCCCAGTCTCTTAAAGTACTTCAGCTTGCAGATTTAAATAGAAATTGGCACTTTTAGATATTAGCCTTGTAACACCCCCTTAGCGGTCAATCAGACAGTCAGTGCTGTTACTTGCTTAGCTCAGTGGAGCTAAACTCAAAAAGCTGGCAATTGCCCAGAGCACCTGCCTTGCAAAGACTTCTCATTAAACCGCTCATTGGGACGTATATGATTGGACAGCCACAGAAAGCCTGGGCAGGGTTAGAAGGGGAGTGCTTGCAAGGGCTGCAAATGAGATCTGCCGCTCTGGTCAAATTCAAGAAAGTGTTTATGCACCATCCTCTTGGAGAATATATCTCTATAAGCGGTTCTGATATTAGATAGGTGGCCAATAATGCAGACAGTCAGCTGGATAAAATTGGAAATCACTGTGCATTCGTGGTAGTTCCATATTATCAGCGCAACCCTTGGTGCCAGGAAGACCATTACTATGGTGCCAGTGCACTGTAGGAATTCTAACCCCTACAATTAGTTGCTGTGATAACCGAACCACATACAATTTATTTGCACATGAAGGTAGAGTATCAATTATCTCAAAATCAGTCCTATATTCATCATTTAGTATTTTGTTTTTATACCTCCTATGTTCTTGCCGAATGTTTTTTGGTGCTTAATCTTCCACAATGTGTTAAATGACTGGCCAGCCACAGTGCATGAAAATTTCTCAGTCGAGGTGCTTCTGACAACTCCATTCATTATTGTCACCTTCTATGGTGACAATAATTAGTCCAATATTAGTAAAACATATCCTGATAGAACCATTTCTCTTCCTTTCAAAGAGAATCCTCCATCTACAGAAGCTGTGAGCGCGGAAGAAGCATTAAAGTACCTGCTATTCCTGGTGGATGTCAATGAGCTGTATGACCATTCCCTGGGGACATATGACTTTGACTTGGTCATCATGGTGGCTGAGAAATCCCAGAAGGTCTGTGTGCTTTAGATGTTTGGCATATGTGTTACAGGACCACTCTAGCAAACATACAGACATTTATTCCTAACGCTAGAATATTGTTATAACTATTTCGATTATGGAGCCCCCCAAATTGCAGCATATTACTTACTTTATTTCCCCTGATGCACCAGTCTTGTCTTGGTCACCCAGCAGAGGGAAGCATTGGGAGGCTAGTGAGTCAATCAGCATCTCCTCATAAAATGGATAAACTGAATGGATCTTTATGGGAAGCGTATGGCGTCTCCATGCAGAGCATTGGCCATAGAATTTGCCACCTTAAAGTATTCCTGACCCTATAGTGGTAAAACCGCCATCTAGCCCCCTGGTACCCATTGCCTACCTAAATATAGTAAAATCTTACTTGTATTCAAGTCTAAAGATCCTGGCCCTGCCCCTGTCTGCTTTTGAACTGCCTCTGCCTGCTGACATCATCAGAAGTGGTGGCCTGATCCAGTCACAGTGCTTCCCCATAGGATTGGAGAATGACAAAGAGGCAGATCAGGAGCAGAGCCAACATGATTCAAACACAGCCCTGGCTAATCAGCATCTCCTCATAAATTGAATCTCTGAGGAAAGTTCAGTGTCTGCATGCAGAGGGAGGAGACACTGAATGTTTGGATGCATTTTAGGCAGCCATGACCCAGGAAGCATCTCTAACAGCCATCTGAGGAGTGGCCAGTGAAGTTATCACTAGGCTGTAATGTAAACACTGCATTTTCTCTGAAAAGTGACCTTGCTCCTAATAGAGGTATTACTAGACTGCAGTGTAAACACAATCGTTTCTCAGTAAGGGAAATGTTTTCACAGCTGATCCTGCAGGGACAATCTCTTTGCCCTAGAAGAACTACATTAAACTGTGGTAGTACTGGTGCCTATAGTTTCCCTGTAAATCAGGGGTGGGGAACCTTCGGTCCTCCAGATGTTTTGGACTACATCTCCCATAATGCTCTTACAGCCATAATGTTGGCAAAGCATCATGGGAGATGTAGTTCAAAACATCTGGAGGGCCGAAAGGTTCCCCACCCCTGCTGTAAATAAACAAGCTGCAGGACATGATACTTTACAAAAAGTTGTTGACTGATTTCGTTTTTTACCTTTTTTTTAGGATCCAAAAGAATATCTTCCCTTTTTAAATAAACTTAAAAAAATGGAAATGAATTACCAAAGATACACAATTGACAAACATCTTAAACGATACAAAAAAGCACTTGGACATCTCTGCAAATGTGGTAGGTTTATTATTTTAAAACCTTTCAAAACAAAAAACAATTGAATTAATTTTTGTGAATTTCCAACGGTTATGTTAAAGCCACAAATATATGTGTGTGAGAGAAGATAAATAAATGTACACAGTGCTTTCTGAATGGGAAGGTACATTGCTGGACCCAGACTCCAGCGGGCGTCTAAAACACCTGGGATTATAAACCTCAAACCATAGGTGATCCAGTTTGTAACAACGAATTGTGCGTATGTGCACTGGAACTGGGATGATTTTTATAGTACCATGTGACACCGTTATGAAGACATTATGGAAAAATGGGCAGTTTTTCATTCCACTGCATTGGAAGCGTGTTTAGACTCCCTTGAGCAAACCTATTACAGGGGGTGCAATTACCATTGCTTATGCTCAACCAAAGAAGAATGGTGTCTGGAATGTGACATATGTTATATATTTTTATACATTCATATTAAATTAGATCAATTACTCAATATATAGGAACTGGAGAGGGTTTGACTCAACATACACTTTGGCACCACATGTGCCTTATTTTTTTGCAGGAAGGGTATATACTAGACGTGTGCAAAGATTTGTTTGGAACTTTCGTCCAAATCGCGTGACTTTTAATCCTCATCCGAGACTTATCTGTGAAGTCTTATTCAATCCCAGGATGATCGGTTTGTCCAGGTGTGGATTTAAAGGCGTCTCCAAAATTAACTTTTGTACAAGTCTAGTGTATACCCTACATCATAAACATGCAGAATCTTAATATTAACTAGCATTTCCCTGTACGAGACAAAACTAAAGCATGGGTTTTTATTTGTTGAAACAATTAGAAAGCACGGGAGTGGAATATAAACTTTCTGACGTTTCTGCGATTTAACATTGGTTTAACCTTTGCATTTTCAGGACCAGAACATTTTGTAGAGTTTTTGAACCTAGTCAAAGATCAGAATTTATACACAGAAGCTTTAAAACTCTATTCAACTTCTACCTGTGAATATAAGGTGGGTAGCAGTTAGCATGTTTGAACTACAGACACAAGAAATGTTTTCAGTTAATTAAATGAAATTTCTCTTGATTACATAAAAAAAATTATTTTACCAAATAGGCAAATCCCCCATTTTGCCATCACAAGGTGAACTCTAGAACTGGTTTAGTAGGTAGCTTTTTTTTAAATGATGCCTTATTTTTATTTAGCTTGCATATATTGTTAAAGGATTACTATAGGCAATAAACTTTAGCTTACTAAAGCAGTTCTAGTGTATAGATTCTGTCCGCTATAGTCTCACTGCTCAATTCTCTCCCATGATGGGTATATAACCTCTAACCTCGCATTTAAAAAAAAAATTTTTTACAGGCAATCAATGATGCATATGGAGAGCACTTGAGTTCAAAGCATCAGTATGAGGAAGCAGGTCTGATCTTTGCTCGCTGTGGCAATCACAAGGCGGCTCTGGATGCTTTTGTCACTTGTAATAACTGGCAGCAGGTCATGTGCACGGCTTCTCAACTCAAGTATTCCAACACCGAAATAGCTGCTTTGGCTAGAAGTGTGGCCGGTGAGTGAGAGATGACTCGTGGTGTGGTAATACCAGCCAATATTGACCGCATGTAATATTCATTTGAAATGGAAAGTAAACCATTGAACTGGTCAGAAAAATAAAATCTGTAAAGGCAAATTAAAATAATATATGCTATTTTACTCATGCTGGTCCTGGTATATTTCTCTCCTGCTCCTGACTCCCCTGAGTTAGTGACAGTTCTAAGTGACGTTCCCCCATAACTGGTCTTGCATTTTAGTAAATTTTTGTGTGTAAAATCTATAAAGGGGGACCTACCAACACAACTTACAAAAATCTCTACTCCATGTAAATTACCGTTTACGTGGAACAAAAAAAAGTGCAAAATGTAGAAGAGAAATAGAAATGAATTGCCTGCTAATATCCTGGCGTTTTTCGACGATGTATTGCTGGTTTGATGTAATGCATCTCTTTCTCGTTCTGCTTAGATAAACTAGTTGAGCAGAGGAAGCAGGCTGATGCGGCGGTGCTTCTAGAACAGTATGCTGAGGTATGGTTCCTCTGGCCTTTCTGGAGATGCAAATATATTTTCATGTGCAGTAACTTCTTTATTTACATAGAAACATAGAATGTGACGGCAGATAAGAACCATTCGGCCCATCTAGTCTGCCCAATTTCCTAAATACTTTCATTAGTCCCTAGCCTTATCTTATAGTTAGGATAGCCTTATGCCTATCCCACGCATGCTTAAACTCCTTTTACTGTGTTAACCTCTACCACTTCAGCTGGAAGGCTATTCCATGCATTATCTTTTTTCAAAATGGTTTAAATCCCTTTAAAGGCAGACATGCTTAGCATTTTGTTCCATCAATGCGCATGTGATCTAATATGGCAAACATTTTTTAGGTGAGGCTTATGCTGAATTATGTATATTGTTGTTAAAACTTTGAAGATTTGTTAAAAAAAACAAAAAAAAAACACATCATCATCATTTGGAGACCAGAAAACACTCATATTCTTTATTATGTACAATGTGCTTAAAGAGATTCTCCAGTGCCAGGAAAACAAACCCGTTTTCCTGGCACTGTAGAATCCTGCAGTGCCCCCCTCCTTCCTTCTCCCCATCCCATGTCCCCTTCAGACACTTACCTGAATCCAGCGCTGATGTCCCTCTGTGCTGGGTCAGGCTCCGCCCACGCTCCTTCCCTGACGATGTCCGCCGGTCGGGGAGACCTAATGCGCAAGCGCGGCAATGGCTGCGCGCATTAGACCTCCCCATAGGAAAGCATTATTCAATGCTTTTCTATGGGGATTCCGGCGACGCTGGAGGTCCACATGCAGAGCATGAAAAGTCGTCCAAAAGTCATCTAAGAACCCGGAAGTCCCTCTAGTGGCTGTCTGATAGACAGCCACTAGGGAGGACTTAACCTTGAGAGGTAATTATTGCAGTTTATAAAAGCTGCAATAATTACACTTGCAGGGTTTAGGGTGATGAGAGTTGGCACCCAGTCCACTTCAATGAGCAGAAGTGGTCTGGGTGCCTACAGTATCCCTTTAAAATCTACTCATGCCAGGTTCAATCAGTTGCAGAAGTCATTAACTTTTTATAGAACATTAAAAACTGAAATTAGAAAGACCGCAATGTTGCATTTACCATTGTAACCACTAATCTATACGTATAGATAATGGTCCTGTTTTGAGGCTATATCAGTTTGCCACCTTCCATGTAGAGCGGTACATTACAATTATTATTTATTCCATTTGTTAGGACTATGAAGAAGCCATTGTGTTGCTGTTGGAAGGAGCGCTCTGGGAAGAAGCCTTGAGGCTTGTAAGATTCATTGAAATATTTCCGTGTTAAGTAAAAGTTTGTGCTTGCTTGGGCTACATATACTGTGTAAATACTTCCAAAATATTACATTGTTTCTTTTAGTTTGATCTTTATTTTATTGTTTTGATGCAGTTACAAGAGTAGTCCATATAAATGTAATATACAATATAGCATTAGACAGGATAGTGTTTGAAGTTATCACAAAAGAACTACTAACAACCAGCTGACATAATGCAGGCGTGTAGCTAAGACTGGAACGATCTATAGAGAGGTCTCCAGAGTGAGCTCAACTGGGTCAGTGGGAATGGGAAACAATGGCCAGATATGCCAGTATACATGTTGATTATGTGCCAAAACTTGTAAAGACTTTCGATTCATGCATCTGCATAGTATGGAATTCAGGCCCCATCCCCAGTGTTGCCTTATTTTGTGTTTTAATGTATTGTTGCTTTAATTCAGATCCATAAATACAGACGACTTGATATGTTGGAGACCAACTTAAAACCTGCTCTGTTGGAAGGTAAGGCCAACGGAAATGCCACCATGAAAATGTATTTAGCCGATGTGTATCCTGACTTGTGTGATACATGTGTGTTAGTATGAGATTATTGAATATATAAATGAATCCATTTTACTTAAGATGTGTGTATCACCTTTAACCCCTTAAGGACACATGACATGTGTGACATGTCATGATTCCCTTTTATTCCAGAAGTTTGGTCCTTAAGGGGTTAAAGGAACATGTCCATGCACCATAACCACTACAGCACACCACAGTGGTTATAGTGCCAAGAGTGCCCTGGTGGTTCTTTCAGAACAGTTTGACAGCTTTCCAGGCGCCTGCCACGTCCTCCCATGCTCACAGAAGCTCTTGCCTCTGAGTAATCCCAGCAATGCAGGGCCGCGCTCATTGACTGTGAGCAGTCAGCTGACACTCTCAGCCAATACACACAGCGGCAGCAGCCACCCAAAAAGGCTGAGTTAGTTGTCAAACCATTCTTATAGGACATGACTACTTACTTTGAGATGGCGCATGGGCACTCTTGGCACCATAAATATTACAACCTCTTTCGTGGTTACGGTGTTTGGAGTTTCCTTTAAAACAGAAGTCTAAGTTATATTAATTGGGTATATGTACTACTTATTATGAAGTTAGTTGTGGGCTAAATCTGCATTGCACAGGTGGTATCCCACATGCATTGAGCCACTGGGGTTTGTTGAGTCTAAAACAGCAAGATGGTAGCACACTCATACTGTGTAAACTAAAAAGCAAGATTAAACAGAACGAAGGTGAGAGTTCTACTTCAGAATCAAGAGAGAGTCCAAAATCAGGTCATGTTCCATGCACCACATTCCCATCTGATATGTGATCCTTAAGGACCATAAGAATTATTTCGGCCATTCATCTGAATGGGATATTAAATGTGTTTATTTTACTATGTTTTCCATTTGTGATCTTTTGGATTGATAACTCTTATTATTTTTACTGAGGACTGCTACGTATATATTATGCAATACCTTTTTAATTTTCTGTAGAAAATAAATGTATATATTTTATTTAGAAATATTTTGCTAGTTGTTTTCTTCTGCTCAAGGTTTTTTGTTTTTTTCTTTGTCTCATTTAGCTCATAGAAATCACATGGTGTTCCTGGACAGCCAGAAATCGACCTTCCTGCGTCACAAGCCTCGTTTGTCTGTGGTGCGAGAGTTGAAGGAGAAAGCTCAGCAAGGTCTTTTAGGTAGATACCAGATATTTTTAGAAAAATTTATGTTGGTCCACTAGTGAATAGATAAGGACTCAAAACATCCACCGGCCATTGAAAATTCAGCCACGGCAAGTAGAAATATCGATATTTTAAGACCTGGAATTGAGTTTAGAGAGAAAGGGGATTTTCATTCGATATCCAATGTAGCTTCGATTCTCCCCACTGCCCAACAACAGAGATCTCACTCCTCAGAATTCCTTAAAGCACAACATTCCATGGTGCTCATACTTTTTGGCCTATTTGCTACGATCATCATATAGCAATTAACTTTTGGCTACAGTTAATATCGTAATGCCCACAGTTACATGTCTTTCATCCTACCAGTACAGCCATCTTTATGCTATCTCCTTTAACAAGTCATACACTTTAACCATTTCTCTTTTCCTAAAACATATGGCTCAGTCCTTGATACTATTTTGTCCTCCTGTGTTGCATGTTTAGCTGTCACAATGTAAAGTTATAGAACAAATGTATAGTGTACCTTTGCTTCCCAAACCTCGCCGTGATGAACACTTTGACAATCACTTTTTGTCTAATGATCCGACAACTGGAAAATCCCGAACATGTTCAGTTAATACAAGTTGTGCATGGTCAATATGTATAAGCTCTTCCCGATTTCTCTACCTTTAATAGTGAATAGCTTCCTTTTTTATTGTCAACTTTATTGCGCTTTGGTGATGGCACTTCCCTCAAAAAATAAAGCATAGATATGTTCTTTGATGTACATTGTGTCTGATTAATCTGTCCTCTATTGTCCCAGATGAGGAAGTCACTGAGGGGCCAGACTCGGACTTGTTCTCTGAAACCAGTAGCATCATGACTGCAAGTGATATGAGTGGAAAGTACTCCCATAGCAACTCAAGGATCTCTTCGTAAGTTTGTTTCCTGAGGTTCTCTAATCAAAGCGAATACTGCAGTGGCATGATCTACACACCAAAACTGCTTAATTAAGCTAAAGTTGTTTTGGTGACTGTTGTGTCCCTTTAAGTAAGCAGCACTATTGTGTATATACGTCCACTGCAAACCCCTTGAAACCTAAGGGAGGACTAGGATTAGCTGAGAGAATCTTCTTAAGTTTTTATCTTAAACCTATCTATGTGTGCTGTGTGGGCTTTTGAGGAATAGCAACCTCCTAATTTTTTCTTATGCAGGAGGTCATCAAAGAACCGCCGAAAAGCAGAGAGAAAGAAGCACAGCCTAAAAGAAGGAAGTCCTCTGGAAGACGTGGCTCTGTTGGAAGCTTTGGGAGAGAACATCCGTGCGACCGATAAACTAAGAAGTAAGTGATAGCATTATACTAAATACACAATTAAAATATATACTGCTCATCACTTCATTAGAATAGTAATTTACTTTTATCCAGCATAGGAGATCAGCTGCCAATGGCCATGGCTTGGATGGGCCACAGTGCTTATGGGTATATTGATGTATTTAGAGAAGGAATAGTTTAGCATTTTACGGGTTGGAATCTTGTATGCATTAAGTTATAGGGTAACTGGGTAAGTTCATTGTTTATCAATTTCTTCCGTTTTCTTTAATCATGGCTGTGCGTATACAGGGTTATTCACTGAAGTGAGACCTGAACAAGTTTGATCCTTCATAGAATCCCAAGAACCTTTGGCAAGTTTTCGTCCCCCTCCTACCGTAGTGCAGTTTCATGCTCCACTTTCCACTGGCCTATAATTCAAGCTTCATTCTGCTTAAGTGATATTAAATAGTTGTGTTATATCTCCGATTTCCTGGCTTAGGTATGCTTTTCTACATCTTGTTTGAAAACACACACCTTAGACCCCCTATACAGCTTATTTGTAAAATAAATACTGACATCATTATGAAAGACTCAATAATGTTATCAACCGAAATATCAAATAAATAGTTTTAAAAAATTAATCCGCTTATCTTTGCAAATTAAACTCCGTGTATCCTTTCCCATTCTATCATGTTGTCTATCTGATTAGGTGAGATTCACAGCCTGTTGAAAGTACTTGTTCTCTTTGAATTTGATGGTCAGTCGAGAGAGCTCCAGCAGACATATGATGAGTTACTACAGCTCATGGAGTCATCCATTCCAGAAATCTGGACTTCGAGTATCCTGCCAAGCACTGCAACACCGGTAAGTTTATAATTTATCTCCACTGGGATGTACATTACTAATATTAAACGGACACTATTGGCATAAGAACAACTTTAGCTTAATGAGGCTGTGTAGATCATGCCCCTGCAGTCTTGCTGCTCAATTCTTTACCATTTAGGAGTTAAATAACTTTGTTTATGCAGCCCTAGTCATACCCCCCTGTATGTGACTTGCACAGCCTTCCTTAAAAAAAAAAAAAAACACTTGCTGAAAAAAAAGCACCTAGATATTTTAGGTTCCAGTCTGTTTAATCTAGAATTTATAATCTACTGCTCTGTTAATAGCCTTATAGAGCCTCCTGTGTGTGATATAAGTTCAATTTACAGAGCAGGAGATAAATTCTAATACACGTTACATCTAATCTAAAATAAAACCATTAGTTTCATGCAGGGTGAGAGAGTCAGAGCTAGTGTTGTGTGGCTAGTATAAACAGAAACTAAAGTGATTTCACTCCTAAATGGCAGAGAAAAGATATTTAACTCTTAAATTAGTAGTGAGACTACAGGAGCATGATCTATACACAAAAGCTGCTACATTAAGCTTACATACTTATGTGGTTTAATTATTATAAAGGTATATAAACCATACTGACTGCATTTGTTTAAATCCGTATGAACCTACGGGGTTCATCAACATCCTGAACTGCACTGGCAAATGCCGACTTCTGTATTTTCTACAAATATATCGCAGATTTCTAAGCTTTCTGTATAGTGATGGCACGTGTTATTAGAGTTCGCACGTCCCAATTTTTGTAAGATTTATAAGAGTAATATTTGCCCTATAACTGCCAACAGCTGAATGCAATGTCCACGTAAGACTAATAAATTAATAATTAGAACACTGGTAGTGCAGCAAAACCCCTGAGAAAGCTAGAAATTACAGGGATTGTAAAGTGCCTTTCACTTTAACGTATATACAATTTCAGAGGCAGTGCCACTTTAAATAGCATAATCCGTATTTCATGAACGTGTTCCTTTACAAACTGATACCGAGGAGCTGATGAGGTGAAATCCATTTGCTGTCATTTTCTAGGTGCTCGGACCTCATTCAACTGCAAACAGCATTATGAATTCTTACCAGCAACAAGGGAAGATAAATAATCCAACACAAGGTAAGAGCTTGGCAGAAAGGATTCTGACACATTGGGGGTGAAGGTTTTATAGTGCATAGTGGTAGGATGAGATACATATATGCAGATCGCTTTTATCCAACATAATCACATATATAGAAATGTATCTGGGATCCCTGGCAACCTACAATTGGTTCTCATTTCAAATTAATGCCTCCTACTAATTTTTACTACAGAATCACTTCAGATTCTGAGAAGAAACAGATGGGAGTGCATTCATTTTAGTGACCATATTTGGAATTTCGATAGCTACACCATTGGCTAAATTCTAAACTGAACAGCAATAGTATCAGTTTCTACACATCAAGACATAGATTATATATCGTTATCTAGAACGTAAAACAGGTTTATGTCATTTTAAGGAAACCTTTAAAGTACAGCTCTGTGATCAGACATGTGGTAAAATAAATCTACAAGTAACAAATCGTGGTTTTCCATCCACTAAATATATTTTCCTATAATGAAATAAAATGATCTGGTAATAATTACTTGTCCGTTTAATTCTTATTTCCATCTTTTGTTGCAGATGCTGAGCTGTTTGTTGCTCCAAAACTTATGAAAAACGTGCAGTGGAAACTGAGCCTTCTTCAGTAACATGACAACTTACCTTGCCCCTCGTTCTATGGGACATTAAGTACAATACGAGAGGTAGACTGATCCCCTGCAGTGCTGCATACATTATAACCGTAGCCAGTGAGGACTCCCCACACTGCAAGATGGCATGCATGCTGGATATATTTAAATAACCCTTTTTATGTTTTGACTGGAAGAGATTTCATTGCTTTACTTATTTAGGTGTATATTAAAATACTTTTTTTGTTACACTATGGGTGAGTTTATTCATCTTTTGACTTTGTTTTTAATGCAAAAATGAGGAGGCACAAAAATAATTTACTTTAAATGTGTATCTGTGTACCCACACTACTTAGGTTCAAATTAAAGATCACATGTCTACGGATAACCTCGGGAGAGACCTAGCTTCTGGTTAGGCAGATACCAGGTGAGACGTCAGATCAGTTAGCTGCACTGACCCTTGGGGAGGTGGCTGAGGGTGGACACGTCCCTTCTCCTCTCACTCTTCCCCATTCCCCCCATCCTTTTTTTCCCCTCTTCTTTGCCCCACTCTACTATCACTACTACGAAATATCTTTCCATTCTTCTCTACCCTTCCACCCCCAGCAAAGGCAGATCCCCCGCACCCGTGTTCCTGGCGCTAACTCCCTCCTAGATGCCTGACCACCACTAGGGACATTCGAACACCCGATACAACAAAAGCTCAAAGGAATAACACATAAGGGGTCCCCCACGGAAAACTAGGAAAAGCTTGTGGTTCCCTAGCACAACACTTTATGACGGAGGCCTGGGAGTGGGGCGACTGATTGTCCCACATTCTTTCTATACTTACATTGCAAACCGCTGGAAATTATCAACCCCTGCGAGGGATGGCTATGAACAAATAAGATTTCATTAAAAAACTACTTTAAAGCAAAATAAAGATCATTCAATTTAATCCTACTTTTAACCTGAGAATTGGGTGACATGGAGAGTAGGAGAACCCTTACAATTTCCTGTTACTGTGCTACACCCCCTTGTAATGGGAGTAAGGGGCGTTCTGATGGTGGCAGTGAAGAGGGAATGTGAGTGTTGCTAAGGGTTGAGGAGGACACTTCCCTAAGCAGTGCCAACCACAGCAGAGGACCCACAGTGTGGGTGTTATGGGACTGAAACACCATGAATCCTAGGAAAATGGCAGCTCTTGAGTGAGGAACACCAGGTAAGCAAGATTATAACCGCTCCAAAACCACAGATCCTGATCCAATCACAATGCTTCCCCAAAGGATTGGCTGAGACTGACAAAGGGGCAGAGCCAGCATGATTCAAACACAGCCCTGGCCAATCAGCATCTGCTAAGTGTCTGCCTGCAGAAGGAGGAGATACTGAATGTTTGGATGCATTTTAGGCAGCCATGACCCAGGAAGGATCTCTAACAGCCATCTGAGGAGTGGCCAGTGAAGTTATCACTAGGCTGTAATGTAAACACTGCATTTTCTCTGAAAATACAGTGTTTACAGCAAAAGACCTGAAGGTAATGATTCTACTCACCAGAACAAATGCAATAAGCTTTTATCCAACATTGTTCTGGTGACTATAGTGTCCCTTTAACGTCAAGGGAATGAATGAATATATATTTATATATATATATATATAAAATTTATATTCATGCTCTTGCTTGTAATAGAAAAATTAAATTTTACTGAAGCGTACTTTATTCAATGCACAGCATTAATATAAACTTTGTATATTTTTACCGGTTGTACGGATTAACTTAGCATATTGAATAAACATACTTATACCATTGTTTTAGAATGGGTTTTATTTAAACGTCTAACCTGTCATCCTCCATGCGCCACTCATCGCCTCCACTATTCATGACAGAGAGCTGGAAGTTCCGAAGCAGGAATTTGTTAGCTCATTGGCTGAGAATGTCAGCTGATCACTCTCAGCCAATGAGCTAAGCCTTGCATTGCCAGATGTAGACATGTTTCAGCTCTATACAACACACCTGTGTTTAGAAGTTGTATAGCTACCTACTGCTGTGCTCCAGCCACTGGACATGGGGGATAAGGAAAGAAACACTATGAGGGACTTTAAAATAACATAAATTCTAGTGGCATGTGACAAGAAGGGGAATGAAGATGGACAATGACAGTGAAAACCTAAAAGTGACTAAGAGGTGTTGTGGAGAAGGGGCAGTGATAGTGTGAAAAAGTAAATAACAACAGGATGAAAGAGTAGTGGGAGAGTGATTGTGTTAGTTCCATGGACGAGGGAGTTGGCAAAAAATTGTCACCATGTTTTCCAGGACACAAACTGCAAGACTGAAGGTTACATTGTCTACAGAACCCCAAAATACCCCTCTCCCATTAGACATTCCAGAAGAGGAGCTGAAGAGACAGAATTAATTTGCCTAATCGCCCCCTCTCACTGCAAGTCAGAAATGGTAGTAGGGCTTAATGAATGGTGGCAGCTATAGCTAAGGCCTGGAAATATAACTCCCACTAATCTTTAGCAGGACAGGACATGTATGTCCCACAATTTGGGCTGCTGTGCCATTTATTGTTGTCCACATTAATACACATACCAAATTGGTAAATGGGCTGCATTGTTTTATTTATAACAAAAAAACATATATTAGTTAGTTCCCAAATGTAACGTGTTTTGTTCCTACAAATATGTGACATGACATTTTCATAGGAATTTAATACCCACTAGTACATTAAGACAAGAAACATTTTTTCTTTTTTTAATGGGACAATAACTGGACAACAACCTAAAAACTGATGAAACAAACCTTTGCTAAATAACCGAGTCTCTGAGTGTCCTACAAGCCTTGAGTTTGCATAGCTATTGGGCCCAGTGCTTCCTCAGATGCTCTTTCAGTTGAGGAATGGTCGATTGCGGCTGCTTGCACACGTGGCATTGCAGAGGAGATTTCAGGAGCTCGGACACCCCGTTCTTCACGGTCACTCTGCCATTCAGCTTTACCATCTCAATCACATCTGCCAACAAGGAGAATATCATGGTAACTTGCTGGCAAAAATAGAACATGTCATTGCTTCTGTTTACTCCAAGATGAGCACATACTACATGCAATGGTAATGGTCATTTATTCAATGTGAAAGATTAGCAATAGGAAAAGCGTTTTTCTAGAAGTCTGTATCAAGGATTGATGGTAACAAAGCTACAGGGTTAATCACTAAAGTAAAAATTGCTGTGAATTTAAGGAGAATTTTAAAGTTTAGGCCAAAATAGGCAAACCTGAAAAAAGTCAATTCTGTTTTCAATTGGGCTTTTTTGGCCTTAAATGTAAGATTCACTTTGAATTCCCAGCAATTCTCTCACTTTTTGTGATTAACCCAGCTAAGTGTTAAATGAGCTGAATGTATCACAGAGCGGTATGGCAGCAACGGCATATTCTAGATAAGAAACGGCCGCCAGTTGCTGGCTGAGAGTTGTGATGCATCTTTTGTACAATAACCTTTCCTTACCTTCAGACTGCAAAAAGTAATCTGTGGTGAAAGAGTTCCAGTGCTTTTTGTTTTTAAGACACTGTGAGTCGAAGTCTTGACTGATGACATGTAGGTGAACGTGACTAAATAAAGAAAAAAAATGTTTTAACATACGAAATCAAGCCCTGTGCTCAAACTCCCACTACTACTGGCCGGCAGCAATGACTGCAGTACACATCAGCCCCAATACATACAACAAAATATCCCAAATCCCTATGATAGTGCACAAGTAACTTTTTACTTTGGTTTTTAATTTCAACAAAGGAACATTTCTTTCCAAGCCAGTTTTGTGATGCGGAGTCACTGATTCGCTGAAAGCGTCAGCTAACCGCTCTCAGCCAATCAGCTGTGCCTCTGCCCGTTGGCACTTCACGCTTCCTGAATCTGAAATTGCTGAAGCCGGATGCCGCCTGTGGGGAGTGGACAACGCCACTGAAGGCAACTTAGGGATTAAACTGTTCGAGACTGGTTTAACCCCTTGAAGTAAGTGTGCTTCTCGGGGCCTTCTGGTACCATAACAACTTCATTTAGATAAAATTGTTTTGGTGCCTGGAGTATCACTTTAAGGTCAAAATAGCTGAACGGGAAACATTCTCTAAGTTTGGCTACTTAGGTCTTATATTTGAAATTCACTTTACATTCTCACTTTAGCGAATAACCCTGTAGGAGTAATTTGATACATTATAAAAGGTACTTGTGTGTGCTTTTCATTCTAACATATAGACAGAGATTAAGAAAAAATATAGTTTTTCTTCCATATGTAACTATATAGGTGTCACAGAAACTGGTACAGTGTTTCATTGCTCACTGTCCCCTCAGGCAAGATGTCTATGTAGTTAAATACTGGCAATACTCATTCTAAAAGCATTCACTTTAAGTGTAGCCTTCACAGACTGAAGAGTTAATCAAATGGAACGTAATGTGCCACTGCTTGAGTTATGCTACATTTATCAAAAAGATCAGTGATCTGTACGCTCTATCACATCTAATCTAATTTTAGCACTCGCAGTACACAAATTGAAATGGTAAAGATGAATTATCCGGTTTTAAAATGTTCCTGTTTTAATAAACACAGTTAGGGAATGGAGAAAATATTTGTTGGCTCATATTTGTTCTCTAAATAAATTCAGTGTAGTACAGGTGTCCAGTGCCAGGAGTTTTACAGGTTAGAAGAAAAACGGGTGACTGAGCTAATTGTACAACACTAATGCTGCAAATATAATTTGAGTACCAAGCAAAACAGGTTAAAAACTGCTGGGTTACGACTGAGATGCTGAGTGAATACTGCAGACAAACCCTCCAGCCTATAGGATTCCACATATACAGTCTCTAATCTGATCTAATCTTAAAGGGACACTCCACTGCCCAAAAACAAATTAAATAAAAAGCACTGTTTGGATATACCCCAAGTGAAAGCATAAACGTATTTAATTATGCATTTTTTTTATTGGGGGTATAGCTAAAAACAACTTGCAAAATCTGCAGTTCTCTTTTCTGCTACCTTTGTAAATCCCCCCCTTCTAACCCCGCCCAATCAAAGACCTCCCAATGTAGCTCACTGAGAAGCCTTTGCAAGGCAGGTGCTCTGAGCAATTGCTGCCTCTTGAGTTTAGCTCCACTGAGCTAAACAATCAGGAAGTAACAGGACCTCTTGTCTGCTTGAAAGCCAAGGGGGGTGTAACGCGTATAATGTATAGAAGTGTCAATTTCTATTCAAATCTGTACTTTTTGCTAAATGAAAAAAAAAAGAGGACACCCTCTTCACATTGAAAGCTTTTTAGCATCTAAAGTACTCTAAGGGTCTGGAGTGTCCATTTAAATCTGTGTGCTGAGAACATCTTGATTGCTCACCTCATGCTCGGAATGGCATGGTACCCTAATCTGAACTTGGTGTTAGAGAGTTTTGTGTGCTCCTGTATCATCTTCTCGCCTACAGAATGCATGTGTTGCAGCAACTCCAAGTGCTCAACCCTTAGTGCCTTCAGGCTTGATATCGATTCCCACGGCAGGACCAACCAGTGGTGACGAGCTTTTGGGTATTTATCTTTAATCACCACTAATTTATCATCCTTGAAAACCTACATTAAGAGAAAAAAACACAAATAGTCATAATCAAGCAATGCTAAAGGAATATATATTTTTTAAACTGTAAAAGTGCAATAGCAGTCATTTATAGTATAATGATCACTCCCAAAAAATAAACTTTGTTTCTACCTACATCAGCTGGTAAACTTTTGCTTATTAAGAAAAGCAGAACTGTTTCTGTGGGGATAACATTTTAACCTTTTTTACCCTTTGTGTCACTATACCCCACTCTCTCCAGCACGTAAGCTCATTGAGCAGGGCCATCCACCTCTCTTCCTGTACGTCCAGTTGTCTGGTTACAATTACATGTCTGTTAGTCCACCCATTGTACAGCGCTACGGAATCTGATGGCGCTATACAAATAATAAAATAATAATAATAAGAGGCTCATGGGTGTTAAGATTAGGCAGAAATTGCTAAAATGTAAGCTAAAATAGCCATGATGTGACTGTAGTAAGATTGGAGATGTTTTGGAGTTTATTGAAAAACCCAGTTGGCTCTGGTCACAAATTGCCTGGTAAAATGAAATGCTCATTACGTGTATCATGTTACCTCTAGCTTTGTAAGCACCAAGTAAAAGGTCACAGATAATAAAATATTAGCACCGAATGGGTACATGTTCAAGGCCGTTCTCTGGGGTAGCTCAGAGGGAATACAAGGTCTATGGTAGTATGGAGTGATAACATCCAATGTGATTGCTCTGTTCCCAGAGATAAGGTCAATGTCAATGCCCAGTGAAATTACATAACAAGATAGCTGATTTTAAAGTGTTTACTTCACATAGCAATATGACTAGAGAACTTGTATTTGGAATGTTTCTATTTAAAGATATATATTCTAGAAAATCTATTTTTAAATACCTGTAATTAGCTTAATCCCTTAAGGACACATGACGGAAATATTCCGTCATGATTCCATTTTATTCCAGAAGTTGTGTCCTTAAGGGGTTAATTTTAGAATTGCACCTTCCTGCTTCATCAGTATAGCGAGGGACAGTTTGTTTTTTTCTGACCAACATGCTGGGGGAGGCGGGCGAGTTAGACTTCCACGTAATACATATCTGTACAATTACCCTATTTTTTCCTGTCTTTGCTACTGCCCTTAAATCTAATGCAATCTCCACTAATGCAATCTGATCACTTCTTCTCCAAGTCCCCTCATTCCATCTCCCCTTAAATTCAACCGAACCCACTCGTCTAAATGCCAATCACTCCTCCTTCATTAACTCTCCATTTGCCATGAGCGACCATACTACTTACACCTGCTCACATCCACTGTGGAGACCATTACGGAGGGAGCTTGCGCATGTTCTAAAGTATATACCAATTGGCAATTCTGCTCACACATTGCATAGTCTACGCCTTAAAGAAACACTATGGGGATGGGAAAACAAATGTGTATTCCTAACAGTGTAGTGTCCTAATCGTAGTTTCGATGACCCCCTGCCCCATCCACAAGGGATAAAAAGGTATTTTACTTATCTTAAATTGGGAGGCTAGTGCGCATGCATGGCAAAACGCAGCGCTACGCAAACCCGATGGTCTCCTGGAGACCATATGATTAGAATAGCTGAGTTTTACTCGGCTATTTCCGTGAAAGAGCTGTTAATGGCTGTTAGTTTGTCAGCCACTAAAGACATTTAAACCCTGCAATGTAAACATTGATGTCCCTGCAGAACGGCAATGTTTTTTACATTGCATCATTACAACGAGAGGAACATAGCACCAATACCACTTCATTGAGATAAAGCTGTCTGGGAGACTATATCGTCCCTTTAATACATATTCACACAAACTTCAATCTGATCTAGGCAAAAACTAAATATCTATGTATTTAAAAACAAAAAACATAAATACTAAATGCTGAAATGTATCCTCCAAAATAAAATATTTAAGCATATTAGATTTTATAGCAATCACTTAGATATACAAACATAGATTTAGTTGAGAAATAAAAGCCAACAGACCCATATAATCTATTCATACCCCTTTCAAAAAAAAAAAAAAAGGCCTTATTTCTGATTTTGTTGTTTTATTTCCCCTCCTGTCATAAATATCTGCCTTCTCGAACTATTCCTCTATATTGTTATCTACCACTGAAATATAGAGCTTATGCAATTTCTATAAATACATTTAAAAAAAACTAACGCAAACATCATAATTAGAATTTATGTCTCAAATAATATATTTTCTACAAAACTGAAGGAGTACCTGCATTGTTGGATCCTGCATGGACACCTTTAACCCTTGACTCCAATGCCCTTGGTTTTTAACCTTTAAGGAAAATACACAAAGATAAATTAATTTAAAAAAACTTGCATACATTACATAATGTTTATTTGCTTGTTTTATACTAGGTCCTGGCAGTTTGTTGGATGTTCGTAGCATAATATAATAGCTTAAAAGGCAACTGATGATGAAGGTTGGTTACAGGAAGAGTGTGTGGAGATATGTAGTGTGCCAAATATCTGGGCACAGACATTTTTGTTCTCATTTGCCCCTGATGGCTTAAACAGAACAGAGTCAGTGTGGGTAGAATGACTCCAAAAATTTACAGCATTTGATGACGACATACTTTTCGATGTGTCTGACCCTGTAATCTCCTGGCAGTGTATTAGACAAACCATTATGGATTTTAAGTCCAGGGATTTTTCTGTTAACTTCACCAAAGCTCAAGTACTGTGCGGCACTGATATAGCCTTTGTGTATCCATGACGATATACCGTACTCTTTAAACTTCAACCCTACAATCGGCAAAACAATGTCACAACTTCACTCATGTAAAGTTCTCACCCACTTATATGAGTTAAGTAAACCTTATTAAAAAGAATACCTCCCCCTTGTTTTAAAACCATAGAATACACTTTACGAACTGCAGCAAAACTAACGACGACCTTCTTTGAGAGGTTGTGCTACAAAGAGTCGACACAGACTAAGTTGATCACATTACTATATCAGCACATTGGTGCAGAATCAGGTGAATGGGGACCACTTAGATATACAGAGCAATGGGAAGAAGACCTGGGGGAGACGCTTGAGGAGATGGACTGGCAGGAGATATGGGAAGCATGCACCAAAATGTCCATGTGTGTTACATAACAGGAACAGTTACAAGATGCTATTTAGGTGGTATATGACGCCAGTAAGACAATATCACATGCAATTGAGCCCCACAGACACCTGCTGGCATCTATGCGGGAACAAAGGGAGCTTTATACATATGTGGTAGCACTGCCCAAAAGTCAAGGAATACTGGGAAAGAGTAACAGCTATAAGCACCCAAGTGTTCCAGAGACCTATAGAGTTGCCTCCTCTCCAGACCCAAAGAGGGGTTCAACAGATATGAGCAAAAACTACTAAACATGATAAATTTAGCAGCAAGAAGAGCACTGGCACAAAAATGGGCAAGCCCAGAAATACCACACATGTCTATAGTAATCACCAAAATCAGGGACAATTACCTTATGGACAAACTCACAGCACAAGTGCGTAACACCACCTCCAGCTTTAGTAGGACATGGGAGTTGTGGGAACAATAGGACACGTAAACTGGAGAGTCAAAGGGTATACAAACACACAAACAATGGTGCCCTCCCATATAACGAGACCTAACCACTCACAGCAGCAAGAGCAAAACGAATACACCTCTAAACGCATAGAGAACAACATTTTTAATTATATAACATGTTACTTTATTGTTTGTTGTTTGATTATTGTTTATACTATATGTAACAATACAAAATGTTGACTACATAAAAAGACGCTGTACTGTATCAAGAAACACCGCAGGAATGTTAAGAAAAATGTACCCAAACTATGATATACCTTAAGAGACACCCTGCCTCAATATGGCTTCTGCGCAAGCTCTGGTATACTGTACTGATGGTTTACTTCTATGTCAACACAAAAATAAAGATTTAAAAAAACAAAACAAAAAAAAAACATAGAATACTAAACTGCCTTCCAAGTCTGCCAGTTGATCTTGACAGGTAATCGTCCCAGAATAAGATGTTGAAGTTGCAACAACCCCATTGCTTGGGAGGTCTAAACGGTCCCTGTATTAAATTCTTTAGCCTTGCATGGGTACTCCGATACACAGTAGATTGGATAAAATCAAGCTCGGAGTTTATAAACCCCTTCAACACTCTATTATCTGTGTCAGACAGGTTTATTATAGGGTGTCCCCCTACTACTGCCTCTACCGACACCAAGCCTTTCCCTACTTATCCAATATTTCTGCCTTTTTGTTATGGTCCTGAGCAGTACAAATGACAATTTGAGAATTTATATTTTGATGTTTGATAATGATCACTAGCCATCACTGTGTTTTTTGTAAACTCACTTGTCTGTTGATTATATGCGCATGAATGCTGCCTGTGTCATGAGAAAGAGAATAGAAAGGACCTGGCGAGTTCCAAAATGTTGACATTTCTCATTATTGGTGATACAGAATAAAAGTGTAAATATTGATTTGCAAACAAGACCCGTGAGTGCCCATACTTCTTTGGTATTGTGGATTAGATACCGTCACGGGAAAAAGAAAGTACACCCTCTCTGAATTCTAAGGTTTTACATATCAGGACATAATAACAATCGCCTTTTCCATAGCAGGTCTTAAAATGAGGTAAATATAACCTCAGATGAACAACAACACATGACATATTACACCGTGTCGTGATTTATTTAACAAAAATAAATCTAAAAATTAGGAAGCCACATGTGAAAAACATTACTGCTTCCATAGGAATTAAGAGGCGAAGTAGCAGACTGGTGCTGCTAATCAAGTGTCCAGGATTAACTGCACTTTTTTTCTCCATAACTGAATATTACAGGTCAAAGATAGGATACCTTTGACATACCAGCTGCAATTTTTGCAAGTTTGCTAAAAATGTAAAAAAAAATACTCTACTGAAGTAGAGGCCAGATGTATTCTCGCAGTGAAAGAGTAAAGCAAGTACCGGGAAATCAATGGAGGTCCACACCATCCAGTGCTAAGTAGAAGACACACGGGGGAGCACGGTAGACTTTATGATCATTGCCGACATCTACTAAAACAGGTAGTGACATTATTATGGAGACAGTGCATTATATGAATATTTATTCTGCGACTCAGTCTGAGAACAGAAGGTACAACCGGACAAGAGACTGGGGACCAATGCAGCTCAGCCACTGAAGGTTGTAAGGTAGTGGTGGCACGTATCACAAAAATAAACAAAAAATAAAAAATACTCACAATTCCTCATTTTCCATATGTTGAGGCAGTTACACTACTATATGGAGACCTATCAACACAAGCCTTAAACACAATTTTGAAACACTATCTTGTAGATTGGAAATTAATTAGGATAATTTTTTTTTGGTAATGGTAAAAAAAATAAAAAAAATAAAAACATTTTTAAATTAAAAAATAAATAAATTTTTTCATGTGTAGAGCATTTTTCCCACCAACACAGAACTCAAGCTTTCCTTTACATACCTCGGGAACATGGTTTGGCTTCTCAGATGTTGTGGGCTCGGTGTTCTTACTTGTTTTAGAACTGGAAACACTTGTCTCTGTGTCCATTCTCCCACATTTCTTCGGACCATCACCGCTCTCAGATGGCCTCTTATTACAACTTTTTTTCTCTTCCCCTTTTTTCAGAAATGCCGCACTAGTTCCTTCCAAAAACTCAACCATATACGGATACAGGTTATTCACCATATGCAAGGTTTCTCCAGGCTTCAGCTTAACTTCTTGATTTTTACCGATGTCAACTGAATCGACGCTTGTTGGGTTAGACCCTATCTACAACAAGGGAAGCAGGATGTTAGTGGCAGACAAGCTACGACAAAATAAACTATCAATAAAAAGAAGGGAAAAAAAAGAAAAAGCATTGATTTATTTTGCACTTTTTGGAGTACAGTAGGTTGTTGTGTTTAGTTTTTAGTAACAGTAAGATGATTTAGAAGCCCTGGCCTCTAATCCAGAGCCGCCCCTAACCTTAATGCCCAGATACACTACATCAATACAGCAGGGTACTCAGTGCCATAACATAGGTGGTCATTACAAACAGTGCTATAATAAATGCAGCGACACTAGACTTTCACCATAATGATGATCATGTTTTAATTTTGACTTTAAAAGTTAATAAAATCTTTTTATTTTATATTGTACTGTTTTTTGTATTAATAAATTAATAAAGCATGCTAATAACGTTTTTGGCTGATAATTTTATCAGCATTTTACAGCCATTGTCTGATGCTTCCAGTGACATCCCCCAAATATTCATATTTTATGGCATTTTATATCATTATTTGCAGTAGGGATCTACTCTGCTTGACAGACAGCTTCAAAAAAAGCTCTGGAAGTGGACAACTACAGTTTGCCATCCTAAACGAGATCCATGTGTTACAAGGAGAGGGTGTATATTGCAAGACTCAGAATACTTAGAATAGGCTGAGATGCCAAGTATAAAATACAACTTGGTCAATGGCAGTCAGGAACAACGAGTGATTTGGGGTTACTTGTGAAGCATCATCAGTTACTTTTAATGAATGTCAGAATCTGTGTTGCTATGTGAAAATGTTCTTTCTTCCTAGCAACCATCAGTTTTTTTATTTTTAAGAAGCACAAATTACTGTTTCTTCTGATCCAGATGGCACTAATTATTCCTCACTATTGTCAGAGGGATAGACACTTTTCAAAGGAATTATTCAATATCTACATATTATAAGAGGGTGGTATAATATAGTGCTGAAATAAAAGGAAAATGACACAATGAATAAAATGACATTAAAGAGAGTTATAGGAAAGCGGAGATGATGTGTGTCTTATAGAAAACAAACTGGATATATTTGTTAAAATTTACCAAAACAGGGCGCAAGCGAATACTGAGAATTGTCAACAACACAGTTAGCTTTGGTGGGTCCTCAGTTCTGAAACTGGTTTTAGCTCATCTTGTGCCTTAACAGAGAGAACCTAAATTATTTGCTTATCAGACTGATCCCTCTCAAAAGGGTTGTCCAGATCTGTCCAGTTCTCTCTGTTCAAGAGATACAGAAACCCCAGATATTATTTTCGGTCTTGCTGGGCCTCATCAGCAAGGTGCTGCTGATGCCCCTTTAGGAACAGTGAGCAAGGGATCTACATACGGATTAGCCGATTACCTGGTCTCCTGAGCTGCGCCCTGATGTGCAGGACTAGCTGATTAGCTGAGAGTGTCAGCTGATCACTCCCAGCCAGTGAGCCTAGTCCTGCGCCACTGAGCTTAGCTCAGACAGGGTGCTCCTGGCTCTCTGTGTAAAGGAGTGAAGGCAGGGAGCGGCACCCAACAGACTCCACATATGAAGTCAATGCGTACTAAAATGGTTTAACAGCTTAAAACAGCGAGCTGTCGTTATCAAGGTGCCTTGGAATTCTTTTAATATAAACAATAAATTAGAATATTCGAATACAGCCACATACCTGTTTGACCTTCACATATCCTTTGTTACAATCTGCTGTCAATTGAACTGTTTAAATCAAAGAGAGATTTGTTTTACTACCTTCCCCATTACAACAGTGATCTAATCGTAACAGAGCAAATTTTTCACATTCAAAAATATTTTTTGTACTTTTTTTGTAAGGTGATAAGGATAAAACAAAATATGAAAAAGAAACTGATTAAAAACAGCAATACAATGTTATAAATATGTGAAAGGGACACTGTAAGCACCAAAAACACTTAATCTTTATGAAGTGGCTTTGGTGAATAGATTAGGTCCCTGAAGTCTCCCTGCTCAATTCTCTACCGTTTGGGAGGACGTGTGGCCAGGTCTGCATAAACAAAGTGATTTAACTTGCATATGGTAGAGAATTTAGATGTGAGGCTGCAGAGCATGACATGTAGACTAAATCTGCTTCATTTAGCTAAGGTTCCGTGCTTAGAGTGTCCCTTTAAATTCATATGAATTGATAAAAATGTATGATTTTAATGGGATACTGTACATGTCGCAATGCAGAATTTCGATTTAAAGTGGACTTTTAGTTGGTGTAAGTATTTTACACAAAAAAAAAAATGCAATTGCCCATCACTACTGAAATCCATTCCCAGATAACTGGATAATTGGAGTTAGACTTTATTTTTACTGAATGCCTTTGCTGTGTAAAGAAGAATACATTTTAAAAAACATTTTTGCAGAGGTTTTGTCTGCTGAAAAATCTGCTACAAACCTTTGAGAGAAGGCCCTGACCACAACCATTTGGTTACTTAGTGCTGACCTGTCTGTTGTTTGTGTACAGCTGACCACAACCATACCTGGAGCAATATTGCAACAGTTTATAACCAAATAATTAAATTTATTATAAAAATTTACCTTGGTGTCTAGAGCATTTCTTGTCCACTATCTCGGTCTCTGGTCCACGGCCAATCACTAGATTCTCTGCATGTGGTAGTTTAATACGACCATGTCTCTTATCTTTACTCACCAACCAACATTCAAGCATTTTTGGTCTGAGATTAAAAAAAAAGATAGAAAGGGTAGATGAGCAATGGCACAGTGACTGAATGATGATAGGAAGGCAGGTCCTAATTCTAATAGTTTGAAATAGAAATATAAAAGAATAGACAGTGGTGAATTAATTAAATCCAAGATATATGGGCACTAAAACACAAGGAAAGTTGACGTACCTAACACAGTACCAAATGATGTTAATACTTCACATAGAGAAGCATAGATGTCAATGTTTTTCAGTGAGAAGTATACACTTGGCTGAGTGCTGAAACACCCCCTGCATGCTTAGCAGGATACCTATTGCTTTCCCAGTGGAGACTGTTTGGTGCTGGATTATCAGTGAATTTAATGGCATTCTTTTGTTTTAAAAGGGTGAAGTCGGGGAATAACCTAAAAGACCCCAACACACCAGGGGAACCTGCTCAAAGGAAAACTGCTATCAATCACCCAAGGACAGAGAATAGAGATTGAAAACTAGCTGGCTATCTTTCATGATAGATGCACTGTCTATGTATAGAGAGTGTGGAGTTGAATAATTGACATTGGTTAACAAGCAGGAAGACGCACCCAAGGACTCCTTGTATTGTCAATGTCAAGAATATTTGCAGTTTTTCTCATCCCTGATGTTTCATACCATCTGAATTTCCATTTGAAATGAATAGTGCCAACGCACCCTAGACTATGGTTGACAACAATTGTAATGGATTATACATAATGAATTTTAAACCCAATATTCAAAAATTGTTAAACTTTGAACTTCTTGCATTTGCGCCAAACTCCCAGTGTACGCTGCCCAGACCATGAAGTAATTGAAAAGCTGTCCGGTCCCCACTCTGATCTTCAATCACCTCGTGCTCCCACATCGTGTCCCTCCTCTATCTCTCTGCAAGACGCCAGGCTGAGGAGTGTCGCTGGTGTTAAACTAACCCTCTAAATCTAACCCTAATTTGAGCCCTAACATTAACCCTAAATGTCCCATGTCCTGAGCTTAGTGAATGCACTAACTATAATGAATGTGTAAAACTAGCTTTACTTACATTCCAGGACCTTGATATTGAGGAGTTCCCAGGACATGCTCAGAGCCTCTATCAGATTTCCCTTCCCCAGCTGGAGTGCTAGCAGGCTTGTGCAGCACAGGATCTAGCTGATTCCCCTCAACCAGAAGTGACGAGGGTAGGGGATTTTCATGGGTAGGGAAATTTGATAGAACATCTGTTTGGTCTCAGTCTTTTCTTACAACGGCTGGAAACATTCGCATGGCATTCAGCAGGATGCCATGACTAGCACTCTGGCCCGGTTGAAATCCAATTCTGAGAGTTGTGGCTTGATCCTCGTGCCGCCATGTTACTTAGGTGCGCAATCCTAGCCATGTGCATCTTAAAGGGAGGGTGGGAGATGCTGATGGAGGGGGTGTGTTGATGAATTGAGCATGTAATGGGGGGTGGAGGGGAGATATACTTCCTCCTCCCTACAAATAGATTGCTCTCCCAGTCATCCCTGCTCGCTAATACTGTGCTCTTTGTTCATACAAGTTGACCCTTTTTACTCCTGCTTCATATATAAATATATATATATTGCCTTCCATGTATTTGACCTTTGGCCTGAACGCTGTTTCTGATACTGTGATGTTTGGCCTATTGCTACATTGACCATGTCTTTGTCTCATCTTTGCCGGTCACCTTGCCTCTATTTCCACTCAGCCTTTTACTGCATACCGGCTTTGTCTACTAAACCATTGACAAACGCTTACAACCAATCCAATTCTGGCCAAGTCTAAACATTTTCCATAAACTCCTATCTAGCACGCAAAGACCTGAATAGAACTGAAGTGCAAGACAGGCCTCCCAAAAACCCTGATTTTTAAGGGGTTGGACCTTATTTTAGGGTCTTGTTCCACTGTCCCACTTTAGTTCCCTGGTGTCCGGCACGAAACTGTCCTCATTCAGCACAACATGAACTCATCGTTAGATGCACTCCTGCCGTGGGGGGACGGACACTAGATCCATACAGAATAGAGCTGACCTTGAAGTTGTCGATCAGCCTCAAGGTTAGCCCTATTCACACACATGCGTTGACTATGAACATTTTATACAATTCGCCAATCTGTAAATCCAACCATGGCTCTCCCAGAGAAACTTTTTGGCAGTGCAGGTGGTATTCAGATGCTGCACATGCACCTTGGACAAAATTGGGGCTGGGTTGTAGATGCAGCAGCTTTTGAAATTACTGCAAAGATGCAAAACTTTAAAGGGACACTATAAACACCCAGACAACTTAATCTCAATGAAGTGGTCTGATTGCCATGTTGCTTTCTGAGTAATCCTGCAACTGAAAACATTACGATTCTATAGGAACGGCAATGTTTACATCGCAGGGTTAACATGCCTCTAGTCTAATGACTGCCAGGAAGACAGCCACTAGAGGCATTTCCGCCCCAATAGCCGAATTAAACTGATGGTCTCGTAGAGACTATAAGATTGGCTCAGCATAGCATTCTGCATTGCATGTGCACTAGCCTACCAATGTGAAAGACCGGATTGGCTTATGGCATCTTCACTGATGATCTTTTCCAGTGGTGAGTAGCGCGATTGTGGAGAACAGCATAGCGAGGGCTGAAAAGTAAGTAATACTCAACTTTCGAACCCTAACATAAGGGAATTATGTAGGTGTCAGGACGCTATAGCATTAGGAATACATATTTGTATTCCTTTTTTTTTTTTTTTTATTCTTTATTTTGTCGTTCAGATGAGTACAAAACACATACATAAACCACAACTGCGTACATGTGCATAGAAACAAGTTGAATAATGGTACAAATAATGAGCATTAGTGTCTTTCGATCATGTGACATTCGTCAAGCATCATAACATATTTGTATTCCTAACGCTATTGTGATTCTTTCACCCTAACACCCCTGCAATGGTAGTGGGGGTCATAATGTTAATGCACCAGTTAAACATTCCAAGCACCATAATCGCAACCCATTGTAGTGGATATAGTGCCAGGAGTGCCCTGGAGCAATCTGATAGTCAAACTGTATTTATATGGTATGGTATAGTTCTAATGGTGCTTGGATGCCTCCTTTAAAACGGAGGTCCTGCTTAAACGTTTTCATAATGGTTTCACTACTTACTGTACTGCACAGTATTTGCTTTTGCTATTTCACTTACAAAAAGCATGGGTTGCTATATCTTTGGATATGCACAAGTGAGGGATATTCAGTGTTAATGGGGGAAGGGGGTTGAGACTTTGTATAGAATTCAGATATTTAATTAGTGGCCAGGGGGTCTACACTTTGTATAGAATTCAGACCTTTCTAATACATATTTGCTTATTTTGAAGGATGCCAACCCATAACTGAAAATCTTTAAAAAACATCTAAAAAACAAACAAACAAAATAAAAGTACACCAAAACTGCTATTTGGGGTTAATTCTGGTATTGTCTAAAATGTGTTCATTCAAAGAAACATTTTGGATTGAATTGAGAATTGCAAAACCCAAAAAAGCCATGTCTGATAAAAGGCTGAAATGGAAATATTTCCCAATTTATTTATTTTTTTTGTCTATGTTCTAATCCCTGACCAATAAACTATAACTAACATATACTTCAACATGGTGGCAAACACCAGCACCACTGACAGTGCTCAGAATATAACCCAGAGCTCCTTCACTTTGTCCATAGAGGGTGCATATTGCCCACAATGGGAAGCTGCTTACCTACTTCCGCCTCACCCACTCCCAACAATGTGCCAACAAAGAGCATGTGATCCTGGAGAGGTACAGCAGAAGATGCTCTTGCCCACAGTCGAGGTCTGGCGGCCATTTTGGTTTCTGGCAAGGTTAGCTCTGTAAACCCATAATAAAGGAGCTCATAAAAATCCCAAACCTAGCGTTAAATCCAGTGTTACAGTGGATGTTTTATTGTTTGTTTTTACTAGAAATCTGATTTGGAGTGTGAGTCAGTAAAAGGCTAGGTCAGGGAGGTGAGATGTAAGCACTAGAGACCCATGATCTGTTTTTTTAATACGCGTCATCAGTCAAGGAAGCGTCGCCATTTTTCTGAAGACGTATATCTTCTATTTCGTGGGCGCCCTCTAGTGTTTAGAACTCTTCGCTGCGCAGCGAGTGAACGAGAGGCCACGCCCATTCCCCCCTCCGGATCCCGCCCTGCTCCGTCACGGCCGTTGGCCCCGCCTCCTGTTCTAGAATAAGTTCCCCGGATGCGGCTCTCGCGCTCGATCTTTCCAGAAGCCGCTGGTGGAGCAGGAAGCAGAGAGCCGAGCTGTGAGGGAGCCGCACTTACCGTCTGTGTTCTGGGTGGGTATGGAGGGTAACCATGGCAACCCGGGCTGGGAAATCCGAGCTCGGGGGGGACACGATCGGCCGCATTCCCCGGGTCCCTGTGTCATTATTATACCGGGGGGGGGGGCGACATCCATCGTGATAGCAGTGACGTCATCAGCCTCCATGTCTGCCTCTCCCTTCAAAATGTCGGCGGCTGTGATGTCACGTGTTACTGCCCCCCCCCAGGGAATATATTATAATAAATAAAAATATAATCTATTCCCTGAGGGAGAGAATGAGACCACCACAGACATAATAAATATAAATTAAATAATGTTTGTGGTGGTCTCATTCTCCCCCAGGGAATATATTATATTTTTATTTATAATTATTATGTTTGTGGTGGTCTCATTCTCCCCCTCCTCAGGGAACATATTATAATAAATAAAAATATAATCTATTCCCTGAGGGAGAGAATGAGACCACCACAGTGGTGGTCTCATTCTCCCACCCCCCCCAGGGAATATATTATATTTTTATTTATAATTATTATGTTTGTGGTGGTCTCATTCTCCCCCCTCCTCAGGGAATATATTATAATAAATAAAAATATAATCTATTCCTTGAGGGAGAGAATGAGACCACCACAGTGGTGGTCTCATTCTCCCACCCCCCCCAGGGAATATATTATATTTTTATTTATAATTATTATGTTTGTGGTGGTCTCATTCTCCCCCTCCTCAGGGAACATATTATAATAAATAAAAATATAATCTATTCCCTGAGGGAGAGAATGAGACCACCACAGTGGTGGTCTCATTCTCCCACCCCCCCCAGGGAATATATTATATTTTTATTTATAATTATTATGTTTGTGGTGGTCTCATTCTCCCCCCTCCTCAGGGAATATATTATAATAAATAAAAATATAATCTATTCCTTGAGGGAGAGAATGAGACCACCACAGTGGTGGTCTCATTCTCCCACCCCCCCCAGGGAATATATTATATTTTTATTTATAATTATTATGTTTGTGGTGGTCTCATTCTCTCCCTCAGGAGGGTCAGCCATTCCATGTCATGGACGATGGGTAGAAGATGGCGCTGGGTGGGAGCCAGGTTTCAGGGATATCCGTGAGGGAGTTGAGATGCTGAGGTCATAGCTTTCCCATCTCTCATTTCATTGGAAACTAATATATGTTCAAGGAATTCCCCGGGTGTCGTAACCACTCTTATTGGAATGAAGTTGTTATGGTGCGAGGAGGTCTGACGCTTCTGATGAGGAATAGGCGGTTGAGGCGCAGAGATAATGGGTGGCTGACTGAACACCTACACATTAAACCGTCTACTGTAACTCCTTGAGGAGAGCTGGCTTCCAGGACCTCCTTACAACATAAACTTGAATCCCAGGTTGTAACATATTGGATTTTTTTTTTTTTTTAATTGGCCCAAGCTCAATTATAGGTAAACTAGAGCACTTCACCGGCTTAATTGTTTAGCGTACACATACTACCATTCAGGTTTCAATCCGCTATGACTCGTGCGTAAAAACAATAGAATTAAATCTCTTCCTAAAATCACTTTAGCCAGAATAGTTTGTATTTTATTCCATTTTTTTGTTTTGGGCCAGGATCTATTGACACAAACGATGTCACTAGGTGTGATTGAAATTTGGCCGTGTAGTCTCATCTTTGTGTGTTTTAATGTATGGGGCCAATAATATATATTATTGTTGACAGCAGACCCCTAGATGGGTAAACCCTAGTATGGGGATGTCACACTTACACTCAGAAAAGTAGCAGTTGCATGGAATGTCATAAGAATTTAAAGGTCCTCTAAAAGCACTATAATCTTTAACTATTAGTCATATTGATTTGGAGTTGCATAGTTAATCAGGACCCTCTTCAACACTCATAGCCCACCCTTTATTACTTCAATTTTATAAAGAGGCCTAACCTAGATGCTAGTCCTAGCTTGAGCTTGGTTAGCCCAGCAACAACAGCCCAAAGTTGGATGGGCCAATGCTTGCTGTTGCAAAAGTGTTATTTTCTACTTTTTTTTTTTTTTTTAAATAGCCATTTAAAATTTGACACCCAGATGTCTTTGCTGACAGGTTCAATGCTTCCTGAATACTACAGTACATTTTAATGTTTATAGTGCCTACACAATTAAGTATGACGTGTGTTTCCATTAAGGATGTTTTAAAATAATATGGAAGGGAAGTAGCTGCAGCAATATACTAATTACATGAGCATCTCTGCAGACGGAAGGCGTAAAGGTCAGGTTTTTGGGCTGATGAATGGGGGGAGGGTTGTAACTGTTGCCAGCATGTTGTACATGCTGATGAAATACTTCCAATATGCCCATTTTTGCCATTCGTCAATGCAGAACTCTTGTTCTAGGCTGGCTGATGATGCTGCTGGAGGTGGTTATACCACTGGCAGTAAAAAGGTTAAACTCTATATGTGCAGCATTTTATAGCAATGGGGTTACTATGGTAACTCCCTAATAGCTGTCTAGGGAGTATAGGAACAGTGACATATGTCACTCTGTTCAGACACTGGTAATGAAGCCAGTATGTCGAAATCCTGAGTGGTTTGCCCTGCTTTGAGTAAAAGTGTCCAAGCATGGTAAATCTAAGAGGCCAGGCAGACCAGAGTTGGGTGTTACACCCACAAAGCTGAGGAAGTGTCTGCATTGGATCGCAGATGAAGTGAACATGTGTTACAATTTTACATTAAATACATCATGTGTCCTTGTGATTTATTCAACTTATCTGCTGGTGATTTTAGCGCAAGTTAATAAAGTAACAGGTTTACAAAAAAATCCCTGTGTGATGGCATAACTTTCATTCTATTTTAGCTGAGTGCTTAGTATTTAAAGGGATACTCCAGGCACCCAGACCACTTCTGCGCATTGGAGTGGTCTGGGTGCAAACTCCCACCACCCTTAACCCTTCCAGTTGTAGTTATTGCAGTTTTCATAAACTGCAATAATTACATTGCAGGGTTAAGTCCTCCTCTGGTGGCTCTCTACTAGACAGCCACTAGAGGAGACTTCAGTGTTCATAGAAACCCGAAAAGTGGTTTAAAACGACACTGGGTGTCCTCACACTATGTGAGGACCTCCAGCGTTGCCGAAATCCCCATAGGAAAGCATTGAAAGCATTATTCAATGCTTTCCTATGTGGACGTCTGATGCGCATTAGGTCTCAGACGGCCGCGCATGTGCAGTAGGGCTCGGCTGACGTCGGTGCTGGATTCAGGTAAGTCACTTAAGGGGTTTTAACCCCTTCAGCAACTTGCGGTGGGAGGTAGAGGGTCCTGCAGTGCCAGGAAAACTGTCTTAATGGCACTGGAGAATCCCTTTAAGTGATTGCATATACTGGACTGAGTGGTCGTTCCTTGTTTCATATTCTCAATCTATTACATGTGTCTTAGTAACGCTTGCTTACCAGTTGATGCTTCAATATATTTGGTTTACAGTTTCCAAGGAGAAACTCCTACCTTTAGTGGGATGTTTGTTTTGCTGTTGTCATGGGGAAACCCCTAATCTTTGATTTTTGTGTTTAGGTCTGAAGGAAGCCTGTTGCTGTATACACTTTGAAAATGGTAAAAGAGACTGGATACTACGATATTCTGGGCGTGAAACCCAATGCTACCCCAGAGGAACTCAAAAAAGCCTACAGAAAGCTTGCCTTAAAATATCACCCTGATAAGAATCCAAATGAAGGTGAAAAGGTATGTAAATGTTTAGTTGCTAGTTGTAAACTATCTAGTGTGATTGGTGATCCCAAAATAGCTTTTTCACAAAAATAAAAGATGTTCACATTGTTCTGAAAGGCTATAATGTAATGTCAAAGTTTTTCGGTATTATTATTTCTTCATATCTTTTGGTAATTTTACTGGCATGCTCCCCTTATAGATTGAAGTTGAGTGCCCTTTTCTTCCATTGAAGTAAATGCACTTTTTCTATAGAACAATCTAGAGACTGGGGGAGAAAACCTACATAGAATGTGGCCCCTATTTAGCTCCTTGAAAAGTTGCAAAGCTTGCATATGTTCGAAGTACATGCAAGTGGATCTTCATTTATGGTGTTCAATTGCTGATGTTGTGAAAAGTGTAGTGTGTGCTCTGTGCATTAGACTACACTTGATCCAATCACAGAAAAGTGAAACAAATCCTCGTTTTGATTACTGCTCTTCTGGAAAAATATACACTTTACAGTTCGTTTTTAATCTCTTAATGATAATTGTCTGTTCAGTTCAAACAGATTTCGCAGGCTTATGAAGTTCTCTCTGATACCAAAAAGAGAGACTTGTACGATAAGGGTGGTGAGCAGGCCATTAAAGAAGGTGGAATGGGAGGAGGTGGCTTTGGCTCACCAATGGACATCTTTGATATGTTCTTTGGAGGAGGTGGAAGAATGCAGAGAGAACGGAGAGGTAATTAATTGCTGTAATACATTCTTTAACTGTTCAAAAGCCTTGTTGATGGCTCTGTTCTGAAATTTGGGTTTGTTTTTCAGGTAAAAATGTAGTTCATCAGTTGTCTGTATCACTAGAAGACTTGTATAATGGTGCAACTAGAAAACTGGCTCTGCAGAAGAATACAATCTGTGACAAATGTGAAGGTATGTGATTTCATGGATTGCTACGGACCTTGGCTTTCTGGTGCATACTGTCTTCTGTGGGGATTTTTAATTTTATCTTCCATTGAAGAGTTCTTATAATGAAGTTTGTTTTAAACCTAGGTCGTGGTGGCAAGAAGGGAGCAGTTGAATGCTGTCCAAGCTGTAGAGGTACTGGCATGCAGATCAGGATTCATCAAATAGGACCTGGAATGGTTCAACAGATTCAGTCTGTGTGCCCAGAGTGCCAAGGTCAAGGCGAGAGGATAAATCCTAAGGACCGCTGTAAAAGCTGTGTTGGTCGTAAGATTGTCAGAGAGAAGAAAATCCTTGAAGTCCATATTGACAAAGGTTTATCATTAATTTTTATTTTATTTTTGCTCTAAAACTGCACAATTGGTAACTTCAGATATGAGACTTTACTCTGCTGTAACTGATATCTTAAAGGACAACTATAGTTCCAGTAAAACAAAGTTTTTGCTGGCACTATAGGATTATTAGGTCCCCCTTCCCACTTGCCTTTCTCCAGCGCTGGGGAACTCTCCTTCTCCTGCCGACATCAGCGCCAAATTACTCAATGCTTTCCTATGGACATCAGCGTGTTCTTATTGTGATTTTTCACTGTGCAAATCGTGGAAGCGGCCTCTAGTGGCTGTCAGTGAGACTGCCACTAGAAGCTGGATTAACCCTCAGTGTAAACAGCTGTTTCTCTGAAACTGTTTTAAGCTGCCAGGTTAAAACTAGAGGGACCTGGCACCCAGACCACTTCATTGAGCTGAATTGGTCTGGGTGCCTATAGTGGTCCTTTTTAAACTTCTGTATGTGTCTTTACATCAGTGTATGGCACTATTCCGCATGAGCAATCTAGCTTCACATCACTGCAATTTATGAATGACATTCTGATAAAAATAAACAAGTAGCGGTCTACCCCAAAAATGCATTTTACACTTTGTCATTCTAGCATACAAATTGATTTTGGAATCTTTAATGCTGCATGTACCATATATCAATCCAGTCTAAAGATTACAATGAACAGTTAATAAATGTAAAAAAAAAGCTCCATTGTCTTTCCTGTCCTAGTACATAGCCAATCATGTTGCCTACCTGGCTTTCTATTGAAACTTCTGTGCAGATTTCAGAGACCATAATTGGACTAACTCAGTAAATGGCACAAACTGTAATATGGCTCTTATACTTGTGGTAAAACATGCAAATGATGGCTTTAAGCCCTCTCATTGGAATATATTGGTTTCTAGTGCTAGTGTGTCTTAACCTCACAAACACTGACCTGCTGGGATGGCCATATGCCAAGATGGTAAAATAGCCCTCTCTTTGCTCTGCAGCTTCCCCAGCTGTTGCATGAGCTTTATGGCAGATGCAACATACAAAAGATGTAGATCTAGAAAGCAAGCAATGACTGCTCCTAGTTTTGTAGGTGCTTTCTTATTTATATTGTTTGTCTCCTCTCGCGATTTAACAATTAAGTTTCCATCTCATTTAAAACTTTTAAGATTTCTCATCTGGCATCATATATAACTTTTTTCTGTGATCGTATATTCAGACTTAAATGTTTGAAGTAGACCATTTTTAGAATGTTTAAACATGCAGTAGTCTTGCTCACTGCTGATTTGTATTTGAACAGGAATGAAGGATGGTCAAAAAATTACATTTGCTGGTGAAGGAGATCAGGAACCTGGACTGGAACCAGGAGATATTATTATTGTATTGGACCAAAAAGATCATGCTGTTTTTACAAGGTAAAGTTTGATGATCCTATAATATTGACCTATGTATCAAACTACAAAACCGTGCATGGTGCATCTTTTTACTCTGAGACTCACAAGGGCAAGCGTCCGAAATCATGTAGAAAGCCGATCTAATTATGATAAAATAGAACATACCATTTATTGAAAACTTTTTTTTTTTTTTTTTTTACTATTGGACAAAGAAGCAAAAAACATGCAAGCATATTCCAGGGAGACACCTCAATGCATTTCATGCAACATGGCACTTGGTCTTAAGCATGCCTAAGAGCCATGTTGCATGAAGGTGTCTCACTGGGATATGCTTTTAAGTGGTTTTGTTTTCCTCTGCTATATCCTTAAATTGTCTCGTTTTTTTGTTGTTGTACTATTTCAATAAAGGTTCTGTCTTATTGTGGACTGCATCTGCTTTCTACATGATTTTGGATGTTTGCTTGTCTCGTGATTCTGTTGATTTACTTCATGCTGTGCTTGAGTACCCCTGCTTTGGATGCTGAGCTCCATTGTAGAATAACTGGTGCGAGGTTTTTAGATTTCAAAGATGTGACTTTGCACCATGATCTCTACATTGTCTTTTTGGAGAGAGTTTGGATTCTGAGCATTTCTGGACCTTTTTATTTTCATTTTAATTTTGCACATCCAGTATCTGTAACATTTTCTTTAATTTATAAACTTGACAAACATCCTGATTTGTGATTATGCTCCAATAAACTAATATCCTAGCAGGCTCCACCACCCAGGATTTTGTTTTTGTAACAATTTATAACTGCCTGGAATACCTAACTCTTGATATAAATGGAACTGTAATTGCTACATTTATAACCTCGAGGTGAATATGCTGAGTCTTACTCTTAAAGCTTTTTAATTACAGGAGAGGCGAAGATCTCTTGATGCATATGGAAATTGAACTTGTGGAGGCTCTGTGTGGCTTCCAGAAACCAATAGTCACACTGGATTCTAGAACTATAATAATAACCTCTCATCCTGGTAAGAAACCTGTCTTGAGACATAAACCATAGTATGTGTGTTTGCTCTCTGTGGCATTTGTGTTCAATACAGTTTTTCTTTATTTTGTGGTTGTTTAGGTCAGATTGTTAAACATGGGGATGTGAAATGTGTGCTCAGTGAAGGAATGCCAATCTATCGCCGGCCATATGAAAAGGGACGTCTAATCATTGAGTTCCAGGTAAGCATTTAACATCTAGATACTTTCCGGTCAGTTGATCAATGTGAAGAAACTTATCATGCTAATGTGACATTTACTAATGCGATCTTTCCCTTTATTTAGGTTAACTTTCCAACAAGTGGCTTCATCTCGCCAGACAAACTTCCTATGTTAGAGAAACTCTTACCTGCAAGAAAAGTTATTGAAGAGGCTGAAGACATGGAGCAGGCTGAGCTAATGGATTTTGATCCTTCCCAGCAGCGGCAAAACCATTACAGAGAAGCCTATCACGAAGATGATGACCATCCAAGAGGAGGTGTGCAGTGCCAGACCTCTTAAACCAAGCCAGTCCGTAATGGCACTTGCAGCATAAACCTTGCTCTTGCTATCCTTGTCTGACACCCATCCATGACTACTGCAACAAGCCATTATAAAGAACTCTGCTCTCACATGTCTGTCCCTGAAGAGAAATGTAGAAAAACTCTCATTTTGAGCCTATGTAAATCTGAAGGCATAAACAAAACTACATTTGTTTTGTATAAAGCTACCACAAAGACTTGACTGGTGCACAATCCACTTATTGAAACCTCAAATATTTAATTGATACAGGAAATTAATAAAATGTGTTATACAGTAAGTTAATATTTGTAGTCTCGGGACTGATGTCTGAAACAATGGCTTTTTATGTAAAGTTGCATTTAAAATTAACTTATGTACGTACATGTGAACATACAAAAAACTTTTTTTTTTAAATTACACATGCAAACAATAAAAGTGTTTTTGTGGTTCTGCAAGAGATTATATATTGATACCTGCAATTCAGATACATTATTAGGAACTGGGCCACAGAAAGTGACTGGCTTTTAAAAATGAATGTCGCATAAAGACTAGTAAATACCTGCGTATTAAGAGAGGTGGATAGAAGAGAATCCATACAAGCTCCTGTGAAGACATCTGAGCTTATGTCTTTTATTTTTAACGGTTTTAGGTTTTTGTCTGGTTATTGCTAAATGAATTTAGTGGGTTCTCTGTTGACCAGGAACCAAAGCCAAGTTCTCAATCCATGCTAAAATGGTTTGACATCTTTCTGTGGAGCAGTGCCCCAGTTGGCACTAAACCACTGCAGTGACCTGTAATGGTTTTGGCTTGGACTATTCTGTCTATAGTGATTGGTGCACACACAAATGTTACAGCAAAACCCCTGTCTGCAAGGTTTTTCTGGGATTGATTCTACCTATCCAGTTGGGGTTCTAATATTCCACAAATGAAAGTGTCTCAGGCCTGATGTCCACATTAGGATGCAATGGAACATGTATAGGCCTCGAGCTTGATCCGACTCATCTATGTTAATTTTGTACTGGCTACTTATGCTAGCTGAGGTAGGACCAGAAACTCATTGACATATGGTAGATTGAAGGGGCTTCATGCACTCAGTTCAAAGACAAAGCAGATTTTTTTTGGTCAAAAAAAATGCAACAGTGCAAGCTGATGCACACCTTTTTGCTTAGGTTAAAAAGTTGCTCTAATCTGCTTTATCTTTAAACTCTGAGTGCATGAACCCCGTTCTTCAATACCATGTTTGTAAGTTTGGTGTCAAGAAGGAATTCTTAATGACGTCTTCCCATGTGAATTGCTTCATGGAAGGCATGGCCATTTCTAATGGGTTACAAAAAAGGCTATGTAACTGTTACCTGAAACTCTCTCCATCCATATGAAAGTTCCATGCTTAGACAGGTTTGCCTACCGTGTGTTTGTGTAATTATTCACAGATGTAGCACTCATTTGTAGAAAGTGTCCATTGGTATGCTAAGAAGCTCTTTGACTGTATAGCTATATGGGGTTAGAGTAATTCTAAGTAAACACTATGTATGTGTTCATAATTTTTTTTTTTTTTTGTCCTAAACAGGGTAAAGCTTTAAAGAAAATTTATATTTTACTTACCGTATGGCTATTACTCATGGTAGCATCACTTAGGGGTAGTTCCACCCACAACCATGACAGAAAGCCATTAACAAGACTTTAGGAATAAAGTCCCTCATTACTAATTAAAACACTCAAGAGGAAATCATAATTGGACAGGTACCTGATGCTGCAATGAATAATAGGCAGGAATAGAAAATAAGTGTGAAAACTGTCCTTATTCCTGGGTAATCATGACCTTGATGGAGGCACAAAAAATTGCCAAATTAAAGCTGGTATCAACATTTATTAGAGAATGAGTCATGGCATAAATACTGACAGTTGCTAAACAGGGTAGAATAAAAGGAGTTCAAGAGTAGTATTGCATAGACGTGCAATTAAATTCAGACGAATTTCGGGCAATTTGGATGCTTCCGAAGTGCCAAATTTCAGAAGTGATTTAGATTTCTGAAAAGTGGCAAAATAAGAGGTAGGGTTAGGGTAAAGGAAGGGAGCCCTACAGATGTTCCAAAATTCAGGACTGGTGAATTTCCAAACTGAACAAAATGTTTTGATCATGCACATCCCTAGTAAAGCAGTGTTAGGATTTAAGTGCAAGAGACAAAAGCAGAAGCTTGTGGTTTACACCAACCAAAACCTGTGCACTGCCTTGAAATTGATTATAGCATTGTAGGCTTAACATAGCATGAGGTTAATGCCACTGGGTACAAATCATCTAAAAACAAAAATGGGATCCAATGGGAGCCAGCGGTGTGATAAGCAAGGTAGGGAGACGTGGTCGGCAGTTCACACATTGTCAAAATTCCCGGCATAGCGGCTTGACACGAGTGTCAGCACTCTCCATTCCTGGCCTGCTGAGCCAGTTTGGGTTGGTAGGCATTTCTCCGTGGCGGCCATAGTGGACTTGCCTCGTGGTTGGAGGTTGACTGAGAACCGGTGCTGAAAAGATTTAATTTTTCTCAGTGGGGATAATTGTCACCCGTTCCCCTTGTGACCGGTGGGGGTTAAGTTGTTGGGAGCCATTTGACTGGTGTCGGGAGATCGGCTGCTTCCCCAGACAAGTCGGTAGGCCGCAGGACTGGACAGCCGAATTGAGCGCCGGTTTGAGGGTTTTCTGGGCTACTATCGACGGCACCGGTGAGTGACAAATTTGCTGGTCGTTTTGTGCGGTATAACGCATTTAGTCGCTTTTTTTGTGCAGGAGCTACTCAGACATGTCCGGCCATCTTCGCGGTCAAGCCCACCGCACTGCTTTAATATTTAATATCCCCCTTTAACATACTTTTAATAAACCATTAAATACTATTTACAAGAAATGTTTAGGAAAGCTGTGTAAGTCACATGCAGGGAGGTGTGACTAGGACTGCATAAACCAAGTGATTTAACTCCTAAATTTCAGGGAACTCACCAGTGACAATTCAGGGGCATGATCTATACACCTAAACCGCTTCATTAAGCTAAAGTTGTTTTGGTGACTATAGTGTACCTTTAACCCCTTAAGGCCCAAACTTCTGGAATGAAAGGGAATCGTGACATGTCATGTGTCCTTAAGGGGTTAAGTGAAATATGTTCATTGGCCAGGCATTGGTCAATCCAATCCAGCAGAGAGATTTTATGTGTTGTAATGGGTATGAAATCATCATGAGAAAAAAAAAAAAAAAGTTTGTGCAGTTCAGAAAAACTGGCTACTGAATATTATGTGTTACTGGACTATCCAAACTGCTGCCATGGGTGAACATTGAATAGGAGCCATCTAAGTTTGCCCAGAAATAAGGCAAGTAATTATTATAAGAAAACAGATAGGTTACGCAACAGGATGCTGAAATACAGCAAACTAAAAAGGACCACTACAATATTGCTGCTGTGACTGAAATTTCTGACGACAAATATAACCAATGCAAAAAGATCCAACGATCTGAGCTTTTAGCAAGCAGAGCTAATCTACAGAAAGGCAAACTTCCTTTAATTTTCCCAATGCATAAATGAACACTCCAAGAACCATTCTCCAACGGTTAAACCACTTAGACGGGGTCCCACTGGGCTGAGTCACCTCTTACATGGGAGTCAGAAGCTCTTTGCTCAGAGTTAACCTGGTGGTGTAAGGCTTAGCTCATAGGCTGACGCTCTAAGCTTTCAACGCTAATGAACAGGAAATCGGCAAATTACACATGCAGAACTAGGAATTTGAAAGAACCTTTGCAAGGCAAAAAAAAAAAACATCTTAAAAGTAATAGGTTACAGGATTCAACGCCATATTTATGCAACAGGTTTTAAGGAAGATGCAACAACATCTATTGTGGCCTAGAAATAGAATATGGCGTATCTATTGTGGCCTGTATTTCTGTTCTTTCAATATAAGTAATAATTATACTAGGAATAAAAATTATAGTAAAACATTTTATGATTTGTATGTAGTCATCCAGACCACTTCAGCTCAATAAAGTGGTCTGGGTGCCAGGTCCCCCAGGTTTTAATCCATTAGATGTAAACATAGCCGTTTCAGAGAAACGGCTATGTTTACTTTGTGGTGTTATCCAGCCTCTAGTGGCTGTCTTCCTGACAGCCGCTAGAGGAGCTTCTGCGAGGCTGGATGTGAAAATCGCACAGAATGTCCATAGGAAAGCATTGAGAAATTCCTACTGACTGTTTGAATGCGCGCGCGGCTCTTGCCACGCATGCGCATTCCACTCCACTCTTAAGCTGACATCGGCGTGGGAGGAAAGGTCACCAGTGCCGAGGTAGCCCGGCGCTGGATAAAGGTAAGTGGGGAGAGGGCCCTGAGGGTGGGTGGGACCTAAGGGTTGTATAGTGTCAGGAAAACAAGTTTGTTTTCCTGACACTATAGTGATCCTTTAAATAAATTGCTTAAATTTCAGAGACAAATTCATGAAAGCAATAAGAACATACTGAAACGTCATACAACTAGTAAATAAGTTCTGGCTGTATTAAAAAGCTGTGTTAGCTGCAGAGACCCCAGTAATCTTCACAAAACAGAGCCATTAAACAGATAAGAATGGTAATGACATTTACGATAGAGAAGGATAACCCAGTGAACACTTTTCTGAGAAGTGTGTGTGTGTGTGTGTGTGTGTATATATATATATATATATATATATATATATAATGAAAGATTTAATGCAGTTTGAAAGCTTTCTGTTGGCTAACCAACACCACAAGGCAAGTTAATATTTAGTATACCGTGTTTAATAAAGTTCAGAATTATGACAACACTTTAAAGGTAATTTTTTTGCTTTCAAAAGAACATAAATCTGATAAAGGCATACCAAAAATAGCAGAATTGTCTAACCCAAGTGCCAGTAATGTGGTAGATTTTTATTTCTCCTATAAGCTCACTTTATGGTGTCTGTATGTAAGCATTTTTTGAGCGAGGTACGCAATATCAAGTATTTCTACATCTGTATTCTGAAAACCTAGCAAATTAATAGCCCTTGGAAACGGCCAGTGAATAACGAAGCACGAGAAATAACCATTTGAAAAACATGTTACTTACAATGGACGAATAAAATTGAATTTAAAAGAAAACTAAGCCAAAATACTATTTTTACATTGCAGTTGTGGTTTGAGAATGTGCAGGATTTGATTTATATTGACTGATCTTTGTCTAGAAAGAACCAAAAATCAATAATACTGCACAAGTAACTGCATGGTCACATTAATGCCATTCTTTTGGCATGATATAATTTAAAGTGACTGTTTGATTCGGACATACAGGCTGGCTCCCTTTATAGACAGTAAAAAGGTTCATTTGTACAACTTTAAGGAAAAATAACCCCCCTGCACCCTCCCCAAATAAAAATTAACAAACAGCAAAGACCTTCCTAAAGCTGAAAAAGTACACTAAATGAAATGATATATGTGTAAAAATGCAGATCAAATAGTCACAATAAGTTTTGTATTTCCATTTACTATTGTTACCAAAACTAAATATAATGTACAATGCCCTGGTCCCATTACAGGGCAAAACAAAAACATCTAAAAAATGGGGTGTTCTTGTTATTATGGCTTCCATAATTTAAGAAGTCCATCTTCACTGTAGGTGCCAATTAAATTCTGATGAGGGTGATGAGCAATCCCAATGACATCTTTTTCGTGAACCTGTAAAACAACAATTAATGAAAACAGTCAGATTTGCTTTGAACAAAGTGATGCAGTGTGCGGTTAGTTATAGTGTGAACAAGGCTGCTTCAAGACTAATGTAAAATGGTTGGACCCAGTGCCACCACTATAATAGCTAATTTCTGAAAGTTTCGCAAAAGCTAGTTAAAGGGACACTGTAGGCACCCAGACCACTTCAGCTCATTGAAGTGGTCTGGGCGCCAACTCCCACCGCCCTTAACCCTGCAAATGTAATATTTACCTTGCAGTAAAGTCCTCCTCTGGTGGCTGTCTACCAGACAGCCACTAGAGGGACTTCCGGCTTTTTAGAAGACTTTTGGTCGTCTAAATGACGCTGGACGTCCTCACGCTATGCATGAGGACCTCCAGCGTCGCCGGAATCCCCATTTGAAAGCATTGAATAAGGCTTTCCTATGCGGAGGTGTAATGCACGCGCGGCCATTGCCACGCATGTGCATTAGGTCTCCCCCGCCGGGGGATGAGGAGCATGGGCGGAGCCTGACCCAGCGCTGAGGGATATCGGCGCTGGATTCAGGCAAGTGTCTGAAGGGGTTTTAACAGGGTGGGAGGGAGGTGGGGGCACTACAGGATCCTCCACTGAAGAATACCTTTAAAATGATGTAAAAAGGTGTTGCTGGAAGGGAGAGTACACAACTACAAGCGATGGACAACAGGACATTTGATGTTTAGTTTCACAATATTTATAAAACAGAATAATACTTGGCATACTCACAGTGAGAGTTCTCTCCAGCTTGCCAGTCACTGTGCTGAAACAATACAACACAAAGTCCTCTCCAACACAATAGATCCACTCTCCTCTGGGTGACAGAGTGCAGCAAACAAAGTCACCACCTTCTCTCTTACCAGAGCTAAAGCTTCTAACAATCTACAAGGAGAAAAGAGACAGCAAGCAAAATATTATAAACAGTCCTGAATCAGCTAATGCTACAATCAAGACTAAAGAAGCGTGATAAACATCTTAACCACTAGAGTGTGCTGTTGCCAGGAGTAGGATTGTTTTTGAGTGGTTTTACACTCGCCTGGCTGACCAGATATTATTCAGAAAAGTGTCAATTAACAGTCCTCAGTCAATCAAGTCAATCCAAAGTTGGACGAAACAGATATTGCCAAGTTGGAATGAGAATTTCCATTTTAGGAATATTACAGAACTGGAAGTACAAATTTCAATAGTGTCTGTGCACCCCAGTAGCATGATGCAGTGGTTATGGTACTTAAAGAGCCCCCTTTAACCCCTTAAGGACCAAACTTCTGGAATAAAAGGGAATCATGACATGTCACACATGTCATGTGTCCTTAAAGGGTTAAACACCTATTCAAACAATATAGGAACAAACAGCTATATGACCTTTGTGGGATACTTACTTGCCCCTGCATATTCATTATAACAACGGTGTTCGATCGGTTACACACAACAAAATGTTCAGGGTTTTTAGGCAGGAGAATGACACTGTTGACTGTGATGTCTGTTCCAGCTGTACTTCCAAGGGATTTAAAAGTGTTCGAACATTCTGTGGTCTTCACGTTCCACACCTTTAGGAAAAAGCAAGAACAATCAGAAGAAGCAAATCTGAGTAAGAAAAACATGCTGGAAACTGACTAATATGATGAATATGGTTCAAAGAGGAAAATCGCATAGGCTGTTATGGCTTTAAGGATTATTATACTCCTGTACTTAGGTGTAGTAGAGTTGAAACAGGATATCTGTTTTGCATTAAAACTACAGTGTAGCTGTAGCATTAAGGATATAATGGGACGATATAACCAGAATAATAATCAGGAACACCAGGAAGTTTCTTCTGAGATGGAAGAACTTCATCACAAAATTATGGCCTCGATTTAATAAGCTTTTCAACATGAATCTGTAGTGTGTCTGTAATTGGGTTTTTACAACACCACCACTTTTTCCACTGTGTATACTTGGAGTCCAGACAAGATTTCGTTTGGGTTGAGCAATCTGTCCCTCACTGCAGGTATCCCTTTGCAAGTGACCACAGATTTGAAGAGAGTCAGCAAAAAAGTTTAAGACTTAAACTAAGTGTCAGGAAAACAAAGCGCCCCCACCTTCAGGGTCCCCCTCCCGTGGCGCTGGGGATAAAACCCTTTCAGCAGCTTACCTTAATCCAGCGCCGAGCTCCCTCGGCACTGGTGACCTCTCCTCCCCCACCAACGTCAGCTCCTGAGTGGAACGGAATGCGCGGCAAGTGCAGTGCGCGCATTTAAACTGTCCATAGAAAAGCATTTCTCACTGATTTCCTATGGACGTTCTGCACATTGGATGCGAATTTTGCATCCAGCGTCGCAGATGCGCCTCTAGTGGCTATCAGGAAGACAGCCACTAGAGGTTGGATTAACCTGTAATGTAAACATAGCCGTTTCTCTGAAACGGCTATGTTTACATCTGAAGGGTTAAAACCTGAGGGACCTGGCACCCAGACCACTTCATTGAAGTGGTCTGGGTTACTATAGTGTCCCTTTAAGTATTGCAGTTAGCAGGTTTATCACTTATGTTACAATTAGAGTAGTACCCACCGATATTGCGGTACTGTGACTTAGTGGTGGGCTTTACACAATACTGTCATATGGTGTAATTTAATCCCCATATTTGTTTACTATAACAGATAATTTCAAGTAGCCTTATTGGAATCAAAATTATTTTTTGTGTGTGCGCATTTCTAGGCCTAGTTTGTTTTGTCGTGTTTATTTGCTTCATTTTCTTGCTACAAAGCTACAAAACAAAGTAGTGCTTTATAAACAAAATACTTAAATGAGCTAAGCAGCAAATTACATAAACAAGTTTAAAAATAAATTGCTGCTATAGCCAAAATGTAAGATGTTTCAATAGTATACCATATAATTCATGGGTTAAAAGGACCACTATAGTGCCAGGAAAACACTCGTTTTCCTGGCACTATAGTGCCCTGAGGGTGCCCCCACCCTCAGGGTCCCCCTCCCGCCCGGCTCTGGAAGGGGGAAAGGGTTAAAAACTTACCTTTTTCCAGCGCTGGGCGGGGAGCTCTCTGCTTCCTCTCCTCCTCCTCTGAGACAGCCACTAGAGGATTAGGGGGAAGGCTTAACCCATTCATAAACATAGCAGTTTCTCTGAAACTGCTATGTTTATAAAAAAATGGGTTAACCCTAGAAGGACCTGGCACCCAGACCACTTCATTAAGCTGAAGTGGTCTGGGTGCCTAGAGTGGTCCTTTAATAAAATATAAACATGGAAAGTAGTATACCAAAGACAGTTTCTAGTTATACGTTCTTTCCACAGGTTAAACAAAAACGGTGATAATAAAAATATATTGTAATGAAGATTTAGTATTCGTATCACAATAATATTGCTTATACAATAGTTTAAATTATTCGGGCCAAAGAGGGAAAGAGTAACTAAAAACATGTAACATAACACAAAGATTACAAAGACAAAATGGCTTTGTGATTTAATATCTTTGAATAAGCTTTACAAATGATTTATCAACAAAACCCTCCATAGGCTTTAATGGTGACTTCTATAGATCTGGCTTAATGCAAACCATCATTTTGCAGACCGTTATTCTTCATTTATACAAATCAGACTGCCCAAGATACAAGTTTTCTTTCTTTCTGAGCAAGTTTTAAAATGGCCGCCTAGTACTATCAGGTTTTCCAATATTTTCTCAATGAGAATTAATTTGAGAAAAATAATTTTAATGAAAACTCTAAATATTTTCAATAGCCTACAATAACTGCACTTCCACACTGATGGGATTAATTTAATTACCTTGACTGTACCATCCGATGACGCACTAAGGATGTAGTGGCCATCCTGTGAGAATGTGGCTTCATTCACAAATGAAGAATGACCTCTAAATTCCTTCAGTGTTTTTCCGGACTTCAAACCATGGATTCTAAGAAAAGAATTTGAATTGAGTATAATAATCAGACACGAAAGACCAGATTTGTGGCAAACATTTTAATAATATTTTAGGACAAAATGACATAAAGCAGTTAAGGTTTCTTACACTATGAATATGAAGCCATCTCACCAAAAAGGTGTATACAATTTAGGTGGACCTTTAACTTCTACTTCGTCACAATATCTTACCTTATAGTTTGATCAAAAGAAGCACTTAGGATCTGACTGCTGTCTTTAGAAAAGCTAAGACACGTAACACCCTTACTGTGAGCACGCTCAAATCGCCTTAAACATTGGCCGCTCTGAATCTTCCACACCTGAAGGAAAGCATACAGAATGTTACAAAAGTTTAAGACATCTTGGTTTGCTAAGCAGTATATTGTATCAATGCTATGATCAAGGCCAGATGAAATATAAACTTTAAATCCAATTACTGCCAGTCTTACTGCTCTATGACAAGCGGATAAAAACCATCATGAACCAAATCAGTAAGTACCTTGATTTTGCCATCCTGTGCACCCGTAGCTAACATTTCGGTATCTCTGCTGAAGCACATACATAGCACAGCATCATCCATCATCATGAAGTTATCTTGAGCCTGGTACTTGAGATCCTGTAAAAAAAAAAATAGAAGCCATAAATTAATTCTAAAGAGTTATTTTGATAGTTAAAGTGTTTGCACCATGACAAAAGTGGTTTTAAATCGGGAAAAAAAGTGTTACATTTGCAGCATTAATTAAAATTTTCTCTAACTTCTATTGCCAGTAACTTCCACAATAGTAAAACGCAGAGTGTGGGGCTGATTTGTACATATAATTTGTATTAAACAACTTGGAAAATATCAGAACCCGAGGCACACGGGGGATGCGACTACCTCAACTACTACAGCAGGTTGTAGAGGTTATTGATCTTAGAGTGCCCTTTAAAAATGACATATGGTGACTACCAGCAGTGATAGTTGGTGCAAACGCGGATCATGTCCATCTATAGAGTATAGGGTACCAACATCAGATTAAAAGATTAGACAAAACCAAAATGTGACTGTCAATAATACTGCATTGCAGTTTTAGATCACCGTCAGAGCTGGATTGTACTTGCTACATTTCATCACCACAACACTCAATTCAAAGGACGAGTTTCACCAATTTTCACTTCTCATTTTTTGATTTTAAAGTTTATTACATTTAATAAAACATGTCACTTTATCTGGCTGAGTAATCACGTTGGATCAGATTTTACTGCTCAACCTAACATGCCTGCTACATGTTCACACAGAGCAAACAGCAGCCGTTCGTCAGATAACACCACTGCTCAGCCAGATCAAATTTTAATAAAACAAAAATAAAAAAAAATTAATTTAAAAAATAAATAAATTTAAAAATACAAAAACGAGACGCTAAAATTGAATGAGTGTTGTCCTTTAATTAGGTACTGAAAAGCTGAACAGGTTTAATGATGGGGACTTTAACAAATACAGTACATAACTGGGGCAGAACAAACATTTTGAAACCAAACCTAGCCAAATCACAATGTATCAAATTAATATCTGTATGGCCAAATGGCCTTGTACGTGAGTGTTTGGACAATGTTTTGGTTTTTTTCGTTATGAAAATGTGTGTGACTTTTGTTTTGTACACACCTTTCGGATTTTTCCTGTGGTGAAGTTCCATACTTCAATAAATCCATCAACGGACCCAGTCACCAAATACTGACCATCTGGTGAAAAGCGAGCACATTCTACGTGCGACTTCTGCCCAAACTAAAGAAAACAAAAACAATCATGAGCATTTCAACATACACCATATAATGCAGTAAAGACCGAAGTAGAACAACAAACATTGCTATAAATAATTTAAAAACATGCAGTATTTCTTTTCATGTTTCTTTAATGCTAAAAGATATACGAACAGAGCATGAAAGTTATCATTCAACATCACGATTCCTTACCTTAATATGCCGGCTCAGCTGAGTGGGGAACTTCTCTTCTTCCACATCCTTCACGGCTGCTTTACCGCGAAACAAATCAATGGTCATACCAGGTGGAAGAAGTCCCTGATGCTGCTGCCACTTTAAAGCCTTTAAACAAAGAGATAACGGCCAAATATTAAATCAATATAGTTACAATGGAACAGAACATTTACTTTGATATACAGAAAGGTACAAAGTCCTTAAATAATAAAACAACTAGGGTTAGTTGTGCAAAGATGTATCCATAACACTAAAGTGTTCGTTTCAGCACTATAAGCTCTATACCTTATTGTAGTAGAAATGGTGAAGATTCATTGGATAGTAAAGACAAAAGAGAATTAGGGGGTACACCCAGAACATGCATTTTGGAGCAATGGTGCTGCCGCAATGACCAAAATTCATACACAATACAGATTAAGGAACATAGTTTTATTTACACTTTGATAAGGCTACTTAAAATCACCTCAGTTGGATTGTAATGTCACTGTTATTATAATTTTCATACAACAGATATAATATGCATTGTGAGTGTGGTATATATATATATATATATATATATATATATATATATATATATATATAAAAAAGCACTATCACTTTAATGGTTTCGTCATTTTGAACATTGCTTTTTCTGAATTGCATTTATCATGTTAATTTATAGATATATATAGGTTATAGGAATGTCCCAATCCCCTGATTTGTTTTGAACAAGCTGTAATTTCACAGCACCACTTTGGTGTTGTCAGGATTCTAAAATAGATGTTATGAGATACTGTTTGCAATATATTTTGTAGGTTAATTAAGTTAAATTCTGTACTGTAAGTGACCACCTGATGTTGGAGCTGGAAAGTAGACACCTGTAATTCCATGTTATCTACTACAACAAATGGCAGTGTTAACGTAATCAGAGATTGCTCTGAAGGAACAGTGGGTCCAGATATGTACCTGGCCAATCAAGATAACCTTTTGTTGTCAGGGTGGATTTGCGGTGTAATGAATCACTTTGTAACCAGTCCTTCCCTTTGTGTTCTACATTACCACTGGTGTAAATATATATATATATGTACAATAGGTCTCACAGTATGCTGGATGTTCCTACAATAAACTGTCTTTGATTTGCCATATTGCTATTCATTGTCCTCTATAGAGTAATCACTAATAACAGTATTACCAGATTGGATAGAATTCCCTGTAGTAACCAAATACCATTACCTGTCCAAGCAGTGCCATCAGACGGGATGGCGGTACCACGCTCACTTCACCAGCCAAAGCCTGGGCTATTGCTGCTCTTCTTTTTTCCTTGCTGCTGCCATCAGGATATGCCTATATGGAAAAGAAAATTAATCCAACTCAACAAGAGATTTAACTAACATTTCTAAGTCCCTCTGAGGTCTTAACCCATGCATTTAAAAAGCAATACTAGAGTACATATGTGAGCCTTTAGATAAACTGAAAGGTAAACCTTTGCATTAAAAAAAAACTAATGCAAATTAAAAAAAAAAAAAAAACTACAGGTGGAATCCTCTCTCTCCAGAAGAGAGAGAGTCTCTATTGACAGTCCTATAGCAGTATCAACCCTGAAAACACCCCTCACCAGGAACATCTAATTCTGGTCAATAGGGTCAACCTGCTCCCATATCCCTCTCTGTCCTGAAGTGGTTTATAAATAAATAGTTAATCCCCAAGAGCAGTACCCCACGCCACACAGGACGAGCGGAACTGCTCTGGCAAAGGATAGCAGTCATACTGAAAGTGCTACCAGGTTACTTATAGTAGCCTGAATGAATAGGGCCCAGTTAAAGATGTGCATAACTAATGCAAGACTGCCTGCACTGAGCATTCTGCATTTTATAGCCCTGCATGTATAGAAAGATGTATACAATATATTATTTTTCTGTTATGTATATGAGTGATAAAAATTTAAATTCCTAAGCAACAAGCAAGGCCTGACATGTTACTTGTAACAGCAAGCCTGGATACCCCATGGCATTTTCACCAGGTTTTTTTTTTTTTTACTGTTAAATTGTCACTCACAAACAGCTAGTGAAAACTTTGAGCCCTGTGTATATTTTGCACCTTTGTTTGAAGGGTCACTTTACGCTAGCAGTAGACAAGACACAAGGAGTAATTTCACATGCCAACCCTTGTTAAGGTTTGCTCTATGCACAAAAGTTAAGCACGCGCTTCACTGAAACTTCAAATATTTACACCATCAAACATACCTCACGGGGGTCAAAATAGGATCTAGCTAGGAGATTCTCCAAGTGAATATATCGTTCAGGTTGTGTTTGTTTTAACATGATCATTGGATCGGTCTGTCTCAGAAGGGATCTGGCAGCTCCCAACTCACGAAGTTCAATCAATTCTAAAACCACCTGTAGAATAGGAAAGGAAACAAATGTGTAAAGATTCTTACAGACGTCTTATTTCAAGAACTTACAAAAATCAAATGTATGTATGTGTGACAGGATTGCTCTTAAGCTTTTTTTTCTTCAAAAAGTTAAATTTCATCTTCAGTACATCTTTAAGAATTAACAAGTCAGGCTGTTAAAATAGATCACATAAAACACACCAAAAAGGCTTATTTTACATCATTGTGCAAGTTGTTCCCTGCCTCTGCTAGACTACACTACTTAATATTCTCAGTGTGATTCTGGCTCAGACCAGTGGGAGTTAGCACATACAGTACAGACAGGTTTTTAACAAGACACTTTTTGGTTGAAGTAACCCTTTAATATTTATAAATATCAATTTAACTAACAACGCCCTAAAGATTTTATTTTTTATTTCCTTAATCTAAATTAAACCACCTATTCACTCTGAGAAGCTTTAGACTAGAGAAGAATTTGATTGCACAAAGCTTAACATTAAAAATGAAGTAAGAGGGTGGGATCTGCATTAAAGGGACACTAAGTCTCTCCCAAAAAATAGAAAATCACTTTTTAGTAGCTATAGCTTTAATAAAAATATGCACACTATTAATTATGCATTTTTTAATTGGGTGTAGATCTAAAAACAGCACGAAAAGCTGCACATCTCTTGTCTGAGTACACACTTTTACACAAAAAGCACTTCAACAACTAAAGTGCTTTAGGTATTTGGAACATTCATAGAGATTAACTATTGAATGATACATTTTAGGGGTTATGAAATATTTGTGCAAATAGTAAATGCAGGTTTTTTTTGCAATGGTTAATTACATAAATTTAAAAATAATATGCTTTTTGAAATCCATTTTAAGGAGTTTAGGTGAAGCTATGAGAAGGCTGTCGACTGTGAGGTTGAGTAGAAAAGTGATCTATTTTGCAGATTAGAATCTACTTTAGTGCAATCACAATTTATTCTGAGTAAATTTTACATGGAACTATGCTGAAGCCTGTTAGATCAATTCAAAAGTTTATCAACTGGATTGGGCCAATGCTCACAACGAATGCTGGCAATAATGTTGCGTATTTAACTGCGTCTATGTGTAAGGGTTTGAATGCAATTCACAGAACAACAACATATTTTCTACAGATTATAATCTTTGACACTGGGCGAGTAAAACCCATCTTGAACCTGAATTGCTGGAGTTTGAAGAGAGATATGTGGTGATGCTTTCTCTAACACAAGAAGTCCAAAAATAAAGAGTTATCTTGTTTTTGTTTCCATGTTGTAAACAGCAGCAGCAATAGGGGTGGGAGGTGGTCCAATATTAAACAGTATAAAATAATGTTATTTTATTGTTTTGCTCTGTTACAGGTGCACAAACAACACATCTGTCTACTTTACCTGTTCGTAGAGGTCAATGAGTGTCTTATCTGGAAGTTTCAAAGACTGAATGGCCTGCAGGACTGTATCCCAATGTCCACAGTTAATGTCAGCCACAAAGCTCTCTATACTGTCCACAGTGTTCAAAGACACAGTCGTTTCCTCTTGCAGTGTTGCCAATGTACGATGCAAACTATTTTCTTTCAGGTATTGCATGATAAGACGTATGACGCTGCAGAAATAAAATATTCATTTGTTATTACCCATCATGGAGGATACCTGAAAATAGTTAATATTTACCTATATTGTGGATAGTTCAGTGAAGGTGCAATGTGACTAGTACTCTGTGACAAATGCCTAGTCAGTATTGAAGCGGCACTGTCATGCCGAACTTAACTTTCTTTAATCGATTCCTCTTCTCTCCCTCTGTCAGGAACTGTTCTTCATTTCTTCCTGTCTGCTCTAGTTTTCATTAAAACATAAGATAAAGTAGGGACTACTTTGTCTTATGGAGGTTTCCTACGCTTGACCAACGGAGGAGCAAAGTGTACTTCGTTTCCGGTGGTCAAAGCAATTTCCCCACAATTTTCACATTTGATTCGTGATCTCGCAATGCTTCCTGTCAGTATTCCCGAACGTCCTGCCATTTTGACAGAACGCCGGCGAAACTACCGAATTGTGAACAGAATGAGAACAATTTCTCCATTCGAGTTAGGACTCAATTCGGGACTTTGTTCGCATTGGAATTTCATTCTAATGAATGAAACTCCGATCCTATTCGTGCCGCGGCTGCATCTTGCAGCCGCTTAGTAGATAACTCCCTAACTTCCACGGTATTAGGGAGCTATCTACCAAAAGGCTGAAAGACCTACTCGTTATGCCGCTGCTCACTGTTTAAATCCCTCCCCACCCAAAAAACCCTAGTGTCACCCTCTCCCGAGCTGCGCAAGTGGGGGCTATTACACTGAACAGGGGACCTATTGCCCCCCACGGACCCCACTCCTGAGCCTGTTTTTTTTTTATTTTTTTTTTTTTTACACACACACACTGCAACCACTACCATGCCAAAGTAGTAATTATGGTGCTACTAGGCTGCGGGTCCCATCTTTCATTTTCAAGCAGTTTCATCAGAACGAAGATCTCCATAGTTCACCTCAGTTTTAACAATGTCCAGGGCCAGCCCCGTCCATTGGTCCCAGTGGGACCATGGATCCAAGCAGCATTTACCGCTATATATGTGGTTGCAGTTTCCCAATACCTTGTCCTATGAAAAGGAGGCCCAGAAGTCTAATCTTCCCCTCCTGCAGCTTCATGTCCTCTTCTCTCACAAGCCACGAAAGCATTGCCTCAGGTTGCCATGGCAATACTTCGGCATGCATTACCTGCGGCACAGAGCGTTATCATGGCAACCCGTGGAAACACTCACACAGCTTGAGAGAGAGGACAAGAAGCTGCAGGAGGGGAAAATTAGACTTCTGTGCCTCCTTCTCACAGGACACAGTAGGCACTGCCACTGGACCACCAAGGAACCTTCTGTCCCTCCTCCTTGACCAAAAGAAGGAGGAATAACCTTAATTATAAAATTAAAAAATAAACTATCCACCCTAGCAGCTTGCCCTGGTCCCCTTTCCACAGCCAGGTAATTTGTTTTATTCCAGTTTGCCATGGTCCCCTTGCCAGAGGCAGGTAATGGCATTTATAACAGCTTGCCCTGGTCCATTGGCCAGAGCCAGCTAATGGCATTTATACCAGCTTGCCCTGGTCCCCTTGCCTGAGCCAGGTAATGGCATTTATACCTGCTTGCCCTGGTCCCCTTGCCAGAGGCAGGTAATGGCATTTATAACAGCTTGCACTGGTCAATTTGCCAGAGCCAGCTAATGGTATTTATAGCAGCTTGCCCTGGTCCCCTTGGCTGAGTCAGGTAATAGTATTTATACCAGCTTGTCCTGGTCCCCTTGGCTGAGCCAGGTAATGGTATTTAGAGCAGCTTGCCCTGGTCCCCTTGGCTGAGCCAGGTAATGGTATTTATAGCAGCTTGCCCTGGTCCCCTTGGCTGAGTCAGGTAATGGTATTTATACCAGCTTGGCCTGGTCCCCTTGGCTGAGCCAGGTAATGGTATTTATAGCAGCTTGGCCTGGTCCCCTTGGCTGAGCCAGGTAATGGTATTTATACCAACTTGCCCTGCTCCCCTTGGCTGAGCCAGGTAATGGTATTTATAGCAGCTTGCCCTGGTCCCCATGGCTGAGCCAGGTAATGGTATTTATAGCAGCTTGCCCTGGCCCCCATGGCTGAGCCAGGTAATGGTATTTATAGCAGCTTGCCCTGGTCCCCATGGCTGAGCCAGGTAATGGTATTTATAGCAGCTTGCCCTGGTCCCCATGGCTGAGCCAGGTAATGGTATTTATAGCAGCTTGCCCTGGCCCCCATGGCTGAGCCAGGTAATGGTATTTATAGCAGCTTGCCCTGGTCCCCTTGGCTGAGCCAGGTAATGGTATTTATAGCAGCTTGCCCTGGCCCCCTTGGCTGAGCCAGGTAATGGTATTTATAGCAGCTTGCCCTGGCCCCCATGGCTGAGCCAGGTAATGGTATTTATAGCAGCTTGCCCTGGACCCCATGGCTGAGCCAGGTAATGGTATTTATAGCAGCTTGCCCTGGCCCCCATGGCTGAGCCAGGTAATGGTATTTATAGCAGCTTGCCCTGGCCCCCATGGCTGAGCCAGGTAATGGTATTTATAGCAGCTTGCCCTGGCCCCCATGGCTGAGCCAGGTAATGGTATTTATAGCTCCATGTCCCCCTGTGGCCAAGCCACCTATAATACTCGTGTCACACGCATTGCAATAAACTCACTCTGAGGACTCGATTTCTATCGACATCTTTCCCTTCGGCCGAGATCAGCACACCAACCAAATCCGGGAGCAGCAACACCGTCGTCACATCCGCTGCGCCGTCTCTCTCGCTCTCTCCCAGGAGACAAACGGCGCAGCGGATGTCGTCACTTCCGCTGTCCTGAGAAGGTCCCGCCCTCCTGGTGGGAAAATGCGTGACGTCACGAAACTGTCGCCGAAAGAGGTTGCAAGGCGGCCATTTTTCTGGTTGGCTGAGCACTAGTCCAGTAATAATGTAGCCCACCCTATGATGGAAAATGGGTCACTACAATTAATTAGCTTTCACAGACACAATGTTTAATCATATTTAATGAAAATAGTTTATTTGTAAAAATGCTTTGTCTTCAGAACAGCAGCACACATAACTGTTGAAGGGTTAGTCCATGCTTGCAGAACAGTTTGACATTTTATGCTGAAATAGCTTTAAACTTTATGCTGGAACTGTAACTCACTATCTCTGGTATGTGTTTACAGGACAAACTTGCAATTGTAACATTTCCTATGTGCGTATGGACAAGCTGTATGCAGCAATGTTAGAAACCAGCCCACCACAATCGCTCGCTACTTTTGCTGTATAAATATTGTGCTGTATTAAGGGATCACTATGGTATCAGGAAAACATAGCGGTTTTCCTGACACTATAGTACCCTGAGGGTGCCCCCACCCTCAGGGTCCCCCTCCCATGGCTTACCTTAATCCAGCGCCAGGCTCCCTCGGCGCTGGTGACCTCTCCTCCCCGTCCGACGTCAGCTCCCCCGTCCGACTGCACTGGAGCCGAATGAGCATGCACGGCAAGCGCCGCGCACGCATTCGAGGTGTCCATAGGAAAGCATTTCTCAATTATTCCTATGGACGCTCTACGCGATGAAGGCGAAATTCGCCTCCGGCGCTGCAGATGCGCCTCTAGTACCCGTCCGGAAGACAGCCACTAGAGGCTGGATTAACCCAAATGTAAACATAGCAGTTTCTCTGAAACTGTTATGTTTACATGTGAAAGGTTAAAACCTGGGGAGAGACTACTTCATTGAGCTGAAGTGGTCTGGGTGACTATCGTGTCCCTTTAATAAACCGAAGAACAAGTTTGGAATCGTATTTGTCTGTTCCTTACTTTTTCCCCAGAGTGCTCTGATAGGAATAGAGGTTTCCTGACCGTGAACTAGAAGCAGTCTTTCCCCTACAAGCGTCAGTTTCTGTGTAAATAATCATTTTTATTTATTTTTTGGTCATTATTATAATGTTGTAGTGTTATTGCAACAAATTACCATGTCCATGTCCTAATTTAAGCTTCCCCAAACTCCAGCCCTCCAGATGTTGCTGAACTACAACTCCCATTTCATTCATAGAATTTACAGATTTTACTATTAACATGACGTAAAGTCATGATTTTATTAATGGCACGCAGGCGAGTATTATGCTGCACTCTTTCTTTATTTACCTCAGCAGCAAAGAAAAATAACATTAAATCAGTATAAAAGAAACCAGTAAATAACATGAGGTATATCTTCCTAGCAACAGCAACAGCCAATCAGCATCCTCTTTATAGCATAATAGGCGGTGTCCAGTATACTACTTCCTCTTTCTTGCGATCCCGAACAAGGACAACAAATCCAAATAAAAAGTGGGCTCCAATTAGAGGGTATACGAGCCTTAAACTG